GTGAGCGAGTGTGTGAGTGAGCGAGTGTGTGGTGAGCGATGGTGTGTGTGTGAGCGAGCGAGCGTGTGTGTGTTCGAGCGTGTGAGCGAGCAAGTGTGTGTGTGAGCGTGTGAGTGAGTGTGTGTGCGAGCGTGTGAGCGTATTTGAGCATGTGAGTGAGCGAGTGTGTGTGCCAGCGTGTGTACGAGCAAGTGTGTGTGTGTGAGTGTGTGAGCGAGCGTGTGAGCCAGCGAGTGAGCGTATTTGAGCATGTAAGCGAGCGTGTGTGTACGAGCGAGTGTGTGTGAGCGTGTGAGCGAGTGTGAGCGTGTGAGTGAGCGAGCGCGCGAGAGGTATCGAGCCAGGGCCTCCTTACCCACGACTTCATCGCCGGGCTTGAAGAACGTCACCAGCGCTCCGACTGTAAACACAACCACGACAACGAGCACAACGTGCGGCGTCACCACGCGGACATCACCGCGAACCCCCCCACCGCCACCGCCCACCACGCTGGGACTGCCAACGCAGCAATCACAATCGGTGAACCAGAATTAGTCGACTGGGATCAGTCTTCTTATCGGCATGGCAGATGTCGTTGAAGTGGCTGATGAGCCAGATAATTGCGCGCGGAAGTAGCGGAGTGGTGCCCCATCGCTGCGATGCTGCCTCCTCCTTCATATTCGTCAGTTTTTAACTTCCAATTTACGCATCAAAGAATTCCGCGTCCGCCACTGGCACGGTTTGGAGTGGCACAGTGACGGCAAAAGCCTCACGCGGCCCTCCCTGTCGAGCGAGAAATCACGACCGACCCGAGGCCAGCGACAACCCGGCGACGGGACACCGATCGGCGATCTCCCCGCAATCAGCGAACCGGGATCAGGGGAGCGGTGAGCCGCGATCGGTAATCATCGAACCGCGACCGGTGAGCTGCGATGCGTGAGCTGCGATCCACACCGGCGGCCACCGTCCCCGCCACCTCCCGCCCCACGGGCTGCGGGGACTGCTGCATCTTGAGTCGCGCAAGGAGCTGCAGGAGACAGCGGAGACAGCGGAGACAGCGGGGACAGCGGGGACAGCGGGGACAGCGGAGACAGCGGGGACAGCGGAGACAGCGGGGACAGTGGGGAGAGCGGAGACAGTGGGGAGAGCGGAGACAGCGGAGACAGTGGGGAGAGCGGAGACAGCGGGGACAGCGGAGACAGTGGGGAGAGCGGAGACAGCGGAGACAGCGGAGACAGCGGGGACAGCGTAGACAGCGGGACAGCGGAGACAGCGGAGACAGCGAGACAGCGGCGGACAGCGGGGACAGCGGAGACAGCGGGGACAGCGTGGACAGCGGGGACAGCGGAGACAGCGGAGACAGCGGGGACAGCGGGGACAGCGGGACAGCCGGAGACAGCGGGGACAGCGGGGGACAGCGGGGACAGCGGAGACAGCGGGGACAGCGTGGGACAGCGGCAGACAGCGGGGAACAGCGGAGACAGCGGGGACAGCGGGGACAGCGGAGACAGCGGGGACCGCGTGGACGAGACCGGAGAACAGAGGGACGACAGCGGGACAGCGGGGACAGCGGGACAGCGGAGACAGCGGGACAGCGGAGACGCGGGGACAGCGGGGACAGCGGAGACAGCGGGGACAGCGGAGACAGCGGGGACAGCGGGGACAGCGGAGACAGCGGAGACAGTGGAGACAGCGGGGACAGCGGAGACAGCGGAGACAGCGGGGACAGCGGGGACAGCGGGGACAGCGGGGACAGCGGAGACGCGGGACAGCGGGGACAGCGGAGACAGCGGAGACAGCGGAGACAGCGGGGACAGCGCGGACAGCGGGGACAGCGGGGACAGCGGAGACAGCGGAGACAGCGGGGACAGCGGAGACAGCGGGGACAGCGGGGACAGCGGAGACAGCGGGGACAGCGGGGACAGCGGGGACAGCGGGGACAGCGGGGACAGCGGAGACAGCGGAGACAGCGGGGACAGCGGGGACAGCGGGGACAGCGGGGACAGCGGGGACAGCGGAGACAGCGGGGACAGCGGAGACAGCGGGGAGAGCGGGGAGAGCGGGGAGAGCGGAGACAGCGGGGAGAGCGGGGAGAGCGGAGACAGCGGAGACAGCGGGGAGAGCGGAGAGCGGGGACAGCGGGGACAGCGGAGACAGCGGAGACAGCGGGGACAGCGGGGACAGCGGAGACAGCGGAGACAGCGGAGACAGCGGGGAGAGCGGGGAGAGCGGAGACAGCGGGGACAGCGGAGACAGCGGGGAGAGCGGGGAGAGCGGGGACAGCGGGGAGAGCGGGGAGAGCGGAGACAGCGGGGACAGCGGAGACAGCGGGGAGAGCGGGGAGAGCGGAGACAGCGGAGACAGCGGAGACAGCGGGGAGAGCGGGGAGAGCGGAGACAGCGGGGACAGCGGAGACAGCGGGGAGAGCGGGGAGAGCGGAGACAGCGGAGACAGCGGAGACAGCGGGGAGAGCGGGGAGAGCGGAGACAGCGGGGACAGCGGAGACAGCGGGGAGAGCGGGGAGAGCGGAGACAGCGGAGACAGCGGAAACAGCGGGGACAGCGGGGACAGCGGAGACAGCGGAGACAGCGGGGACAGCGGGGACAGCGGAGACGGCGCGGACGGCGGGGACGGCGGGGACGGCGGGGACGGCGGGGACGGCGGAGACGGCGGAGACGGCGGGGACGGCGGGGACGGCGGAGACGGCGGAGACAGCGGGGACAGCGGGGACAGCGGGGACAGCGGGGACAGCGGAGACAGCGGGGACAGCGGGGACAGCGGAGACAGCGGAGACAGCGGGGACAGCGGGGACAGCGGAGACAGCGGGGACAGCGGAGACAGCGGGGACAGCGGGGACAGCGGGGACAGCGGGGACAGCGGAGACAGCGGGGACAGCGGAGACAGCGGAGACAGCGGAGACAGCGGAGACAGCGGGGACAGCGGGGACAGCGGAGACAGCGGGGACAGCGGAGACAGCGGGGACAGCGGGGACAGCGGAGACAGCGGGGACAGCGGGGACAGCGGGGACAGCGGGGAGAGCGGGGAGAGCGGGGACAGCGTCAGGCTCGGCATTGCCTGATGCGATGGAGGATGGGGTTGGCACATCACAGGAGGATGTTGAACTTCTTTTGCACTCTACTGAGCTAACCGGGCTCAAAGGAGGTGCGGGGGAAGGACAACAAACCAAACACAAAGTACTTCTCAAGAAATTAGTTTTCAATCAAGATGATTAAAAAGTGCATATATCCCGTGGCTTCTTAATATCGGAAGAGCGTTCCAGACGGCCACAGAAGCGCATCTGAAACCGCGCGATGCGGTGACCACCGTCAATCGGCATTGCGTGATGCGATGCGGTGACCACCGTCAGGCTCGGTATTTCGTGATGCGATGCGGTGACCACCGTCAATCGGTATTGCGTGATGCGATGCGGTGACCACCGTCAATCGGCATTGCGTGATGCGATGCATTGACCACCGTCAATCGGCATTGCGTGATGCGATGCGGTGACCACCGTCAATCGGCATTGCGTGATGCGATGCATTGACCACCGTCAATCGGCATTGCGTGATGCGATGCGGTGACCACCGTCAATCGGCATTGCCTGATGCGATGCAGTGACCACCGTCAATCGGCATTGCGTGATGCGATGCGGTGACCACCGTCAATCGGCATTGCCTGATGCGATGCGGTGACCACCGTCAATCGGCATTGCGTGATGCGATGCATTGACCACCGTCAATCGGCATTGCGTGATGCGATGCGGTGACCACCGTCAATCGGTATTGCCTGATGCGATGCAGTGACCACCGTCAATCGGCATTGCGTGATGCGATGCGGTGACCACCGTCAATCGGTATTGCCTGATGCGATGCGGTGACCACCGTCAATCGGCATTGCGTGATGCGATGCGGTGACCACCGTCAATCGGTATTGCCTGATGCGATGCGGTGACCACCGTCAATCGGCATTGCGTGATGCGATGCGGTGACCACCGTCAATCGGTTTTGCGTGATGCGATGCAGTGACCACCGTCAATCGGTATTGCGTGATGCGATGCGGTGACCACCGTCAATCGGTATTGCCTGATGCGATGCAGTGACCACCGTCAATCGGTATTGCGTGATGCGATGCATTGACCACCGTCAATCGGTATTGCCTGATGCGATGCATTGACCACCGTCAATCGGTATTGCCTGATGCGATGCATTGACCACCGTCAATCGGTATTGCCTGATGCGATGCAGTGACCACCGTCAATCGGTATTGCGTGATGCGATGCAGTGACCACCGTCAATCGGTATTGCCTGATGCGATGCATTGACCACCGTCAATCGGTATTGCCTGATGCGATGCATTGACCACCGTCAATCGGTATTGCGTGATGCGATGCAGTGACCACCGTCAATCGGCATTGCGTGATGCGATGCAGTGACCACCGTCAATCGGTATTGCGTGATGCGATGCATTGACCACCGTCAATCGGTATTGCGTGATGCGATGCAGTGACCACCGTCAATCGGTATTGCGTGATGCGATGCAGTGACCACCGTCAATCGGCATTGCCTGATGCGATGCATTGACCACCGTCAATCGGTATTGCGTGATGCGATGCATTGACCACCGTCAATCGGCATTGCGTGATGCGATGCAGTGACCACCGTCAATCGGCATTGCGTGATGCGATGCAGTGACCACCGTCAATCGGTATTGCCTGATGCGATGCAGTGACCACCGTCAATCGGTATTGCCTGATGCGATGCAGTGACCACCGTCAATCGGCATTGCGTGATGCGATGCATTGACCACCGTCAATCGGTATTGCCTGATGCGATGCATTGACCACCGTCAATCGGTATTGCCTGATGCGATGCATTGACCACCGTCAATCGGTATTGCCTGATGCGATGCAGTGACCACCGTCAATCGGTATTGCGTGATGCGATGCAGTGACCACCGTCAATCGGTATTGCCTGATGCGATGCATTGACCACCGTCAATCGGCATTGCGTGATGCGATGCATTGACCACCGTCAATCGGCATTGCCTGATGCGATGCATTGACCACCGTCAATCGGCATTGCGTGATGCGATGCAGTGACCACCGTCAATCGGCATTGCCTGATGCGATGCATTGACCACCGTCAATCGGTATTGCGTGATGCGATGCAGTGACCACCGTCAATCGGCATTGCGTGATGCGATGCAGTGACCACCGTCAATCGGTATTGCGTGATGCGATGCATTGACCTCCGTCAATCGGTATTGCGTGATGCGATGCAGTGACCACCGTCAATCGGTATTGCGTGATGCGATGCATTGACCACCGTCAATCGGTATTGCCTGATGCGATGCATTGACCACCGTCAATCGGCATTGCGTGATGCGATGCATTGACCACCGTCAATCGGTATTGCGTGATGCGATGCAGTGACCACCGTCAATCGGTATTGCGTGATGCGATGCATTGACCACCGTCAATCGGTATTGCCTGATGCGATGCAGTGACCACCGTCAATCGGTATTGCGTGATGCGATGCATTGACCACCGTCAATCGGTATTGCCTGATGCGATGCATTGACCACCGTCAATCGGCATTGCGTGATGCGATGCATTGACCACCGTCAATCGGTATTGCGTGATGCGATGCAGTGACCACCGTCAATCGGTATTGCGTGATGCGATGCATTGACCACCGTCAATCGGTATTGCCTGATGCGATGCATTGACCACCGTCAATCGGTATTGCGTGATGCGATGCAGTGACCACCGTCAATCGGTATTGCGTGATGCGATGCAGTGACCACCGTCAATCGGTATTGCCTGATGCGATGCATTGACCACCGTCAATCGGCATTGCATGATGCAATGCGGTTACCACCGTCAATCGGCATTGCCTGATGCAATGCGGTGACCACCGTCAATCGGCATTGCCTGATGCGATGCGGTGACCACCGTCAATCGGCATTGCGTGATGCGATGCGGTGACCACCGTCAATCGGCATTGCCTGATGCGATGCAGTGACCACCGTCAATCGGTATTGCGTGATGCGATGCGGTGACCACCGTCAATCGGTATTGCGTGATGCGATGCGGTGACCACCGTCAATCGGCATTGCCTGATGCGATGCGGTGACCACCGTCAATCGGCATTGCGTGATGCGATGCGGTGACCACCGTCAATCGGCATTGCCTGATGCAATGCGGTGACCACCGTCAATCGGCATTGCCTGATGCAATGCGGTGACCACCGTCAATCGGCATTGCCTGATGCGATGCGGTAACCACCGTCAATCGGCATTGCGTGATGCGATGCGGTGACCACCGTCAATCGGCATTGCCTGATGCAATGCGGTGACCACCGTCAATCGGCATTGCCTGATGCAATGCGGTGACCACCGTCAATCGGCATTGCCTGATGCGATGCGGTGACCACCGTCAATCGGCATTGCGTGATGCGATGCGGTGACCACCGTCAATCGGCATTGCGTGATGCGATGCGGTGACCACCGTCACCATCGGCATTGCGTGATGCGATGCAGTGACCACCGTCAATCGGCATTGCGTGATGCGATGGAGGATGGGGTTGGCACCTCCGAGGCACAAAAAACTGGGACACGTCACAGGAGGATGTACAGTATGTTGAACTTCTTTTGCACTGTACTTAGCCAACCGGGCTCATCAGAGGTGTGGGGGAAGGACAACAAACTAAACACAAAACGTAAAACTGTAATAGCAATCACGTTCTAAAATTAAATCCGCACTAGAACTTGAGTGATTTGAAGAGGGTCGGTTTAAATGAGAGAGACGGCAGAGCCGAGATGCCTGGAGACGAAACTGGGTGGTTGTTCCAAGACTTTGGGGTAGCAGCTACGTTCAGTGCTTTTGATGCACGTTGTGTGCGAACTCTGGGAACTCTTTTTCACGGGCGTGATTTGTTGTCATTAAAGAATCCAGACTACGGTGGGAATTTCAAAAGAAGGGAACAATTCTGGGAACTAATAACAATCAGTCGCGCATCACAGATGTTTTTGGGGGATTGTCCCATGGTAGGAACAACGACAGGCTGGACAATTAGAGAGCAGGTCTACGGGCAGCAGCAGTAGCAGCAGCAGTAGCAGCAGCAGTAGCAGCAGCAGCGGCGGCAGCAGCGGCAGTAGCAGCGGCAGCAGCAGCAGCGGCAGCATCGGCAGCAGCAGCGGCAGCAGCAGCAGTAGCAGCAGCAGCAGTGGCAGCAGCAGTAGCAGCAGCGGCAGCAGCAGCAGCAGCGGCAGCAGCAGCAGTAGCAGCAGCAGTAGCAGCAGCAGTAGCAGCAGTAGCAGCAGCAGCGGCAGCAGCGGCAGCAGCCGTGTCGATGACGATCGCCCCGAAGTGAAAACGCCTTCTCATGTCCAAGGACGACGGCCCCAGCGATGGTCTCACCGCGCACGGCACGGGGCTGAGGCCGCACGCCTTCACGGCGACCACCACCGCGTGGGTGTCCACCTCTCGCGATCCGGGGGTCGACTTTCCCACCACCTCCTCCACCTCCTCCTCCGCCTGCTCCTTGCCGTGCAGGAAGAACTGCGGTCGATCGCCCGTGGCGTCCATGAAGAGGCCCCCCATGACGGGAGCCGTAGACAGGAGGGAAGAAGGGCGGCTGACAGCCCCGTCTGGAGAGACGAGGAGATGAAGAGGACGACTTCTGGTGGAACGTGGGGGGAGGGATGAGACGCGCCATGGGTGCGTAAGTCGATAAAGATCCCCGTATAGCCTACAAGAGACGTGGGCCACCGCGGTGGCTAGGAGATGTTAACTTCCTCGCCTGGTATGCAGGAGGTCGTGGGTTCCATCCCTAACCCTGACGCCTGCTGCTGTATATTTGGAGTCTGCGTCTCTCTCTCCATGGTCACTTGTATTTTTCTGCGGCTCCTCCGGGTTTTCCCTTCACATTTATAATCAACGACCACTTAGATTGTTTGGCTGCTATACATTCTCACGTGATAAGCCACGTCGTTCCAGCTATGATTTGTCGCCAGGTCGCTGATGAAAAAGAGCTGCAGATCTCGGTGGGCTTTACATGTGTCATGACACTAGAGCCTGCATGCGGTGTGAGTGGACTAGTGGCCACGGGAGGTAATGACGGGGGAGTCGGCCTGCAGTGCGAGTGGACTAGTGGCCACGGGAGGTAATGACAGAGGAGTCAGCCTGCAGTGAGAGTGGACTAGTGGCTACGGGAGGTAATGACAGGGGAGTCAGCATGCAGTGCGAGTGGACTAGTGGCCACGGGAGGTAATGACAGGGGAGTCAGCATGCAGTGCGAGTGGACTAGTGGCCACGGGAGGTAATGACAGAGGAGTCAGCATGCAGTGCGAGTGGACTAGTGGCTACGGGAGGTAATGACAGGGGAGTCAGCATGCAGTGCGAGTGGACTAGTGGCTACGGGAGGTAATGACAGAGGAGTCAGCATGCAGTGCGAGTGGACTAGTGGCCACGGGAGGTAATGACAGGGGGAGTCAGCCTGCAGTGCGAATGGACTAGTGGCCACGGGAGGTAATGACAGGGGAGTCAGCCTGCAGTGCGAGTGGACTAGTGGCCACGGGAGGTAATGACAGGGGGAGTCAGCCTGCAGTGCGAATGGACTAGTGGCCACGGGAGGTAATGACAGGGGAGTCAGCATGCAGTGCGAGTGGACTGGTGGCCACGGGAGGTAGTGACAGGGGAGTCAGCCTGCAGTGCGAGTGGACTGGTGGCCACGGGAGGTAATGACAGGGGAGGCACCTGTGAGTACGAAGGGACTGGTGGCTACGGGAGTGATCGAGAAGGGAGCGTGGTCAGGTGACGGAAGAGGACAGTAGAGTCTGCCGGTCGGTACGATCCGTCTCAGAAGCCGCCGCTTCTGAAAAAGTTATTTAGCTCAGTGGGCCTTACCTGGTAAAATAAAAAGTCGTTAATAGTCGGTAAGTGTTGTTAGTAAGACCTATGAAGGATGGCATGGCACACGAGGGAGTGGGTGGCAAGCACCACGCCCGGCCGCCTTTGTTTCCCTAGTGCTGATGTTTACACACCGCACCAGGTGCTCGTTTAAAGCTGAGTTGACCTAGAGGAGACCCAGCACCAGTCCACTGAATTCGTCACCGATGTGACCGAGAGCGGGAAACGAACTGTAGTCACCAGGTTCGTAGCACAGCGCTCCAACCACAGGCACATACTACCACCACCATACACTACTCATCACCATGAGCCATGATCCATCCACCGCTGAATGAAGATCTGCCAAGCCACATCGCCATCACGGGTCACCATCCATGACCACAGCCACATTTGCCAACTGGCTGTGCGGGACCCAGGAGCCCTGGATTTGATTGCGAGCGACGTTCACAGCAACGAGCGGAGCGCCGGGTGGCTAAAACGCAGTGAGGTGGAACAGTGGGGAGCACAGGTGGTGCATCTGCCGTTCATCTCAGTCAACCCGTGTCACCTGGGTATGCCCCGTGACCTCCTCCTGCACCTAGCCTGGCACAGCAGTCAACCCATGTCACCTAGGGATGTCCCGTGACCTCCTCCTGCACCTAGCCTGGCACAGCAGTCAACCCATGTCACCTGGGGATGTCCCGTGACCTCCTCCTGCACCTAGCCTGGCACAGCAGTCAACCCATGTCGCCTGGATATGTCCCGTGACCTCCTCCTGCACCTAGCCTGGCACAGCAGTCAACCCATGGCACCTGGGTCTGTCCCGTGACCTCCTGCACCTAGCCTGGCACAGCAGTCGACCCGTGTCACCTGGGGATGTCCCGTGACCTCCTCCTGCACCTAGCCTGGCACAGCAGTCAATCCATGTCGCCTGGATATGTCCCGTGACCTCCTGCACGTAGCCTGGCACAGCAGTCAACCCATGGCACCTGGGAATGCCCCGTGACCTCCTCCTGCACCTAGCCTGGCACAGCAGTCAACCCATGGCACCTGGGTCTGTCCCGTGACCTCCTCCTGCACCTAGCCTGGCACAGCAGTCAACCCATGTCACCTGGATATGTCCCGTGACCTCCTCCTGCACCTAGCCTGGCACAGCAGTCAACCCATGGCACCTGGGAATGCCCCGTGACCTCCTCCTGCACCTAGCCTGGCACAGCAGTCAACCCATGGCACCTGGGTCTGTCCCGTGACGTCCTCCTGCACCGAGCCTGGCACAGCAGTCAACCCATGTCATCTGGGCATGCCCCGTGACCTCCCCCTGCACCTAGCCTGGCACAGCAGTCAACCCATGTCACCTGGGTTTGTCCCGTGACCTCCCCCTGCACCTAGCCTGGCACAGCAGTCAACCCATGTCACCTGGGGATGTCCCGTGACCTCCTCCTGCACCTAGCCTGGCACAGCAGTCAACCCATGTCACCTGGGTATGCCCCGTGACCTCCTCCTGCACCTAGCCTGGCACAGCAGTCAACCCATGTCACCTGGGTCTGTCCCGTGACCTCCTCCTGCACCTAGCCTGGCACAGCAGTCAAACCATGTCACCTGGGGATGTCCCGTGACCTCCTCCTGCACCTAGCCTGGCACAGCAGTCAACCCATGTCACCTGGGTCTGTCCCGTGACCTCCTCCTGCACCTAGCCTGGCACAGCAGTCAACCCATGTCACCTGGGTCTGTCCCGTGACCTCCTCCTGCACCTAGCCTGGCACAGCAGTCAACCCATGTCACCTGGGTCTGTCCCGTGACCTCCTCCTGCACCTAGCCTGGTACAGCAGTCAACCCATGTCACCTGGGTCTGTCCCGTGACCTCCTCCTGCACCTAGCCTGGCACAGCAGTCAACCCATGTCACCTGGGTCTGTCCCGTGACCTCCTCCTGCACCTAGCCTGGCACAGCAGTCAACCCATGTCGCCTGGGTCTGTCCCGTGACCTCCTGCACCTAGCCTGGCACAGCAGTCAACCCGTGTCACCTGGGTATGCCCCGTGACCTCCTCCTGCACCTAGCCTGGCACAGCAGTCAACCCATGTCACCTGGGTCTGTCCCGTGACCTCCTCCTGCACCTAGCCTGGCACGGCAGTCAACCCATGTCACCTGGGTATGCCCCGTGACCTCCTCCTGCACCTAGCCTGGCACAGCAGTCAACCCATGTCACCTGGGTATGCCCCGTGACCTCCTCCTGCACCTAGCCTGGCACGGCAGTCAACCCATGTCACCTGGGTCTGTCCCGTGACCTCCTCCTGCACCTAGCCTGGCACAGCAGTCAACCCATGTCACCTGGGCATGCCCCGTGACCTCCTCCTGCACCTAGCCTGGCACAGCAGTCAACCCATGGCACCTGGGCATGCCCCGTCACCTCCTCCTGCACCTAGCCTGGCACAGCAGTCAACCCATAGCACCTGGGTATGCCCCGTGACCTTCTCCTGCACCTAGCCTGGTACAGCAGTCAACCCATAGCACCTGGGTCTGTCCCGTGACCTCCTCCTGCACCTAGCCTGGCACAGCAGTCAACCCATGTCACCTGGGTCTGTCCCGTGACCTCCTCCTGCACCTAGCCTGGCACAGCAGTCAACCCATGTCACCTGGGTCTGTCCCGTGACCTCCTCCTGCACCTAGCCTGGCACAGCAGTCAACCCATGTCACCTGGGTCTGTCCCGTGACCTCCTCCTGCACCTAGCCTGGCACAGCAGTCAACCCGTGTCACCTGGGTCTGTCCCGTGACCTCCTCCTGCACCTAGCCTGGCACAGCAGTCAACCCATGTCACCTGGGTCTGTCCCGTGACCTCCTCCCGCCAGCAGGACGCAGCGATGCCCACGTGACGCGCACTGCTCCGTGTGCACCCAACCTGGCACGGGTCACGTGGTGAGACGGCGACTCGGATCACGGGGTAAGTCGTAAAGCAGCGCCGTAAAGTGTCGTGAACAGCAAACCGAAGGGAGTGTCGTGAAGCCGTCATGTGTTTGTATGTCGTAAAGCGCGGCCAGTAAGCCGTAAAGCACGCCCTGTGTGTCGTAAAGCTCGAACACCGTATGTCGTAAAGCTCGTACCCGTATGTCGTAAAGTACGCCCCGTATGTCGTGAAGTGTCGTGAGGCGACCAGATACAGTGGGCCGTGCCGTAAAGCAAAGAGCGAACTCGGAAATGTTTTAATTTTTACTTTCAGTACAAATGGAGTTTGAGTAAAACACGTTTCATTTACTGAAGGGCTCTGTCTGCTTCAATGGGCACTGTTAGTGTAACATTTCACGTGCCAATTAAACAAAAAAACGTGTTAATCAGAAAAAAAACATTGTGCAATTGTTCTTATCAGGCCCCATTGCGTAAACAAGTGCAGTCCACAACTCGTATTATATCCACTGTCTCTTTCCGCGCTGTGAAGAAGGGCCATTGCCCGAAACGTCGCCTTCTGTTGACTTTCGAGGCCACGCAGCGCAGCTGACAGGAGGCGCCGTAAAATGTTGGGCGTGCCGTAAAGCGAAGGGAGAGTGAGTGTCGTGAAGTGTCGTGAAGCGCTTGTCGTTTGTCTCCGCCCATTGGCCGAACCCCGCGCGCGCGTTGCGCGAGACGCAGACAGACAGAGACACAGTGAGACAGAGTGAGACACAGAGAGAGACACAGAGTGAGACAGAGACAGAGACACAGAGTGAGACAGAGACACAGACAGAGTGAGACACAGTGAGACACAGAGAGACGCAGAGACAGAGACACAGTGAGACAGAGTGAGACACAGAGAGAGACACAGAGAGACGCAGAGACACAGAGTGAGAGACAGACACAGAGTGAGACAGACACAGAGTGAGACAGACACAGAGTGAGACAGAGACACAGAGAGACACAGATACAGACACAGAGACGCAGAGACAGAGACACAGGGAGGCAGGGAGACAGAGAGACACAGTGAGACACAGAGACAGGGAGACACAGTGAGTGAGACAGATAGACAGAGACAGACAGAGACAGCGATAGACAGAGACACAGAGATACAGAGACAGACAGATACAGACAGAGACAGACAGGGAGCCACAGAGAATGAGACACAGACATATATAGAGAGACACAGACACTGGGACAGAGACAGAGAGACTGGGAGAGAGAGATAGATAGGGAGACACAGAGATAGAGAGACAGATACACGGAGAGAAAGACAGGCAGAGATACACAGAGACAGAGACACAGAGTGAGACAGAGACAGACATAGAGACAGACAGGGAGACACCGGGAGTGACACAGAGATAGACACCGAGACACAGAGATAGACAGAGAGACAGACAGAGATAGACAGAGACACAGAGACAGACAGAGAGACAGAGATAGACACCGAGATACAGAAACTCGAGAGACACGGAAATCTTCCTGAGGGCGGCACCCGCGCCGCCTCCACCCCTCAGCCCTCGCCCCAGCCCATCATCATCAGCAGCCCCAGCCCCAGTCTCATCCCCAGCCCATCATCAGCAGCAGCCCCAAGCCCCAGTCTCATCACAAGCTCATCATCATCAGCAGCAGCCCCAAGCCCCCAGCCCCAGTCTCATCCCCAGCCCATCATCATCAGCAGCAGCAGCCCCAGCCCCAGTCTCACCCCCAGCCCATCATCATCAGCAGCAGCAGCAGCCCCAGCCCCAGTCTCACCCCAACCCATCATCAGCAGCCCCAAGCCCCAGTCTCATCCCCAGCCCATCATCATCAGCAGCCCCAAGCCCCAGTCTCATCCCCAGCCCATCAGCAGCATCATCAGCTTCAGCCCCAAGTCGCGATTTCCACACCGCCCGCGGCCTCCGACTCGTCCCGAGGCCCATCACGCTGGAGGCCGGAGCCCGTCTGCCGCCTGCCGGCATCCCTCGCCTCCCTCTCCGCCTCCTCCCCACACCGCCACCGCCGCGGAGATGTCGTCCCTGGCCCACCCCGGGGTCGTCTCGGGCGGTGCAGGTGAGGAAGGAGGAGAGGGTGGGAAGGAGGAGAGGGAAGGAGGAGAGGGAAGGAGCAGAGGTCGCAACCGGGTACACAGGAGGTCGTGGGTTCAATCTCAGACACTGAGAGATGTTGACTACCTCGCCTGGTCTACAGGAGGTCGTGGGTTCAATCCCAGACCCTGAGAGATGTTGACTACCTCGCCTGGTACACAGGAGGTCGTGGGTTCAATCTCAGACACTGAGAGATGTTGACTACCTCGCCTGGTACACAGGAGGTCGTGGGTTCAATCCCAGACCCTGAGAGATGTTGACTACCTCGCCTGGTACACAGGAGGTCGTGGGTTCAATCCCAGACACTGAGAGATGTTGACTACCTCGCCTGGTACACAGGAGGTCGTGGGTTCAATCCCAGACCCTGAGAGATGTTGACTACCTCGCCTGGTCTACAGGAGGTCGTGGGTTCAATCCCAGACCCTGAGAGATGTTGACTACCTCGCCTGGTACACAGGAGGTCGTGGGTTCAATCCCAGACCCTGAGAGATGTTGACTATCTCGCCTGGTCTACAGGAGGTCGTGGGTTCAATCCCAGACCCTGAGAGATGTTGACTACCTCGCCTGGTACACAGGAGGTCGTGGGTTCAATCCCAGACCCTGAGAGATGTTGACTACCTCGCCTGGTACACAGGAGGTCGTGGGGCCATTGACCGAGCAACCCAACGTTTCTACCAGCTCCCTCCGCAGGAATGTGTTCAAAGCAGTATATATCACGATGGCAACATGTTACAATTACACAAAAAGTTACAAACGGTTGAATGAGTTATCGAGTTTTATCAACCATTTTATAAATGCCTGTGTGTTCCTCCAACTGCTGTGCGGACAACATCGAGACGATAAATTTCGATTTAAAGCTTTCGTGACTGCAGGGATTCATCTTCTTGGTTCTTTCGGTAAAGTCACGTAGAAGGGAAATAATAAAATAATAAAAATCAAACAATAAAATACAATTTTAAAATACTAAAAATTAAACGTCATAAAATACAATTTTAAAATAATAAAAATAAAACATAATAAATTACAATTTTAAAATAATAAAATACAATTTTAAAATAATAAAATAAAACGTAATAAAATACAAATTTAAAATAATAAAAATCAAACATAATAAAATACTATTTTAAAATACTACAAATTAAACATAATAAATTACAATTTTAAAATACTAAAAATAAAACATAATAAAATACAAATTTAAAATACTAAAAATAAAACATAATAAAATACAATTTTAAAATACTAAAAATAAAACATAATAAAATACAATTTTTAAATAATAAAAATAAAACTAATAAAATACAATTTTAAAATAATAAAAATCAAACGTAATAAAATACAAATTTAAAAGACTAAAAATAAAACGTAATAAAATTACAATTTTAAAATACTAAAAATAAAACATAGCAAAATTATTCTCGCGACGTTTCGGCCACAACGCAAGCAGCCGTCCTCAGGTGAAGACCAGGTTTGTCTTCTACGTGACTTCACCGACGGAACCAAGATGATCGAGACGATAGTTTGATTCGTTCCAAATGCAGTGGCGGCTCCTGCAAAATCTCTCAGGGGGGGCAAATGTTTGGATGATTGATAAGGATAAGGTCCACCCATGCAATGGATAAATTAACAGCTTAAGCATGTGAAGGCAACTTCACTTCTTTAATATTAATGAAAAATAAAGTGACTCTTACAAAAAAAAAAAAAAATAAAAAAAAAAAAAAAAGAGAGGGGAGGAGGGTGGGAAGGAGGGGAAGGAAGGAGGAGAGGGAAGGAGGGTGGGAAGGAGGGGAAGGAAGGAGGGGAAGGAAGGAGGAGAGGGAAGGAGGAGAGGGAAGGAGGAGAGGGGAGGAGGGTGGGAAGGAGGGGAAGGAAGGAGGAGAGGGAAGGAGGGTGGGAAGGAGGGGAAGGAAGGAGGGGAAGGAAGGAGGAGAGGGAAGGAGGAGAGGGAAGGAGGAGAGGGGAGGAGGGTGGGAAGGAGGGGAAGGAAGGAGGAGAGGGAAGGAGGGTGGGAAGGAGGGGAAGGAAGGAGGGGAAGGAAGGAGGAGAGGGAAGGAGGAGAGGGAAGGAGGAGAGGGAAGGAGGAGAGGGAGGGAGGAGAGGGAAGGAGGAGAGGGAAGGAGGAGAGGGAAGGAGGAGAGGGAAGGAGGAGAGGGAAGGAGGGTGGGAAGGAGGGAGGATTGGAGGAGGAAGGATCATCATAGCAGAGGTCGCAACCGGGTACCCGATACCCGTACCCTACCCGATACCCGGCTACCCGTACCCGGCCGGGTACGGGTAGCCGGGTACCCGTTTGCGACCCTGGTGCGGCCGGGTACGGGTACCCTGGTGCGGCCGGGTACGGGTAAGGAATCAAACCCGTTTGCGACCTCTGCAGCATAGCGCATCGCATGCTGTGATGTAGAACAGCAAAAGAGTTGTATCATTAAGGCCGCACTGTTGTTGACAAACGTGTCGAGTGTATTTACTGTGAGTTGTTCGCGCTTGTGTGTGCCACTGATACGCGTGTGTGTATCATACATATCGATATCTCACCAGACAAAAAAGAGAGGGGGGGGAAGGAGGGTGGGTAGAAGGAAGGATGGGAGGGAAGGAGGAAGGGAGGGTTGAAGGAGATAGGGAGGGTTGAAGGAAGGATGGGAAGGAAGGGAGTGAAGATGGAACAGAGTTTTAGATTAATAAAAACAAAATGAAAAAGGGAGGGAAGGAGGGAGTGAGTGAATGAGGGAGGGAGTGAAGGACGGAGTGAGTGAGTGAATGAGGGAGTGAACGCGGGAGTGAGTGAATGAGGGAGTGAGTGAATGAGGGAGGGAAGGAAGGAGGGAGTGAGTGAGGAAGGGAGTGAGTGAATTAGGGAATGAGTGAATGAGGGAGGGAAGGAAGGAGGGAGTGAGGAAGGGAGTGAATGAGGGAGTGAGTGAATGAGGGAGTGAGTGAATGAGGGAGTGAGTGAATGAGGGAGGGAAGGAAGGAGGGAGTGAGGAAGGGAGTGAATGAGGAAGTGAGTGAATGAGGGAGTGAGTGAATGAGGGAGTGAGTGAATGAGGGAGTGAATGAGGGAGTGAGTGAATGAGGGAGGGAGTGAAGGACGGAGTGAGTGAGTGAATGAGGGAGTGAACGCGGGAGTGAGTGAATGAGGGAGTGAGTGAATGAGGGAGTGAGTGAATGAGGCAGTGAGTGAATGAGGGAGTGAGTGAATGAGGGAGGGAATGAGGGAAGGAAGGAGGGAGTGAGTGAATGAGGGAGTGAGTGAATGAGGGAGGGAATGAGGGAAGGAAGGAGGGAGTGAGTGAACGCGGGAGTGAGTGAATGAGGGAGGGAAGGAAGGAGGGAGTGAGTGAGGAAGGGAGTGAGTGAATTAGGGAGTGAATGAGGGAGTGAGTGAATGAGGGAGTGAGTGAGGGAGTGAGTGAGTGAATGAGGGACGGAAGGAAGGAGGGAGTGAGGAAGGGAGTGAATGAGGAAGTGAGTGAATGAGGGAGTGAGTGAATGAGGGAGTGAGTGAATGAGGGAGTGAGTGAATGAGGGAGGGAAGGAAGGAGGGAGTGAGGAAGGGAGTGAATGAGGGAGTGAGTGAATGAGGGAGTGAGTGAATGAGGGAGTGAGTGAATGAGGGAGTGAGTGAATGAGGGAGGGAAGGAAGGAGGGAGTGAGGAAGGGAGTGAATGAGGAAGTGAGTGAATGAGGGAGTGAGTGAATGAGGGAGTGAGTGAATGAGTGAATGAGGGAGTGAGTGAATGAGGGAGTGAGTGAATGAGGGAGTGAATGAGGGAGTGAATGAGTGAGTGAGGAAGGGAGTGAAGGAGGGAAGGAAGGAGGGAGGGGGTGAATGAGTGAGTGAAGGAGGAAGGGAGTGAACTTGGAAGGGAGTGAATGAGTGAGTGAATGAGGGAGTGAGTGAACGAGGGAGTGAGTGAACGAGGGAATGAATGAGTGAGTGAATGAGTGAGTGAACGAGGGAGTGAATGAGTGAGTGAAGGAGGGAGTGAGTGAACGAGGGAGTGAATGAAGGAGGGAGTGAGAGTGAATGAGGGAGTGAATGAGGGAGTGAGTGAATGAGGGAGTGAGAGTGAATGAGGGAGTGAATGAGTGAGTGAGTGAAGGAGGGAGTGAGTGAAGGAGGGAGTGAGTGAAGGAGGGAGTGAGTGAAGGAGGGAGGGAGTGAATGAGTGAGTGAGTGAATGAGGGAGTGAATGAAAGAGTGAACTTGGAAGGGAGTGAACTCGACTCTTGCTCAAGGCTCCTGTTGTTGCTCTCGCTCTGTCCGGATGCGTCCCGGCCAGGAGCCGCCCGGCTCCCTCCTGGCGGAGCAAGCGGCGATAAAGGGGCGGCGAGTTGGTGGTGGTGGTGGTGGCGGCGAGTTGGTGGTGGTGGTGGTGGCGGCGAGTTGGTGGTGGTGGTGGTGGTGGTGGTGGTGGTGGCGGTGGTGGTGGTGGTGGTGGTGGCGGCGGTGGTGGTGGCGAAGGTGGTGGCGGTGGTGGCGGCGAGGTGGTGGCGGTGGTGGTGGTGGCGGTGTTGGTGGTGGTGGTGGCGGCGAGGTGGTGGTGGTGGCGAGTTGGTGGTGGTGGTGGTGGTGGCGGTGTTGGTGGTGGCGGCGAGTTGGTGGTGGCAGTGTTGGTGGTGGTGGCGGTGGCGGTTGTGTTGGTGGTGTGAAACTGTCTTAGAGAGAGGGGGTAGAGAGAGAGTGTGAAATCTATTGTGAAATATTTCATTTAAAAAAGGGGGGGGGGGGGGTTACATAAAGCACAGCATTAAAAAACATGAAATGATGAACGAAGCAAAGTGCCGACTACACCGAGCATCTTCTTGTTTCCTCTGATCGGAAAAGAAAGAGAGAAACTGTCTTCGCCGTGGGATTCCAGGCAACACAATGCCATGTGGGCTTATGCGGCCTCCACATGAGTCGATGGGGTCACTGTGTGAGACTTGGAGTCTCTATGGGCCTCTGTCAATGCATGCATCTCCGTGTGAGTCCATGATTCTCTACGTTCGTACCGTATATGGGTCTATGGACGAGTATATGGTGGTTCTGTGTGAGTCTCGGGATGTACCTCTGACTCTGCGAGTCTACGTTTGGGTGTCCACCTGAGCCTGTGAGTCTCTGTGCCAGTCGACAGGGTGTGTGTGGTGTGATGGGTGTCCTGCGGTTTGTGGGGAGTGATGTAATGCGTCTCTGTGGGGTGATGCGTGTCCTGTATGGTGGGGTGTGTCATGCCGTGAGACCTGCCTGTAGAGTGGGGGGGGGGGGTGTTCGTTCTGTGGCCAGTACCCTACAGTACAGTATTATGCTTGCTGTGTGTGCTGTGTGTTTTTGCTGTGGTGTGTTCTGTGGTTTGTGTGCTGTTGTGTGTATCCTGTGTTGTGCTGTGTGTGATGTGTGGGGTATGCATGGTGTGTGTGCTATGCCTTATCCCCTGTGTTGTGCTGTGTGTGATGTGTGGTGTATAATGTGTGGTGTGTGTGCTGTGTTGTGCTGTGTGTGCTGTGTTGTGCTGTGTGTGCTGTGCTGTGTTGTGCTATGTGTGCTGTGTGGTGTAAATGTGTGGTGTGTGTGCTCTGCCATGTACCCTGTGTTGTGCTGTGTGTGCTGTGTGTGCTGTGTTGTGCTGTGTGTGCTGTGTGGTGTATAATGTGGTGTGTGTGCTGTGTGGTGTATAATGTGGTGTGTGTGCTGTGTGGTGTATGTGTGGTGTGTGTGCTCTGTTGTATACCCTGTGCTGTACTGTGTGTGCTGTGTGGTGTATAATGTGGGTGGTGTATACTGTGGTGTGCTGTGTGATGTATAATGCATGGTGTGTGTGCTGTATAATGTGTTGTGTGTGCTGTATAATGTGCTGTGTGGTGTATAATGCATGGTGTGTATGCTGTGCCGTGTACCCTGTTGTTGTGCTGTGCCACACAGGTGGGGCCGACTGTTGGATCGTGACTCTGGAGGAGCGGGAAAAGCACCACCATCTCTTCTACAGCCTCTCCCCAGCCGGCGGATTCATCACAGGCACGACCTCGCTCCGTCTCCGCACAGCACCTGCTGTCAACGTGCACCAACGTTGGCCATTCCCAGGGCTTAGCCCAGTGTTCTTCACTCACTTTCAGAGGGGGGCCACTCTGGCCGATAAGACATCATCGGTGTGAGGGCCGCCACTCATTTGAAACCATTGAGGCTTTGACTGCAGCACGATGACGATGATGATGATGGGCGTTTTCACTTTTGTGTCTTGTCGGGGGCCGCACGTTAGGGCCTGCACGGCAGCCGGAGGCGTCGGTGTGAATCTGTTCGTGATGTGAATTAGTGAAAGCCGAAGTGCCTCATGTAGGTGTGTGAATTCTCCCCCCCCCCACCGGGGTCACTCAGGGGTCAGAGATACCGAGCAGAAACTACCGCCTTTTGGCGTCATCTGGTCCAACAGCATGTGAGACTAGGCTCTAAGGAAAGCTGTCTCGGGTGTGGACCAATCAACATCAAGGACAGTGCATACATTATCAGAGTTATGTTTTTTTTGTTTGCATTATGACTGCAGGTATTGTGGTCAATGCAAATATGACTCTTTGTAAATAAAGGTGTCAGTTTTGTTGCCAGATAAAAGGGTAAAAAAACAATTGTCAAACCACTGAGAGTTTCGGTTCAAGTCTGGGTTTCAGTCGCCACCGACTCCTCCGGCTTTCCGACTTGCCCCTGCACGTTCCGAGGTTATTGAGTACAACTTTGACGTAGGGCAATAGCTGATGACTTCCCCACAAAGCAGTACCGATTTTATCGACCTCCGTTGAACGATGGGCTGAGACAACTCCCCAAACAGGATTTGACCTTGCCTTCCGATTGTGAGCCACTCGCTCTACCATTGAGGCACCCGAATGCAAAACCAAATTTAACGCAGCGATGAGTTCTTGTTTTCGATGTAAAGCTTTCGTGACTGCAGGGATTCATCTTCTTGGTTCTTTCGGTAAAGTCACGTAGACAGACCTGGTCTTCACCTGAGGACGGCTGCTTGCGTTGTGGCCGAAACGTCGTAAGAATTATTTTATTACGTTTTATTTTATTATTTTTATTATTTCCATTCTACGTGACTTTACCGAAAGAACCAAGAAGATGAGTTCTTGTTTTGTGCCGTCATTGGTGACCGGGCTGACACCATCAACTCGCTCCACTTGAGGATGCGGTTTAATCACAGGCGAGGGTTGAGACTTGGGATTCGATCTCAGTGGTGTTGGATCAGCGTTCATGACCTCTGGCTACGCACTGGAGTCCTTAACAGTGTCGCTGTGTGCGTGCGTAGGGAGCGCGGTGGTGCAGTGGCCAGCTAGCGCGCTGGACTACGATCGCCAGCGATCTTAGTTCGACTCCCGCTCACGCCCACAGTGAGGATTATCTGAAGTGGTACTGGGCCTCCCCTAGGTCGACTCAACCTCATATGAGTACCCGGTGCGATGTCTAAACATCGACAAGAGGGAGACAAAGGCAGCCGGGCCTGGTGCCGTATACCGGCCTTCGCAGCTGCTTACTTGCAGCAATTGCTGCAAAAGTGTGTTCGGGCTAGACGTGGGATCTTTGTTCTTTGGTTCTTTCGGTAAAGTCACGTATAAAGATAAAATAATAAATTAAATGAAATACTAGCATACGACGTTTCGATTGCAACACAAGCAATAATCATCAGGTATAGATTAAATAGAAACACAAATCTAGTATACTTAGAAATGTAATGTAATACAACAGAGAGTCGGATAACATAACAGTCAACACCCTATCTGGTTGATCTTCTTGGTTCTTTCGGTAAAGTCACGTAGAAGGGAAGTAATAAAATAATAAAAATAAAACATAATAAAATTATTCTCACGACTTTTCGGCAACGCAAGCAGCCGTCCTCAACGCAAGCAGCCGTCCTCAGGTGAAAACCAGGTCCGTCGAGGCGACAGAGACTCTGGCCGAAAAGCCGTGAGAATAATTTTATTATGTTTTATTTTTATTATTTTATTACTTCCCTTCTACGTGACTTTACCGAAAGAACCAAGAAGATGAATCCCTGCAGTCACGAAAGCTTTAAATCAAAACCTATCTGGTTGATTACGTTCTTCCTGAGAATGCTAAAATTTGAGAGAGAGATAGAACACAGAACCAGAAACATATAGACAGACATATAAGCAGACAGACATCACAGAGATACATAGAGAGAGCACAAACATAGGAACACAGAAACGTCGTATGCTAGTATTTAATTTAATTTATTATTTTATCTTTATACGTGACTTTACCGAAAGAACCAAAGAATAATTCCTGCAGTCACGAAAGCTCCAAATTAAGTGGGACCTTTGTCTTTGTGTGCGCACATGTAGGGGAGCAGGCACGAGGCTTCTTCCTGCAGTCCGGGCTGCCGCAGCTGGTGCTGGCGCAAGTCTGGTGAGTGGCCTCCCCGCCCCTCGCCGCGGATCTCGCTGATTTGCTGTCACCTGCCTTGACGTGCGTGGTGGATGTGTCCGTACTTGTCTGCGTGTGCAGCCCTTCGGTGTGTGGGGTTGTGTCTGGCTCGTGGCGGTGTACGATGCTGCGCGAGGTTGTGTGTTGCTGCGTGCAGGTGTGTGTGGTGGTATGTTTGTGTGTGACGTGTGTCCGTGCGGCCGCGTGTGACGTGTGGCCGCGTGCAGGTGTGTCCGTGTGTCCGTGTGTGACGTGTGTCCGTGTGTCCGTGTGTCCGTGTGTGACGTGTGTGGTGGTATGTTTGTGGTTGTGTGTGACGTGTGGCTGCGTGTGACATGTGTCCGTGTGTCCGTGTGTGATGTGTGTGGTGGTATGTTTGTGTCTGTGTGTGACGTGTGTGACGTGTGTGACGTGTGTGACGTGTGTCCGTGTGGCCGCGTGCGTGTGTAGGGCCCTCGCGGACGACGATCGCGACGGCCGCGTCGACCTCGTTGGCTTCTCGGTGGCGATGAAGCTCATCAAGATGGCCCTGCTGGGCCACCCGCTGCCCGTCGCGGTGCCGCCCATCACGCTGCACTCGCTCACCGGGCACGCCCATGGTGAGCTCGCCGCTCGTGAGCTCGTCGCTCGTTCCTCAGCGCGGGTCTTCGGTGCTCACCCCTAATTGTGGCGTGTGGTGTGGGCTCGTGAGCAGAGGTCGCAATCGGGTACCCGATACCCGTACCCTACCCCATACCCGGCTACCCGTACCCGGCCGGGTACGGGTACCCGTTTGCGACCCTGGTGCGGCCAGGTACTGGTACGGGTAGACCGTGAGTCACTGGTGAGTAACTGTTTGTCACTCATTTCCCAACGTCTTGTCTCTTCTCACAATTCAAGTTCCTAGAATCAACCCACCCGCGCCTGCAACATGGCTTCATCCCAGAGGTCGCAATCGGGTACCCGATACCCGTACCCTACCCGTACCCAGTCGGGTACGGGTAGAGTACGGGTACGGCCGGGTACGGGTACGGGTACCTGTTTGCGACCCTGGTGCTGCCGGGTACGGGTAAGGAATCAAAACCCGTTAGCGACCTCTGCTCGTGAGTGGCCAGCCAGCGTGCGCTTCTTCTGTCTGATGATTTTACAAGTGTCGGCGAACCTCCCCCATCCCCGCATCTTCTTTGAAGGTGTCTTGACTCACGTGGACAAGGCTGTGAGAGCATTGTACATGCACTGTGGTGATCACGTGACACCTACGCAGTGCATGATGAGAGTCGTGCCTTGCTGCTGTTTGTGAGCAGCACACCTTGACCCACTCACCCACCCACCCATTCATTCACCGACTCACCAACTCGCTCACCCACTCACTCAGCCACCCACTCACCCACTCACTCATCCACTCACTCGATCACGCACTCACTCACTTGCCCGTACCTCCGCGTGCTGTTCACCCCCCTTATTCGCTCTCCAGCCTGCACGTCGCGTTCTCCTGCAGCGACGGCGCTACTCATCGTTGACAGGAAGTGTGGGACATGTTGGTGGTGTTTGTAGGGAGGACAGCAGCTGCTGCCCCTTGCCATCTCTCCCCCGGAGTGGCGCCGCCGCAGCCCATGCTGCCCGGCTCAGCGCACGCCGTGCCACCCTGCGTCTCTGTGGGGGAGGGGCCGACTCACGCTCCCGCGTTCCCAGTGTCTGGTGAGACCTCCTTTGCCCTGCTCATGTCTCTGTGTGTGAGTGTAAATGTGTGGAGTGTAAATGTGTGGGGAGCGGTAGTGTAGCGGTTAGCGCGCTGCGCTACAAACTTGGCGACCCGAGTTCGATTCCCGCTCACGGCCAACACCAGTGACGATTATCTGAACCGGTCCTGGGCCTCCCCTAGATCGACTCGACCTCAAATGAGTACCTGATGGCGATGTGTAAATATCGCTACTGGGGAGACAAAGGTGGCCGGGCTTGTTTCTGGCCAGCCATCCCCTTCGTGTGCCGTGCCGGCCTTCATAGGTGATACTCGCTAACAGCACTTGCCCCATCAGTCTGTTAAGGCTTTTCAGGGGGTCTTTGTCTTTGTGTGAATGTGTGAGTCTGTGTTTGTGTGAGTGTCTGTGTGTCCGTACAGTTGTAGGGAATTCCAACAGGACCTATATCTTATTGACCTGGTCAAGGCCTATGATACCATCAGTGGGCTTGGGCTTTGGGTTGTTCTTCGTGCTTTTGGAGTCCCTAACTCTCTGTTCACAATCATTAAGGACCTTCATGATGGTGGACAGGCCTGGGTAAAACTATGTGGCCGGGAGTCGGAGCCATTCCCTGTTCACCTTAGAGTGTGACAGGGATGTCCTACGGCTCCCATATTTTACATATTTTTGATCACGTAGTTCGTGAAGTCTTCAATGGCTGTACCGGAGGAGTTTCCATCTGGTACAGATACAATGGGAGACTGATTGATGCCCGGGAGCGGTCAAGGGATGGCTCCCTATTAATCAACCATGTTATGTATGCTGATTATCTGGCGATTGCTGCTCACTCAGAGGATGAGTTGGAGGTGCTGCTGCTGAACCTGGAGCATGCCACTAAGAGGTGGGGCCTTACCATCAGCCCAACCAAAACTGCCTGGGTATTTGTGCCATCAAACACTCCACCCCCACAACTCTCAATTGGTGATGGAGCAGTTGTGGAAAAAGTGGAAAGTTTTCCATTCCTGGGCAGTGTGCTCATGACCAGCTCCGGTTTTACAGAAGAGGTCTCACTCTGAATCAGTCGAGCGGCATTATCTTTTCATCGGTTGCATAACGCTGTGTGGAAGCTACCTGGTCTGTCGCTCCACACCAAGTTTCGAGTCTTCTTAGCCACGATCATGCCCGCCCTTCTTTATCTTGTGAAACGTGGACCCTCCAAATGGAACATCTTCGCTGATTAGAAATATTAAGGCTGACCTGCCAACAATCGATCCTGGGTTTAACCAAGTTGGATTGTGTGAGGAGTTCACAAATCCTTGAAAGATCTGGACAAAGCCCCATCGGTGAGCTCCTCCGGCCATCTAGGCTGCGTTGGCTGGGTCATGTAGCCCGCATGCCCAGCCACCACAAGCTTTTGTTTGGCCGGATCGAGTGGGCTAAACGGGCGCGGCACGGGCTAGAGAAGAGATGGAGTTATGTAATACGGGAGGATGTGGAGCTGAGTGGACTTGCCGATGACCGGTACCAGCGGTGTCAAGATCGGCCTCTGTGGAGGAGGCTTGTGAAGGACGCTACTGGGCAGTTAGAGGCAGTCGCCCTCCAACAACAACGGAGGGTGGAGGAGCGACGCTCACAACAACGAGCGGAGCGCCGGGTGGCTAAAGCACAGCATGTTGGCACAGTAGGGGACACAGGTGGTGCATCGGCCAGTCATCTCAGTCACTTGACCCATGGCACCTGGGTCTGTCCTGTGACCTGCCAGCGGGCGTTCCACACTTTACGTGGCTTTAAAGTGCACATAGCCTGGCACAAGCGCCGTGGTGACGTCACCACCACTTAGTTCCGAATGGCGGTTGTTGTGTAAGCATATGTGTGAGTGTCTGTGTGAGTGTGTGTGTGAGTGTCTGTGTGAGTGTGTGTGTGAGTGTCTGTGTGAGTGTGTGTGTGAGTGTCTGTGTGAGTGTGTGAGTGTCTGTGAGAGTGTGTGTGAGTGTCTGTGTGAGTGTCTGTGTGAGTGTGTGTGTAAGTGTCTGTGTGAGTGTGTGTGTGAGTGAGTGTGTGAGTGTCTGTGTGAGTGTGTGGTGTGTGTGAATGTCTGTGTGAGTGTCTGTGTGATTGTGTTTCGGGGGTGGTGCTGGCCACCCACCCTCTCGTGTGCCGTGACGGCCTTCATAGGTGCTACTCCCTAACAGCACTTGCCCCGACAGTCTGTTGAAGGCTATATGGGGGATCTTTGTCATTGTTTATGTGAGTGGGTTTCTGAAAGTTGGCATGGTAGGGAGCACAGGTGATGCCTTTGCCAGTCTTCCCAGTCAGTCAACATATGGCACCTGGATCTGACCCATGACCTGCCAACAGCGAGCCTTCCACACTTCACGTGGCCTCAAAGGGCACCTAGCCTGGCACAAGTGCCGTGGAGACATCACCGCCACTTAAGTGGCGAATGGTGGCGGTTATTGTTGTTGTGTTTTTCTTTGTGCGTGTGTCTGTTTCTCTCTGTATCATTTATCTGCGTATGTGTGCATTTGTGCGTTTCTCTCCGCGTGTATTCTCCCTGTATCTCCGTATTTCTCGGTATTGGAACGCATTCACGTTTCCATTGTTCAGATCGTGTCATCTTAAGGGATGTAGGAAGTGTCTGCAGTGTGGACATGAACAATGGCAGGGGAGGGAGGGTGTTGACAGTACGGATGGCTGGGGGGGAAGTGAGTTGCAGACCCCTCGGGGCAGCACAAGAGAACGTGTGACCTCCCAAGCACTCTGACAAGAATGCAAACCGGCATCACAATCGTCGTCAGTCACCGGCCGTGATCTATCCACCGCTCGACGAGGGCCTCCCCGAGCCTTGCGGCGTGTCGCCGGGGTTGCTTTGCCGTGCTGCACGACGCCGAGAAGTGTCGGTTGGTGAATGCGGTCGGCGTGGATCCGGAAGCATAGTACCGTGCAGCAGTGGATGTGGTTGCACTTCCTGCTACTGCTTGTAGCATCGCCCCACGGCAGCAGCCGACAGCAGCGGCTTTATACATGGTCACTACCACCATCACCACCATCATCATCACCACCATCATCGTTGTCACCATCATCGTCACCACCATCATCATCACAACCACAACCACCACCACCACCATCGTCACCACCACCATCATCATCGTCACCACCACCACCATCATCGTCACCACCATCATCATCGTTGTTACCATCATCGTCATCACCACCATCATCGTCGTCACCACCATCATCGTCGTCACCACCATCATCGTCACCACCACCATCATCGTCGTCACCATCATCATCGTCACCACCATCATCACCATCATCGTCACCACCATCATGACCATCATCATCACCACCATCATCCTCACCACCATCATCATCATCACCATCATCATCATCGTCGTCACCACCATCATCATCGTTGTCACCACCACCATCATCGTCACCACCACCATCATCATCGTTACCACCATCATCGTCACCACCATCATCATCGTTGTCACCATCATCGTCACCACCATCATCACCATCATCATCATCACCACCACCATCGTTACCACCACCATCATCATCGTCACCACCACCACCATCATCGTCACCACCATCATCATCGTTGTTACCGTCATCGTCATCGTCACCACCATCATCATCATCGTCACCACCATCATCGTCACCACCATCATCATCATCGTCACCACCATCATCGTCACCATCACCATCATCGTCATCACCATCATCATCGTCACCATCATCATCACCACCATCATCGTCACCACCATCATCATCGTCACCACCACCATCGTCATCATCATCATCATCGTCAACACCACCACCATCATCATCACCACCATAATCGTCACCACCATAATCATCATCATCACCGCCATCACCACCACCATCATCATCACCATCACCACCACCATCGTCACCACCACCATCATCATTGTCGTCACCACCACCACCATCATCGTCACCACCATCATCATCGTCACTATCACCACCACCAACACGATGTTTATCATCGTCGTCATCACCTCATAATAATAATCATCTTTTGACACTCCACTGCCCCTCCTGTGAAGGTTTCGTGGCTTGTTAGACAAGTTGGGATTGTGGTCTGGGTTGTGGCTCAACGGACTGATTCCTCCATTGTTGGTGCCTTACGTTTTGGTGGCATTTCATTTGTTTATACATTTGTAGTTTTTGCACTTGCTCGGCAGTAGCCACATAGAAAGGATTTGGCCCTCATGTATAACTAGCTTTTTTGCCCGTCCAAGGACGGGTGTATTTTGCAGTGAATCTGAAATATTCAACGGAAAAATTGTTTAGCTCATGATTATTAATGAGGGGGGGGGGGGGGGTTGCCCCATGTGGAGTGACGTCACCCGCTAATGGTTATTGGGGAGGGGTGCGGCATGTGGAGTGACGTCACCCGCTCATGGTTATTGTGGAGGGGTGCGGCATGTGGAGTGACGTCACCCGCTCATGGTTATTGGGGAGGGGTGCGGCATGTGGAGTGACGTCACCCGCTCATGGTTATTGTGGAGGGGTGCGGCATGTGGAGTGACGTCACCCGCTCATGGTTATTGGGGAGGGGTGCGGCACGTGGAGTGACGTCACCCGCTCATGGTTATTGGGGAGGGGTGCGGCATGTGGAGTGACGTCACCCCCTCATGGTTATTGGGGAGGGGTGCGGCACGTGGAGTGATGTCACCCGCTCATGGTTATTGGGGAGGGGTGCGGCATGTGGAGTGACGTCACCCCCTCATGGTTATTGGGGAGGGGTGCGGCATGTGGAGTGACGTCACCCGCTAATGGTTATTGGGGAGGGGTGCGGCACGTGGAGTGACGTCACCCGCTAATGGTTATTGGGGAGGGGTGCGGCATGTGGAGTGATGTCACCCGCTCATGGTTATTGGGGAGGGGTGCGGCACGTGGAGTGATGTCACCCCCTCATGGTTATTGGGGAGGGGTGCGGCATGTGGAGTGACGTCACCCGCTAATGGTTATTGGGGAGGGGTGCAGCATGTGGAGTGACGTCACCCGCTAATGGTTATTGGGGAGGGGTGCGGCACGTGGAGTGATGTCACCCCCTCATGGTTATTGGGGAGGGGTGCGGCATGTGGAGTGACGTCACCCGCTAATGGTTATTGGGGAGGGGTGCAGCATGTGGAGTGACGTCACCCGCTAATGGTTATTGGGGAGGGGTGCGGCACGTGGAGTGATGTCACCCCCTCATGGTTATTGGGGAGGGGTGCGGCATGTGGAGTGACGTCACCCGCTAATGGTTATTGGGGAGGGGTGCAGCATGTGGAGTGACGTCACCCCCTCATGGTTATTGGGGAGGGGTGCGGCATGTGGAGTGACGTCACCCCCTCATGGTTATTGGGGAGGGGTGCGGCATGTGGAGTGACGTCACCCGCTAATGGTTATTGGGGAGGGGTGCAGCATGTGGAGTGACGTCACCCGCTAATGGTTATTGGGGAGGGGTGCGGCATGTGGAGTGACGTCACCCCCTCATGGTTATTGGGGAGGGGTGCGGCACGTGGAGTGACGTCACCCGCTCATGGTTATTGGGGAGGGGTGCGGCATGTGGAGTGACGTCACCCGCTCATGGTTATTGGGGAGGGGTGCGGCACGTGAGGTGACGTCACCCCCTCGTGGTTATTGGGGAGGGGTGCGGCATGTGGAGTGACGTCACCCGCTCATGGTTATTGGGGAGGGGTGCGGCATGTGGAGTGACGTCACCCCCTCATGGTTATTGGGGAGGGGTGCGGCATGTGGAGTGACGTCACCCGCTAATGGTTATTGGGGAGGGGTGCAGCATGTGGAGTGACGTCACCCCCTCATGGTTATTGGGGAGGGGTGCGGCACGTGGAGTGACGTCACCCCCTCATGGTTATTGGGGAGGGGTGCGGCATGTGGAGTGACGTCACCCGCTAATGGTTATTGGGGAGGGGTGCGGCATGTGGAGTGACGTCACCTGATAATGGTTATTGGGGAGGGGTGCGGCATGTGGAGTGACGTCACCCCCTCATGGTTATTGGGGAGGGGTGCAGCATGTGGAGTGACGTCACCCGCTCATGATTATTAATGAGGGGGGGTTGCCCCATGTGGAGTGACGTCACCCCCTCATGCTTATTGGGGAGGGGTGCGGCATGTGGAGTGACGTCACCCCCTCGTGGTTATTGGGGAGGGGTGCGGCATGTGCAGTGACGTCACCCGCTCATGGTTATTGTGGAGGGGTGCAGCATGTGGAGTGACGTCACCCGCTCATGATTATTAATGAGGGGGGGTTGCCCCATGTGGAGTGACGTCACCCGCTAATGGTTATTGGGGAGGGGTGCGGCATGTGGAGTGACGTCACCCGCTAATGGTTATTGGGGAGGGGTGCGGCATGTGGAGTGACGTCACCCGCTAATGGTTATTGGGGAGAGGTGCGGCATGTGGAGTGACGTCACCCGCTAATGGTTATTGGGGAGGGGTGCGGCATGTGGAGTGACGTCACCCGCTAATGGTTATTGGGGAGGGGTGCGGCATGTGCAGTGACGTCACCCGCTAACGGTTATTGGGGAGGGGGGCGGCATGTGGAGTGACGTCACCCGCTAATGGTTATTGGGGAGGGGTGCGGCATGTGCAGTGACGTCACCCGCTAACGGTTATTGGGGAGGGGTGCGGCATGAGGAGTGCGCGGCCTTCTTGTGCGTCAGTGTAAATTTCCACGTGGGGCATGAATATTAATGAAGGGGGGGGGGGGCCTCTTTTGCAGTGACGTCACGCACGGATGTAGCACTGTGCTGCCTAGATTTATTTTTTACCATCACTATCTGTCAAGTAACATCATATTTTAAGCGACTTTGGGTAATAAATTATTAAATTCAGCTCGACCTTCCTCTGCGTTAGTGTAAAAATCCACCCACTCATGAATATTAATGAGGGTGGTTGGGCCTCATGTGGAGTGACGTCACGCGAGGGGGTGGGCCTCATGTGGAGTGACGTCACGCGAGGGTGTGGGCCTCATGTGGAGTGACGTCACGCGCGGGACGGACAGACATTTCTGGGTGATTATAGTAGGTAATTAATGTGTGGTGTAGTGGGATGCACTTGGCATGAATGGTGCTGTATGAATTTCAATGATTATCATCGTGATCATTCTGAGCCAGCTTCTATTGCACGGTGTACAGAACAAGAGGGTTGGTGGCTGTGGGCTGTGGCTCCCTCTCACGTTGAGCAGTTCACACGAAAGGTCTGCTTCATCCTACACGGCCCCTCTGGGGTTTGGGTCTTTACAGTCGAGCGAGCGAGCGAAGCGCTTGTAGGCACGTCAGGAATTCAGGTGCAGTCAGAGAGTGGGTTGGTGAGTAGTCGAGCGAGTGAGCGGGTGGGTGAGTGGGTGGGTGATTTAGCGGGCGGGTGAGTGGGTCGGTGAGTGGGTGGGTGATTGAGCGGGCGGGTGAGTGGATGGGTGATTTAGCGGGCGGGTGAGTGGGTCGGTGAGCGGGTGGGTGATTGAGTGGGCGGGTGAGTGGGTCGGTGAGCGGGTGGGTGATTGAGTGGGTGGGTGATTGAGTGGGCGGGTGAGTGGGTCGGTGAGTGGGTGGGGCGGGTGAGTGGGTCTGTGATTGAGTGGGCGGGTGAGTGGGTCGGTGAGTGGGTGGGTGATTGAGTGGGCGGGTGAGTGGGTCGGTGAGCGGGTGGGTGATTGAGTGGGCGGGTGAGTGGGTCGGTGAGTGGGTGGGTGATTGAGTGGGCGGGTGAGTGGGTCGGTGAGTGGGTGGGTGATTGAGTGGGCGGGTGAGTGGGTCGGTGAGTGGGTGGGTGATTGAGCGGGCGGGTGAGTGGGTGGGTGATTTAGCGGGCGGGTGAGTGGGTCGGTGAGTGGGTGGGTGATTGAGTGGGCGGGTGAGTGGGTCGGTGAGCGGGTGGGTGATTGAGTGGGCGGGTGAGTGGGTCGGTGAGCGGGTGGGTGATTGAGTGGGTGGGTGATTGAGTGGGCGGGTGAGTGGGTCGGTGAGTGGGTGGGCGGGTGAGTGGGTCTGTGAGCGGGTGGGTGATTGAGTGGGCGGGTGAGTGGGTCGGTGAGCGGTTGGGTGATTGAGTGGGCGGGTGAGCATGTGAGCGAGTGAGTGATAGAGCGGGCGAGCGAGCGAGTGAACAGGTTGTGGCTGTGTCAGAAAACGCAGGCAACGGTCGAATCTGTCGCAAGTCAAGTGCAAGAACATATTTGTTCACATCAGCCGATGCTCGAGGTGGAAAACGATCGGCCGGTGGTTTTTATTTTAGTCGCAATCCAGAGCTGTCACTGCGAAGGGCCCCCGGGGCCGCGGTTGCGTGCCGAGCGGCGTGCCGATCGGCGTGCCGATCGGCGTGGCAGAGACGTTTGTGAAAGTGCTTTAACGAGTGACGGCGCCGCTCGGCAGATTCGTTCCTGGAGCGGCGCAGGGAGAACATGGAGCGAGGGGAGGCGGAGCTGCAGCGGAGGCGGGAGGCGCTTCGCGAAGCGCAGCGCAAGGAGGAGCAGGAGGAGATCGCTCGGCAGACGGTGAGGGACTGTGGTGTCGTTTTCTTGGTTCTTTCGGTAAAGTCACGTAGAAGGAAAATAATAAAATAATAAAAATAAAACATAATAAAATAATTCTCACGACGTTTCGGCCACAACGCAAGCAGCCGTCCTCAGGTGGAGAGTCTGAATGTCAGACTCTGTCTTCTCGACAGACCTGTTCTCCACCTGAAGACGGCTGCTTGCGTTGTGGCCGAAACGTCGTGAGAATTATTTTATTATGTTTTATTTTTATTATTTTATTATTTTCCTTCTACGTGACTTTACCGAAAGAACCAAGAAGTTGAATCCCTGCAGTCACGAAAAAAGCTTTAAATCGAAATTTAATGTGGTGTCGTTGTTGTTGTTGCCTTGGTGTGGTCTGGCACTGTTCCTGCCGTTGTTTTTAATGCCTCTCCCAAGCTTGGGAATTGATGTACTTGCGCAGTTATAATTTATTTATTTAAGGGCCACCTCGTGGCGAGATGTTATCGCCCTCGCCTGGTATGCAGGAGGTTGTGGGTTCAATCCCGAACCAGACACCTGCTGCTTTATATTTGGAGTCTCTCTCCCTGTGTTCGCGTGGATTTTTTTCTGCGGTTTGTCCTTCGACATTTACAAACCTGCGTTTCGTGTATTTAGATTATTTAGCTGCTGTAAATTTCCACATGATAAGCCGCAACTTAGTTGAGCAATCATTTCTCGCCAGGTCGCTTCTAAACACATTCCTCCTGCAGAGGGAGCTGGTAGGAACGTTGTGTTGCTCGGTCAATGGCCTGCAGGGTCAACGGCGGCGTGGTGTATTCCGCAAATATGCCCGACTGTGAGGGCGGGCACAAGCCGGCGTGAGCAGGTTAAACGTTGAGTTTTATAAGGGCACCACGGGGTGACCAGCCCCTCCCCACCCAGCCCCACCCCTCCCTCCCCCCACCCTCCACACCCAGCCCCTCCCCACCCTCCCCTCCCCACCCAGCCCCTCCCCACCCAGCCCCTCCCCACCCTCCCCTCCCCACCCAGCCCCTCCCCACCCTCCCCACCCAGCCCCTCCCCACCCTCCCCGACCCACCCGGCCCCTCCCCACCCTCCCCACCTTCTCCTCTCCACCCAGCCCCACCCCTCCCATTTTTGGATGCACGACGGACGGACACAATAATCCCCTGTGGGCTGGTGGAACCAGGTGGTTCCTACCAGTAAAAAGTAGCTAATAGCTCATCGGGGCTTACCTGGTAAAATAAACATCGTTTATGAAATAAACATAGTTTCTTTTTAGTTCTACATATTTTTTTTCTATCGGGATTTGTTTACCTTTCCTATACTTTGCACTCGTCTCGTGTTTTTGTGTTGTTATTGTGACTGTATCACCCGCCGCTACTGGACATCTGTGAAGAAAGAGCTTCATAGCTCATCGGATTCTCGCAGTAAAAATAAATATCCTGATTCTGATCAGCACGGTGACGGCGATGAGTCTGATGGTCGTGATGACGATGATGAAGGGAATGATGATGACGGTGATGAAGACAATGACGATGATGACGACAATGATGAAGACGATGACGATGATGACGGTGGCGATTCCGCATGCCCCGTCCGTCCCTGTGTGCCAGGCCGCGCGCAGGCAGCAGCTGGAGGGACAGCGGGAGGGCTCGCGGGCCGAGGTGCAGGCGCTGCGGCAGCACCGTGACGTCCTCGCCGCCCGGCTGCTGGCGCTCGTGAGTGACGCTCGGCCCCCCGGCGCGCGCCGGACAAACACACCGGTCCACCGGGGCCGCTCGGGAGATTTGAAGGAGAGAGAAAGGGACGCGGGGAATTTTCAAACATTTTCACATCATCAAGGGCGCAGTATTGCAACTACTTCTTCTTGGTTCTTTCGGTAAAGTCACGTAGAAGGGAAGTAATACAATAATAAAAATGAAACTTAATAAAATAATTCTCACGACGTTTCGGCCACAACGCAAGCAGCCATCCTCAGGTGAAGACCAGGTCTGTCGGGGAGACAGCGTCTGAATGAATTATTTTATTATGTTATATTTTTATTATTTTATTACTTCCATTCTACGTGACTTTACCGAAAGAACCAAGAAGATGAATCCCTGCAGTCACGAAAGCTTTAAATCGAAAAATTACACTACTTGTCGGTTCGGGCCAAGTGACGGGGCGCCTGGTATGCGGGAGGCCGTGGGTTGGTTCCCGACCCTGACGCCTGTAATTATGGAGTGTCTCTCTCTCTCTCCCATGGTCGTGTGGATTTTTCTCCGGGTCCTCTGGTTGTCCCCTCCACATTTAGAATAAACGTCACACGTTTAGAGTATTTGCCTGCTATACATTTCCACGTGATAAGCCACTTTGTTGAGCTATTACACTGGTCAACACACTTTTTCTGGCATAAGGTATTCCAACGGTATTAAGGTAATTTTGGGGTGCTGATTCCAAATCAGTTTTTGTCTATCACATCAGGTTTTTGAGATATCAAATATTGCATTTTCAATAAAAACTGCAGAAGAAAAATATTAAATAAATGTGGATATCTACATAAAATGATATTATGAACACACTATCCTAAAAATACAGCACCATATTTTAACACTAAAGCAGTCACTGGCTCGCAACAACTTGCAATCATAAGTGACAGAGTTAATTTCGGGTAAAATCAATGAAAATGGGGTATGCCGATAGCATAAAAGCGAGATGTGATAGAGCAAATCTGAGATCAGATTTGGAATCAGCACCCTGAAATTAGTCTAGAACAGCTGCAAAAGTCCAGGCCAGAAAAAAATGTTTTTTTTGTTGTTGACCAGTGTTATAGCCCTTTTTCAGAAGCCACCTGGCCACAAATGAATGCTCAGTGAAGTGGCTCATCACGTCGAAATCTATAGCAGCCAAATACTTTAAACGCACGTTGATTATACGCAGGTTTAGGGGTCGGGATCGAACCCACGAGCTCCCGTATGCGGGGAGGGGAATCGTACCCAGGGGCTTGTTGCCGTTTGATCCGCTCTAGCAATACACGGCACGTGAGCGGATGTAACAGGAGGCAGACGTCGTCTTGTGTAACTCCCTCGTAGCTCCCGTGACCCACGCCTGCTGCTGCCGCTGTGTCCGCCCCCCCCAACCGCCCCGCCAGGCTCAGTCCCGCCAGGAGGCGCAGGCGGGCGCGGCGGACGCGAGGCAGAGCGCGGCGGAGTGCCGCTCGCGGTTGGACGCGCTCAACGAGCGAGCGGGCCGGCTCCACGCCGAGTCGCGCCGTCTGGAGGCCCAGGTGGGCGCCGCACAGAGCTCCCTGGAGGCGCTGAGGGCACAACGCGCGCAGCTGGAGGGGCGCCTGCAACGCGGAGCCCGCGGCGGTGCGTACGCGCGCTTGCTTGCCTCCCCTAGGTTGACTCGGCCTCGAATGAGTACCTGGTGCGGGCGTGTAACAACATTGCCGCTGGGGAGACAAAGGCGGCTGGGGGTGGTGCTGGCCACCCACCCCCTCGTGCGCCGTGCCAGCCTTCATAGGTGCTCGCTAACAGCACTTGCCTCAAAATGTCTTTTCAGACTATATGGGGATCTTTGGTTTTGGGATGCATATACCAGTCATCTCAATGAACCCATACCACCTGGGTTTGTCCCGAGAACCTTAGACAGTCCACGTGGGAGCCCTCTATCTGCACCTAGCCTGGCACACGCGCCACGGCGACATCGCCACCACTTGGCCAACGGCAGCGGTTGTTGTTGTTGTTGTGTACATGGCGTGTGCTGCTTGCATGACCACGCGGCGGTGACGCGGTGGTGGTGACGCGGCGGTGGTGACGCGGCGGTGGTGACGCGGCGGTAGTGACGGGGTTGTGGTGGTGATGCGGTGGTGGTGACGCGGCGGTGGTGACGCGGCGGTGGTGACGCGGCGGTGGTGACGGGGCGGTGGTGACGGGGTTGTGGTGGTGATGCGGTGGTGGTGACACGGCGGTGGTGACGCGGCGGTGGTGACGGGGCGGTGGTGACGGGGCGGTGGTGACGGGGTTGTGGTGGTGACGCGGCGGTGGTGACGCGGCGGTGGTGACGCGGCGGTGGTGACGCGGCGGTGGTGACGGGGTTGTGGTGGTGATGCGGTGGTGGTGACGCAGTGGTGGTGACGCGGTGGTGGTGACGGGGTTGTGGTGGTGATGCGGTGGTGGTGACGGAGTGGTGGTGACGCGGTGGTGGTGACGGGGTTGTGTCGCGGGCCAGGCGGAGGCCTGGACTCGCTGGCAGCCGAGGTCCATTGCAGGAGGGCGGCCGTGCAGAGTCTGCGCGAGAAGGTGGAAGCCATCGAGCTTCAGATCCAGCAGACGCAAGCTCAGCGGCAGGTGCGTGCGGCGTGCGAGGTGTGCGTGCGACGTGTGCGGCGTGCGAGGTGTGCGTGCGAGGTGTGCGTGCGAGGTGTGCGTGCGAGGTGTGCGTGCGACGTGTGCGTGCGACGTGTGCGTGCGACGTGTGCGTGCGACGTGTGCGTGCGACGTGTGCGTGCGACGTGTGCGTGCGACGTGTGCATGCGACGTGTGCGGCGTGCGTGCGTGCGAGGTGTGCGTACGGCGTGCGAGGTGTGCGTCCGTACGAGCGGTAGTGAACCAGTTAGCACGCTACGCCACGAACTCGGCCACCCAAGTTGCTCGCTAACAGCCCTTGCCCCAGCCGTCTGTTAAATACTATATGGGGGATCTTTGTCTTTGTGTATGGGTTTATATGTTCTCCCCATGTTCTGTGGGTTCTCTGATTTCCTTCTATAAGCTAACAAAACAACCATACACACAGTGGCAGCATCGCTCCCTCCTGCAAATAATTGGCCGAACACTCCTGGATAAAGAGCCTTGAGACTCTGTGAGGCTTTGCGGGGAAAACACGAGCAGTTTAAAAATAAAATCGGGTCATCGCACATCCAAGTGATGTCCAGGATGAACCCCGCTTAGCTCTGACGAGATCGAGCTCAGTGTGGGGGCGATGCGATCGTAGCGCCAAGCACGGACACCGATCATCGTGTTGCGTGGCTGCTAAGAGCCTGATATTGCCACCTCGCTGGTATTAATATTCCTTAGAGCAGCGGCAGCGGCGGCGATGGCAGCAGCAGCTGCCAGTCCTCTAAGCGCTGTGATCCATCTGCTGACACAAAACTTACCTGGATGGATTTAGCCCCGTGATCTCATGCGAACATTACTGTACCTCCGATTAGCACGGTTGGCTACGTGCGGTGGGAAAGCAGTTCAACGTACTTGCACACAGACTTAGAGTACTACCGCCATCTATTGGTAGAAGTGATTTTTTGTATGAATTCTAATCATTTAAACTCTCATTATTTGCCATCAGCCATAACGAGAATTGCTCTCTGCTGATGGCGTCGGTGTCTGTTCCGAGACCCGCGGTAACACGAACTGTGCCCCGGGGGGTGGACAATCCCCGCGTCTCCTCTCGGTACCCCGTCCCCCTTTCCCACGTCCCCTTCACGTTGTCCACCTGCACAGGACCCGCCGTCGGCAGCCACCGCCACGACCGCCAGCGCCAGCTCCAGCGCCAGCTCCCGCGCTGGCTCCGCTGGCCACGCAGGCTCCGCCCCGGCGTTCCAGCCCCCCGTCGCCATCGTCCCTCCCTCCCTCGCGCCGACGCCGAGCAACGCGAGCGGCGCTATCTCCTCCTCATCCTCCTTCTCCGAGCAGCAGTGGCAGAAGCAGCAGCAGCAGCCGCAGGAGCAAGGCGGGGCGTGCGTGGCAGCGTGCGACGCGGAGGAGTGGGGAGGCGGCGGTGGGGGAGGTGGCGCCTCCCAGCCCGACGTGGGCTGGGCACGGTTCCCGGAGTTCGGAGACCCCCGCCCGGCCCAGCCCAGAGCCGGGGTCGCCAGGAGCAGAGGCTCCCAGTCGGAGCGGCGCACGGGGCCGCACGGGGGTACCGGCTCCAACAGCTTGTGAGAAGAGACGCACGCACGCACCTACCATCGCCGGCGGCACTGTTGATCACAAGCAGCTTGCGAGGAGAGACGCACGCACGCACCTACCATCGCCGGCGGCACTGTTGATCACAAGCAGCTTGCGAGAGACGCACGCAGCTACCATCGCCAGTGGCACTATTATCACAAGCAGCTTGCAAGAAGAGACGCACGCACGCACCTACTCGCACGTGCAGAGACATCGCCAGCGGCACTGTTGATCACAAGCAGGCCAGCGGCACTGCTGTCACACCAACGCCATCGCCGCCGCCGCCCGCGTACCGGTGGCAGTGTTGGCACATTGGCAGGGGACAAGTTCTGCATCGCGCTCTCGCCGTTACCCCATGATCTCGCTAGCGGCGGCACGCAAAACTTCCCCCGGCTTTTTTTTTTTCTTTCTAGATTTTAAGCTTTCGTGACTGCAAGGATTCATACTCTTAGGTTTTTTCGGTAAAGTCACGTAGGTAAAAAATGAACCTAAATAATAGAAATAATAATAGAAATAATAATAGAAATAAAATAAAAATCACGACGTTTCGGAGGCAACACAAGTCTCCGTCATCAGGTGGGACCGTCACAGCCAGATTTACTGTCTCACTTATTTAGCTGTGACGGTCCCACCTGAAGACGGAGACTTGTGTTGCCTCCGAAACGTCGTGATTTAAATTTCATTTCTATTATTATTTCTATTATTATTTTATATTTTTATTTTTTTACCTACGTGACTTTACCGAAAAAACCTAAGAGTGTGAGTATCCCCCGGCTTCACCGCCGTCACATGACGAACGTCACTCTCGTACGGCAGGGTGGGTGAGCGAGCGCCCGCCCTCTACCGTGTAGACCGATGGTCACTTGAGGTCGAAGAAGGGATCTTGGAGGTAGCTCTGCAACATCCTCTTCTGCGGGCCATCGACATGACGACACGATGGGTCGCGCTGCTGCTCTGCGAGATTTCCGAGTGGACTACTCCGACTCGGAGCGTCGATCGCGACACAAATTCACGAGAACAGACGAGACGACGGACGGCACTTTGTCGTGCGCTCCTTGTGTGCCACGTCCGTTGTTGTTTGTTGTTCTCAGTCTGGAGCGCAACATCCCGAGTTTCCCCGCGGTGGACGGGTCCCACGGGAACGATGGGAAACCCAGCGCAGCCTCGGCCTTCACTCCGCAGGCCCCCTCGGCCTCCGCCTACTGCCCGGTGAGAGGACAGACACGGTCCGGCCCGGCCGGCTCGCGCGCTAACTCGCGCTAACGCGCGCTAACTCGCGCTAGCTCGCGCTAACTCGCGCTAGCTCGCGCTAACTCGCGCTAGCTCGCGCTAACTCGCGCTAGCTCGCGCTAACTCGCGCTAGCTCGCGCTAACTCGCGATAACTCGCGCTACCTCGCGCTAACTCGCGCTAACTCGCGCTAACTCGCGCTAACTCGCGCTAACTCGCGCTAACTCGCGCTAACTCGCGATAACTCGCGCTACCTCGCGCTAACTCGCGCTAACTCGCGCTACCTCGCGCTAACGCGCGCTAACTCGCGATAACTCGCGCTAACTCGCGATAACTCGCGCTAACTCGCGCTAACTCGCGCTAACTCGCGATAACTCGCGCTACCTCGCGCTAACTCGCGCTAACTCGCGATAACTCGCGCTAACTCGCGCTAACTCGCGCTACCTCGCGCTACCTCGCGCTAACGCGCGCTAACTCGCGCTAACTCGCGCTAACTCGCGCTAACTCGCGCTAACTTGCGCTAACTCGCACTAACTCGCGCTAACTCGCACTAACTCGCGATTCGGCGTTCGACGCGAATTTGTGTTCGTGCCATACTTTCAGATTCTCATTCTCACATCACGCTGCTGCTGTTTTTTGTTTGCTTGGATTTCCGTTTTTCTCCATCGCTGTACTTTTATTTTGTATTTGTCTTGCTGCTGTCGTTTCGGTGACGACGCAGGTCACTCGTGCAAATGACAACATCCTGGTCTCTTCAGTGCTGGTGTTGGTGGTGATTGTGGTGATTGTGATGGTTGTGATGGTTGTGATGGTGATGGTTGTGATGGTGGTGATGGCGGTTGTAATAGTGGTGGTGATGATTGTGATGATAGTCATCTTGGTGGAAATTATAATGGCGATGGTGACTGTGTTGGTTGCGACGCTGTATTTGGCGGTGGTGTGGCTGTCATGGTGGTGGTTGTCGTGGCGATTAACGGTGACCGCTACTCCCCTAACACCACCGGTGCTCTCTCTCCATCCCTGCCCGTCTCTCCCGCGCGTGCCCAGCTGGGCTCGTGCGTGCGCGCCGTGGCGCTCTGCCGATTCCAGGCGGTGCAGCCCAACCACCTGGCGTTCTGCACGGGAGACGTCATCTCGGTGCGCGAGCGCCAGGACCTGTGGTGGCTGGGCGAGGTGGCAGGCCGCTCGGGGTGGTTCCCCAAGTCGTACGTGCGCGTCACGGACGGGGACGCGGCCGCCGTGCCGCCACCGCTCCCGCCGCCGCTCCCGCTCCTCGCCAACGGAGCCCGGTGGGTGTGAAGGCGGTGCGACTGCACCGCGGGGACGGTGGAGGGTGGGGGCGGGGTGGTCGGTGCCACGGTGTGTAGAGACTCGCGTAGAGACCCGTAGCTCTTACATAGAGATGCACAGAGTTATACGTAGGCCGTAGACTCGCATACAGACCCATAGAGGCCATAGACTCGGAGAGACCCATACACTTGCAAAGAGAACCATAGAATTGAACTGTAGACTCACGTAGAGATCCGTAGCTCTTACATAGAGATGCACAGAGTTATACGTAGGCCGTAGACTCGCATACAGACCCATAGAGGCCATAGACTCAAGAGAGACCCATACACTTGCAAAGATAAACCATAGACTTGAACTGTAGACTCACGTAGAGACCCGTAGCTCTTACATAGAGATGCAGAGTTATACGTAGGCCGTAGACTCGCATACAGACCCATAGAGGCCATAGACTCGGAGAGGCCCATACACTTGCAAAGAGAACCATAGACTTGAACTGTAGACTCGCATAGAGATCCGTAGACTTACATATAGACCCACAGATCCACCAGTTGCATAGTATGTCTGGATGTCTTTTTAGCTATGGGAGGAAACTGTGCAGGGGGAGAACGCACGAACGCCACGCAACAAGGCACCCAAGTTGGGGATTGAACCCAGGCCCTTCTCGCTGTGAGGCAGAGCCATTAGCACTGCGCCAACTGCTGCCCCATGTCGTGTTGGGATTCGAGTTTATTTGTGTGCGTGTGTGTTTTCACATCTGCCAGTCATCTAAGCCAGTCAACCCATGGCACCTGGGTCCCGTGACCTCCTGCCATCGGACGTTCGATACTTCACGTGGCCTTAAAGTGCACCTAGCCTGGCACAAGCGCCGTGGTGACGTTACCGCCACTGTTGTTGTTTCACATCCCTCTGTAAATCCACTGCGAGATGAACTTGCATAGTTACGCTTCGGTCATCGTTAGAGCCGGGGGGAATTTTTGGCAAAGATAATTCCTCACCAAAGATGAAGAAGTACGCAAGGAAGCATGGAAGGAGGTGTGCGTGCTTGGACGGCCGGTGGGTCGAGACTGGCGACGGAACAGCAGGCAGAGGAAGGAAATGCAGCGCTCCGAGAGGCGACGTCCGCCGCGGAGATGGAGCAACTAAATCGTCGCGCGCGCGCACGCCGACAGCGACGTGGATTTGCTGCTTCGCGACGCCGTGGGAGCTGGGAGATGGATGTGGGTTGGCGGCCACTGGACCCGGAGAGGTGGCGACGGCTTGCTTTGGGAAACCGTCTTCGTTGTCGTCGAGCAGTGGAAAGCCTGTGGCCCCCGCCCGCACCGCCCCGCTAACATCGCTAACATCGCCGCGTTGTGTCCCCCCCCTCCCCAGGAGCCAGAGGGGGACGTGCGCGGCGAGCGAGGAGGAGGTCCGGCGGGAGGGCAGAGAGGCTGCAGTGCCGTCAGGTGACCACCACCACCACAACCACCACCACCACAACCACCACAACCACAACAACCACCACCACCACCACAACCACCACCACCACAACCACCGCCACCACCACCACAACCACCACTACAACCACCACCACCACCACGACAACCACCACCACCACGACAACCACCACAACCACCACCACCAAAACCACCACCACCACAACCACCACCACTAGCACCCAGGCACTCCATAACAAACCAACCACTTGACCCGTCCGATTAGCGCGCTGCGCTTCGAACCCGGCCAATTACTCGCTCACGACCACTAACAGTGGTGAGCATTTAACCTGTCCTAGGCCTCCCCGTGGTCGACTCGGCCTTAAACGGGAACCTGGTGCGGCGTGTCAACATCAACTCTGCGAGACGGTTTCTGTGGCCAATTTGATGATTCTTTAAAGATTTTGTGAGGTCAGTTAATAAGATGTTAACTACCTCGCCTGGTATGCAGGAGGTCATGGGTTCCACCCCGACTTTGACGCCTGCTGTATATTTGGAGTTTGCGTGTCTCTCTCCCAGTGTGGATTTTTCTGAGGGTTTTTCCCTCCACATTTAGAATCAACATCACGCGTTTCAAGTATTTGGCTGCTATAAATTCCCACACAAGCCACGTCGTTGAGCTATGTAGCTCAGTCGGCCTTACCTGACAAGATAAAAATCGATTAGTTTAATACTTTGGCAAAGTCTTTGTCACAAGACTCCCCCACCACCCAACGCAGCCAAACAGCCGAGCTGAGTGACAACCCTCACAACAAGGGTGAGTCATTCAACATTCAGCCGACTATAGTAATAGGTTTTTACCCTTTCAACTGGTACAAAACTGACACCTTTATACAAGGGATCATTTGCAATAACCACAACACAAGCAGTCAAAATGCAAACAAAACGAAACAACTCTGATAATGATAAGCACTGTCCTTAAAGTTGATTGGTCCACACCCGAGACAGCTTTTCTTAGAGCCTAGTCTCCATTGGTGTTGGACCAGATGACGCCAAAATGCGTACAACTTAAAAACAGCGCACTATCAGAGTATTGAGAGCTCGGGGTAAGCATTAACACTATGAGACCTCCTTTACCAGTGGAAAAATATAGTAATAGGTTTTTATTACTATATTGGCGTCATCTGGTCCAACACCAATGGAGACTAGGCTCTAAGAAAAGTTGTCTCGGGTGTGGACCAATCAACTTCAAGGACAATGCATATCATTATCATTATCAGAGTTGCTTCTTTTTGTTTGCATTTTGACTGCTTGTGTTGTGGTTATTGCAAACATGATCCCTTGTATAAAGGTGTCAGTTTTGTACCAGTTGAAAGGGTAAAAACCTATTACTATATTTTGCCACTGGTAAAGGAGATGTCTCATGGTGTTAATTCAGCCGATTGTTGTTGACGACATGGACCGGGCTTGGGTTGTGGCGAGGAGGGCGACGACGGCCGATGGATCGCAGCGAATCCCCGGGGAGGGAATCGAATCTGTGGTGGAGGCTGAATCGGTTTTGGTACCCCCCCCCCCCCCCCCCCCCCCCCCGAGTAAATCGAGATTTTTTTAATCCTTTATATTAAGTTTGCTTGCTTAGGACCGTGCAAATCTTTCGGTCGTTTTTTAACCCACTTCCCGTGATCCAATCGAGCTGACATTTTCCACACAGACTCGTTGTGCGTGACAATTAATGTTCGTGACAATTTTTTTTCCTAAATTTTACACTTTATAGGACAAAAATATTATATTTAATTACCAATTGCTTAATGGTGCAATGCAATCATCTGACCCATAGGTGGCAGCCATCTCAAGCCAGAGAACGAGAGGACTCTTGCCGCCACGCATATAAAGGATTTATAGTGAAAAACTTTGTTTTTACGGGTTATACTTATTTTGTCTCAATTTGTCCAGATTCGTGGAACCACTCCAAGTCGCGGCCGTACACGAGCATCCTGAGGAGAGGTAACGGCCGCCTCAACCTGTGCCCCCCCCGTCCCGGCCGCTGGCCTCCCCCGATTTTGATGTCACCTCCCGGATTCCGCCGTGACTCTGTGTGTGCGTCGCGGAGAATTGGCGGCGGCTCTGGTACTTCCGCGGCGCTGTGAAGCAGTTCCGCCGGGACCACACGGAACCACGGAACCACGTTCAACGTGGACAGATTCCAGCCCCGAGATCTAAAAGTCTCAAGTTGCATCGTCGTGTGGAGAACATCGGGTGGGAACGTACTGCCCCCCCACCCACTGTGTGGACCAGAGGTCAATTGAAGGCATCTCAGCGGTAGTTCCGTGATGTCCGCTTCCGTGGGCCGTTGTCTAATGACAGGAGTTCAGAACGGGTGCTCCATCTCATTACGCCACGCCGGTGTTGGCACAATCGGGATGAGATTGTCGAAAACATTAAATGTGCCGTTGAGCGTTTTGTTTTGGGCTCGGCTGATGACGATTTTGTGTTTCAGTCTCCAAGCCAAAGGCCCCTGCTCCTCCAGTCCACAGACATGAGAGTACGTCCACACGCGCACACATGTGTACACACGTCCACGCGCACACACGTACACACACGTCCACACATGCACACGCGCACACGTCCACGCGCACACACGCAAAGACAAAAGTCTACCGTGTAGCCTTAGCAAGTGCTGTGAGCGAGCACCTTAGAAGGCCGGCACTACGCACGAGGGGGCTGGCAGCCAGCACCACGCCCAACCGCCTTTGTCTCCCCAGTGGTGATGTTTACACACCGCACCAGGTACTCATTCGAGGCTGAGTCGACCTAGGGGAGGCCAAGGACCGGTTCAGATACTCGTCACTGGTGATGGCCGTGAGCGGGAATTGAATTACTCAATTGGGGATCACACACACGAAGCAAACGGCAACATCGCCCACGACTGCAAAAACTTGGCAGGACACTCCTAAAAAAGTCTTCAGACTCAGTGAGGCCTTCCTTTTTGATCTACACCGTTGCCTCTGCTGGCTTCTGTGTCTCTCTGCAGAGTGCGCCGCGCTGTTTGACTACACGAGCAAAGAGGCCGGCGATTTGTCCTTCCTGAAGGGCGACATCATCACGCTGGTCAGTAAGAACGACAGGGATTGGTGGACGGGGACACTCAGCGGCAAGACGGGTCTCTTCCCGAGCAATCACGTGGAGGTGCTGACCACCAAGGTGGGTGTGTGTAGCAGAGATGGGACAAAGTCATTGTTATGCAAGTCCAAGTCGAGTCTGAAGTCATCAAATTCATGACTCGAGTCTGACTCGAGTCCAAGTCACATGACTCGAGTCCACACCTCTGGTGTGTAGGGTGGTGGCGTGGGGGCAGCGTGTTTGGGGGGGAAACGATTCTCTCGACTCTCTGGTCCATACCCGGTCAAAACAAACACAACTCCATGGGGCAGTGGGGGGGGGGCTACTCCCCTTCATTCTTCTGTCCCCTTCGCGTGGTTCTGCCGCGCCGGAATGGATGTTTGCGTTTGTTTTTTGTTTGTTCTAGATTTGAAGCTTTCGTGACTGCAAGGATTCATATTCTTAGGTTTTTTCGGTAAAGTCACGTAGGTAAAAAATTTAAATTAATAAAAATAAAATAAAAATCACGACGTTTCGGAGGCAACACAAGCTTTAATTTTACATTTTTGTATGCCGTTGTTGGAACCCCTCGGTGTGGTATGCCAGACCCAATGTGCTGCTGTAAAAATGATCATAAAAAATACGCTCAACTCAAATCGTCATCACACCCTGGGCCCATCGTCGCTCACGCTGCCTCGTCCCCCTTTCCCTTCAGGCCGGCGAACCGTCGGCACCGTCGTCGGCACCGTCGTCGGCACCGGCGTCGGCACCGGCGTCTGCACCGGCGTGCCCCATCGGCAGCGCCGGTCGCGGCGCGGACACCACCGCGTCGCGGCCCGGGGGCCCGTCGGGCCGCAGCGTCGTGGCCCTCTACGACTACTGCGCGCAGAACTCGGACGAGCTCTCGTTCGTGCGCGGCCAGAGCATCGGCGTGACGCGGCAGGCCCACCCCGACTGGTGGGAGGGCGAGGCCGGCGGCTTGCACGGCCTCTTCCCCTCCAACTACGTCAGGGAGCTCCTCCCGCCCGAGTCGTCGCTCTGAGTCGCGATCGTCGCGGCCGCGCGCCGAGCCGCGTTTCGCACGCCCCGGAACCCGCGATCCGAGGGGACGCGCAGGGTTCCATTTCATCTGCCGGTCGGGCAGTTGTGAAGGAATGGCGCGAGTTTCCTTCACCGGGGTGCGTCCTGCCCCCAACCACCCCGACCTTTGCCGATCCGGCAGTACGAATACCCGCACGGTAAAATTGGATCGGCAGGGTCCAGTGTGGGGCCGGATAAAATGTGGGCAAGCCCGCCTCCCCCTCCGACACGCCCCGGTCAACGTGGGAGTCGATCAAATTGTACCCACGCGAGAGTTGCCTCCCGCACGACGGGCCCTCCCATTGCCCATCGACGCGCGCGGTCGCAGGGCGGCGCCCTTCTTACGCTTTCCTTCGGCGCCTCGCGGGGACTCGCGAGGCGCACGGACGTCCGAACGCGCGACCGGCCCGTGTGCGTCTCGTGTCTGCCGCTCTCTCATTTATCTCTCTGCGGCCGAGTGGGCCGAAGCTCGGCGGGCCTCTCCCAAGGGCCGTCGTGTGCCGCGCGTTGGTTCGAGGAGCCGCTCTCAAGTCATTGCGGCGTCTGCCACGAGTCCCAGGGGTGCACCGTGCGTGCCCCCCCACCCTGCACGGGGGCAGGGTGACAGGGGTCACCCGGGTGACAGGGGTCACCCGGGTGACAGGGGTCACCCGGGTGACAGGGGTCACCCGGGTGACAGGGGTCACCCGGGTGACAGGGGTCACCCGGGTGACAGGGGTCACCCGGGTGACAGGGGTCACCCGGGTGACAGGGGTCACCCGGGTGACAGGGGTCACCCGGGTGACAGGGGTCACCCGGGTGACAGGGGTCACCCGGGTGACAGGGGTCACCCGGGTGACAGGGGTCACCCGGGTGACAGGGGTCACCCGGGTGACAGGGGTCACCCGGGTGACAGGGGTCACCCGGGTGACAGGGGTCACCCGGGTGACAGGGGTCACCCGGGTGACAGGGGTCACACGGGTGACAGGGGTCACACGGGTGACAGGGGTCACACGGGTGACAGGGGTCACACGGGTGACAGGGGTCACCCGGGTGACAGGGGTCACACGGGTGACAGGGGTCACACGGGTGACCCGCCGTAGGAGGTGGTGTTAAACGAAACCTACAGCCTTGCTTCGCTCCACTGCTGGAACCGGGTTACCCCGACTCCGTGGGGGTTATTTGGTCATCTTGGTTTGGCGACGGTTGGGGAAGCGTGGATATGGGAGCGTATAAGTACAGAACAAGAAAGGCTTTTTCTGCACTGCCCTGTTTGCCCACCACGTGGCCCAGCCCATAGTGGCTACGGTGCACGGTGGGTGCGGGTACGTGACCGTCTCAGGCTTTGAGGTCTGTTAAGGTCGGGCCCATTCCAGGTGACCTGCAAAAGGGGGAGAAACGCGTGCGTTGCAATGACTTTAATTTGCGTGCGTGTGTCGGGCAGTCTCAATGTTGTGACAGAAGGAACCAGGTACCTCCGATGGATGGTCAGTGGTGAGCTCTGTAATGACCTGTGATGTATGTTCACCTCGCTGTTCTTATATATATATGTGTGTTATTTTGTTAAACTCTTTGCATTCCTCGAGTTGGGAAATGCTGGTGAAATCAAAACAGAAATGTGGGGTAAGGGGTAGGTGGTAGATGAATGTGGGGAGTTGATGGGGGGGTGGGAGGCAGCTGAAACCGGCGCGGTGTGACCGGCAGTGAATAACACAAGAGACGCAGTAAAGCCGATTCAAAATATTTGCAGCGGGAATGAAATACTCGCACTAATGTAAAAACTAAAGTTATTGAACGTTAAATATTAATATAATAAACCTTTCCATCAAAAGCTTGTGCCCACAATTTATTTATCACTTTCGTTGCGTGTAAAAAAAAAAAAGACAAGAAACATGTCTGGTGATCATGATTCACTCCACCAAATCCACCCTTGCAGAGACTGTGGGGGTGGGGGGGGGAGCACAAGGTGGTGTGGTGGGGGTCCTCCAACCCATAGAGCGAGGGCCCCCCCCCCCCCCACAGAAACCCCGCAGGCTGCCTGGACACGGGGAGAACACGAGACTCGGCCCAGCAAAGGACTGTGGGTTCACGACGCTGCTGCTGCTGCTACTGCTGCTTGGACTGGGCTGTGTGAGAGACGGCTCCTTGCAAGAACTGCCGGAGACTAGCACTTGCCCCAGCAGCCAGCGAAGGCTACACAGGGGACCTTTGCCCGTGGCTTGGGAGAGTCCATCTCATCTCGCGACCAGCAGCAGGGATCGAGGAAGGCTTGGAACGGAGCGACTCCGTCAACGGGACGGACAGAGCCGCGTGGCGTTTTTGCGGTTGTGCCGGTGCTTCGTGTTGTTCGGCACGATGTCCGACGTTTCGCTCCGTGTGCTGGGGAGCTTTTCAGGAACGGATGATGAATGTGGTGCAGACCCAACATCGTTCCACGTGTGATGCGTGCTATGCAGAACAAGTGCCATAGGTTAATCCTGACGTCACATCCGACACGTCTCAAAGGCCCATACACCTCTCGCACGCCTCATAACGTCTCTCAAGAGTCCAGTAAGTCATGACGGCTCTGTCCATCACGTCACTCAAGTTCACAGTCCCATCGAGTCTCAGACGTGCAGCACGTCTCTCAAATGTTTTACCAGCACAGAAGTACATTACGTCCATCAAGAGTCCAGCATGCCATCAAGTCTCTCCCTGTTCGTCACATCTCTCAGCGTTCATCACAGCATTCAAACTGGTAGGAACCCACTGGTTCCACCAGCCCACAGGGGATTATTGTGTCCGTCCGTCGTGCAGGGAGGGGCTGGGTGGGGAGGGACGGGCTGGGTGGGGAGGGAGGGGCTGGGAGGGGAGGGTGGGGAGGGGCTGGGTGGGGAGGGTGGGGCTGGGTGGGGAGGAGCTGGTCACCCCGTGGTGCCCTTATAAAACTCAACATTTAACCTACTCACGCCGGCTTGTGCCCGCCCTCACAGTCGGGCATATTTGTGGAATACACCACGCCGCCGTTGACCCTGGCCATTGACCGAGCAACCCAACGTTCCTACCAGCTCCCTCCGCAGGAATGTGTTAACATCTCTCCCTGTTCGTGACGCCTCTCAACAATCCAACACGTCCCTGGCGTCACCAAGCGGCAGCGTCCCCCTCAAGCAAGCGCGGCGGCCTCGTCCCCTGCTCCCTCGGTACGCTCCGGCGCGCGGGGCAGCGCTGCGGGCACAGCGCAGGAGAAGTGGAGCACGTCGCTGCTGCGCAGCAGGGCGCTCTCCTGCACGCCCAGCGGGGTGCCGAGCGCCGACACGAGGAGGCTCAGCAGCTCGAGGTCGCAGGCGCGCAGCACCGCGGGGAGCCGCTCCGGGCGCGAGAAGAGGCGGAACCGCGCGGGCCCCCCGCACGCGGCGCCCAGCCCCAGCAGGAACCTCTCGCGCAGCTGGGCGCGGGCCGCCTGCTCCCGGCACACTAACGAGGAGTGAGCCGCCGAGGAGGAGCAGGAGGTGCCCGTCTCGTGCGAAGAAGCGACGCGGTGCAGGGCGCGGAAGCGCGCGGAGTTCGGGTCGAAGCCTTTGCCGCCGTTGGGGCCGAGGGGCAACCTCAAGACGGGGACCGGAGTCGCCATGCGGTCCGTGGCCGTCCCTGGTGGTAGCACGGGAGGGGGGGGGGGGGAGATTTCGCGTTGTGATCCAGGCGAGTGCAGCGGTCAAGTGCTGCGGCCCCTGGCTACCCGAGTTCGATTCCCCGCTCACGCCCACCAAGGCCAGCGACGATTGTCTGAACACAGCAGAGGTTCGCAAAACGGGTTTTGATTCCTTACCCGTACCCGGCCGCACCAGGGTCGCAAACATGTACCCGTACCCGGCCGGGTAGGGTACGAGTATCGGGTATCCGATTGCGACCTCTGGGATGAAGCCATATTGCAGGCGCGGGTGGGTTGATTCTAGGAACTTGAATTATGAGAAGAGACAAGACGTTGGGAAATGAGTGACAGTTACTCACCAGTGACTCACGGCCTACCCGTACCCGGCCGCACCAGGGTCGCAAACGGGTAGCCGGGTATCGGGTAGGGTATCGGGTACCCGGTTGCGACCTCTGGAACAGTCCCTGGGAATTCCTCCCCTAGGTCGACTCTGCCTAAATTGAGTTGTGCTGGTAGCCCTGGTGCGGTGAACATCGCCACGAGGAAAACAAAGTTGGACGGGCGTGGTGCTGGCTACCCACAACCTCGTGCGCTGTAGGACTTAATTGTTAAATCTCGATTTAAAGCTTTCGTGACTGCAGGGATTCATCTTCTTGGTTCTTTCGGTAAAGTCACGTAGAATGGAAATAATAAAATAATACAAATTAAACATAATAAAATAATTCTCACGTTTCGGCCACAACGCAAGCAGCCGTCAGGTGAAGAACAGCCGAAACGTCGTGAGAATTTTTTATTATGTTTTATTTGTATTATTTTATTATTTCCCTTCTACGTGACTTTACCGAAAGAACCAAGAAGAATTAATAGTTGCTGCTTGCTGGCAGCACTTGCTCCAGCAGTCTCACACACGGGGGGGGGGGGGGTGGGGGGGATCTTTGTCTTTCGTTATCATTGTTGTTTTTGGACGAGTTTGCCGGGGAAGGCGAGTTTTTCCTCATCCCATCAGCCCCGCGGCAGCATTCCTTCTGGGGCAGTGCACAATATTATACTGGTAGGAACCTCCTGGTTACACCAGCCCACAGGGGATTATTGTGTCTGTCGTGCAGGGAGGGGCTGGGTGGGGAGGGTGTGGAGGGGCTGGGTGGGGAGGGTGGGGAGGGGCTGGGTAGGGAGGGTGGGGCTGGGTGGGGGGTGGGAGGGTGTGGAGGGGCTGGGTGGGGAGGGGCTGGGTGAGGGGTGGGGCTGGGTGGGGGGTGGGGCGGGGGGTGGGGCGGGGTGGGGCTGGGTGGGGCTGGGTGGGGGGTGGGAGGGGTGGGGCTGGGTGGGGAGGGGCTGCTCACCCCGTGGTGCCCTTATAAAACTCAACGTTTAACCTACTCATGCCGGCTTGTGCCCGCCCTCACAGTGGGCCATATTTGCGGAATACACCACGCCGCCGTTGACCCTGCAGGCCATTGACCGAGCAACCCGACGTTCCTACCAGCTCCTTCCGCAGGAGGGATGCGTTCAGCAGCATCGCACTTAGCACGAGGGCGAAGAACCCCGACTGGTTTCGACATTAGTTGTCTTCATCAGCACCATGAACACACAACAAACAGGGGCCCTTCCGTTACTCCACTGCTAGACGCCGTTGCGGGTCGATTGACCATACTTCACCACGCTGGTCAGTGCCGGTTGGCGCGTAGAAGTTCGCCGTTTAAATTTCGATTTAAAGCTTTCGCGACTGCAGGGATTCGTCTTCTTGGTTCTTTCGGTAAAGTCACGTAGAAGGGAAATAATAAAATAATAAAAATAAAACATAATAAATAATTCTCACGACGTTTCGGCCACAACGCAAGCAGCCGTCCTCAGGTGAAGAGGACGGCTGCTTGCGCTGTGGCCGAAACGTCGTGAGAATTATTTCATTATGTTTAATATTTTTATTATTTTATTATTATGTTTTATTTTTATTATTTTATTATGTTTTATTTGTATTGTTCTATTACTTCCCTTCTACGTGACTTTACCGAAAGAACCAAGAAGAAGTCGCTGTTTGTACCGAAGGCCGAGCCTTAGGCCTAGCCGCTCCGTCAACGACACGCACTGACCAGCGCGGTGAAGTATGGTCAAGCGCCCTGCCTGCCCCCCTGCACACTCACCGCTCGCTCGCTCGCTGGGACTCGCCCTGCCTGCCCCCTGCACACTCACCACTCGCTCGCTCGCTGGGACTCGCCCTGCCTGCCCCCTGCACACTCACCACTCGCTCGCTCGCTGGGACTCGCCCTGCCTGCCCCCTGCACACTCACCGCTCGCTCGCTCGCTGGGACTCGCCCTGCCTGCCCCCTGCACACTCACCGCTCGCTCGCTCGCTGGGACTCGCCCTGCCTGCCCCCTGCACACTCACCGCTCGCTCGCTCGCTGGGACTCGCCCTGCCTGCCCCCTGCACACTCACCACTCGCTCGCTCGCTGCCCCCTGCACACTCACCTCCCGCTCGCTGGGACTCGCCCTGCCTGCCCCCCTGCACACTCACCGCTCGCTCGCTTGGGACTCGCCCTGCCTGCCCCCTGCACACTCACCGCTCGCTCGCTGGGACTTCGCCCTGCCTGCCCCCTGCACACTCACCACTCGCTCGCTGGACTCGCCCTGCCTGCCCCCTGCACACTCACCAATCGCTCGCTGGGACTCGCCCTGCCTGCCCCCTGCACACTCACCACTCGCTCCTCGCTGGGACTCGCCCTGCCTGCCCCCTGCACACTCACACCACGCGCGCTCGCTGGGACTCGCCCTGCCTGCCCCCTGCACACTCACCACTCGCTCGCTGGGACTTCGCCCTGCCTGCCCCCCTGCACACTCACCGCGCTCCGCAGTCGCTGGGACTCGCCCTGCCTGCCCCCTGCACCATCACCACTCGCTCGCTGGGACTCGCCCTGCTGCCCCTGCACACTCACCGCTCGCTCGCTGGGACTTCGCCCTGCCTGCCCCCTGCACACTCACCACTCGCTCGCTGGGACTTCGCCCTGCCTGCCCCCTGCAACACTCACCAGCTCCGCTCGCCTGGACTCGCCCTGCCTGCCCCCTGCACACTCACCACTCGCTCGCTCGCTGGGACTCGCCCTGCCTGCCCCCTGCACACTCACCGCTCGCTCGCTGGGACTCGCCCTGCCTGCCCCCTGCACACTCACCACTCGCTCGCTGGGACTCGCCCTGCCTGCCCCTGCACACTCACCGCTCGCTGGGGCCCCTGCACACTCACCGCTCGCTCGCTGGGACTCGCACTGCCTGCCCCCTGCACACTCACCACTCGCTCGCTCGCTGGGACTCGCACTGCCGCGGGAAAGAGGCCCTCGTCCAGCGGGGGATAGAGGAGGCCGGGGGAGGGGGTCTCCTCGCCGCCTTCCGCCGCGACTCCCGCGTGCTGAGACCCCACGTGGGCGGAGGAGTCATCACGTGGGAGGAGGAGTCATCACGTGGGAGGAGGAGTCATCACGTGGGAGGAGGGGTCACCACGTGGGAGGAGGGGTCACCACGTGGGAGGAGGAGTCACCACGTGGGAGGGGTTCTGTGGGGAGCGGTGGCGCAGCGGTTAGCGCGCTGCGGGTTCGACCCCTGCACACAGAGCAGAGTTCCAATTATCCCTCGCGGCCACTAACATCACGTGACGATTACTACCTGGTGCGCTCCTTTTAATTTTACACGTAAGGGGCCGTCCATAAATGACGTCACGCGATTTTTGACGATTTTTGACCCCCCCCCCTCGTCACACGGCGTCACAAAGCTCTGCCCCCCCCCCAAAAAAAAAACATGATTCAAATCGCTTTAAACTGTTGTCATTGTAGTGCGTATTTAATGTGGCGCTGCACTCTGATGTTGTAGGAGAAAACATTTATAAAAAAATTAACCCGTAAAAACAAAGTTTTTCACTATAAATCCTTTATATGCGTGGCATCGGGGCGGCGAGCGTCCTCTCGTCCTCTGGCTTGAGATGGCTGCCACCTATGGGTCAGATGATTGTCTGGCAGCATTAAACAATTGGTAATTAAATATTTTTTTTTCCTAAACAGTGTAAAATTTTGGAAAAAAGTTTTCACGAAAATGCATTGTCACGCACAACGAGTCTGTGTGCAAAACGTCAGCTCGATTGGATCACGGGAAGTGGGTTAAAAAACGACCGAAAGATTTGCACGGTCCTAAGCAAGCAAGCAAGCGAACTTAATATAAAGGATTTAAAAAGCCTATTTAATTAAGTAGAACGTGTTGTCTATATTTATTTAAAGTTGCGCATTTTGATGTGACGTCACATTCCTCACCCCCTCCCCCTCGTCACACATCGTCACAAATGTCTGACCCCCCCCCCTAGGTGCGTGACGTCATTTATGGACGGCCCCCCACTTTGCGCAAGAGCGCAGAAGCGTGGTCACCACATCTACCACGCCTCCATATAAGGAACGAAACAGGTGGACTTCTACACAAATCTGGCTGTCGTCTGATGAAGCTAGTTGTAATTACTGGCGAAACGTCGTACTCAGATTGTAAATGTTGTGGCTTGGCTCTCCAACACACAACCAGTTAGTGCGGTACTAGTATACTACACTATACACTACATTGTACACTATACACTACATTATACACTATACACTACACTAGTGCTGTACTAGTATACTACATTATACACTATACACACTACACCATACACTACTATACACTACACTATACACACTACACTATACACTAGACTATACACTACACTATACACTAGTGCTGTACTAGTATACTACATTATACACTATACACTACACCATACACTACTATACACTACACTATACACACTACACTATACACTACACTAGTGCTGTACTAGTGACGAATTGGCACGTTCTGTTGACGTGACAACCCTTACTAGTTGGCTGTGTCGGGTGGTGGCGGGTTTTAACGACACATTTATATATTTACGCGATCTAACAAAAAACCCCTCTACTTTTTAATCATCATGTGACGGCAATTGTTTTATGAACCCCGACGGCTATTTTCTTTATTGCTGTACTTTGTTTCCTGTCGTCATTTTGGTGACCCCCCCCCCCCCCCGGTCACTCTTGAACCTGACCTTTCCGTGCTCTCTCGACTTCTCACCTCGTTACAATGAAATCCGCTTGGAGCTGGCAACTCATCACGGGAGGGGTGGTCTTTTGTTGCGGCTTATACATGGTGCTTCAAAAAAATATAAACACTAACACATTCCTGCGGAGGGAGCTGGTAGGAACGTTGGGTTGCTCGGTCAATGGCCAGGGTCAACGGCGGCGTGGTGTATTCCGCAAATATGCCCGACTGTGAGGGCGGGCACAAGCCGGCGTGAGTAGGTTAAATGTTGAGTTTTATAAGGATCACCACGGGGTGACCAGCCCCTCCCCACCCAGCCCCACCCCTCTCCACCCAGCCCCTCCCCACCCAGCCTCTCCCCACCCTCCCCTCCCATCCCCTCGCTCCCCAACCAGCCCGTCCCTGCACGACGGACACAATAATCCCCTGTGGGCTGGTGTAACCAGGAGGTTCCTACCAGTAATATAGGACACACATAGCATTGTTGTAGCTGCTCGCTCGCTGGTTCAGCAGTTCCACTGATGGATTATATTGTTTCCGCCTGAGGACGACCGCTATTGTGTTGTGATCGAAACGTCGTTATTTATTTTATTGTCTACCCTACGTGACTTTACCGAAAGAACCAAAGAGTATGGATTCCAGCTTCAAATCAAGACTAATATAGGACTATCGTTTTTAACGGGAACAGAACGGATAATACTACACTGTAACATGATAACAAATGTCAGGTTAATAGCTTCACAAAGTCAAAATTCATCTTCTTTGTTCTTTCGGTAAAGTCACGTAGAAGGGAATAAAAAAAACATAATATTATTATATTATTACGTGTAATTTTTATTATTTTATTATTTCCCTTCTACGTGACTTTACCGAAAGAACCAAGAAGATGAATCCCTGCATATACTAATAGGGGTTTTCCCCCTTTTTTCTGGCAACAAAACTGACACCTTTTGCAAGGAATCATGTTTACATTAACCACAATACTTGCAGTCAAATGCAAAAAAACAACACTCTGGTAATTTATGCATTGTCTTTGAAACTGATTGGTCCACACCAGAGACAGCTTTCTTTGGAGCCTCGTCTCATATGGTGTTCGACCAGATGACTGGCAAAAGAGGTCCCATGATGAATCCCTGCAGTCACGAAAGCTTTAAATCGAAAGTCAAAAATCCTCAATTTGTTCGCCATCGTTGCCAACGCGTGCCTGGAATCTTCTTCCCCAGGTTCTCTCCAGAGCCCGGAAGTGGCACATTTATTGTGGTGTTGTTGCAAATTCTCAGAAGTGTTCACATTTTACAGGTAGGAACAATGTTCCACACTGCCCACCAGGGATTTATTGTCTGTCTGTCTGTCGTGCATAAATAAATATATAACATAAACAGCTCTTTGATTGGTGGAGACCTACTGCCGGGTACGGAGAGGGGAGGGGCCTAAGGAAGGGGGGAGTCAGGGGAGGGGCCTGAGGGAGGGGGGTCAGGGGAGGGGCCTGAGGGAGGGGGGGGTCAGCGGAGGGGCCTGAGGGAGGGGGGTTCAGGGGAGGGGCCTGAGGGAGGGGGGTTCAGGGGAGGGGCCTGAGGGAGGGGGGTCAGGGGAGGGGCCTAAGGAAGGGGGGGGTCAGCGGAGGGGCCTGAGGGAGGGGGGTCAGGGGAGGGGCCTAAGGAAGGGGGGAGTCAGGGGAGGGGCCTGAGGGAGGGGGGTCAGGGGAGGGGCCTAAGGAAGGGGGGGGTCAGCGGAGGGGCCTGAGGGAGGGTGGTCAGGGGAGGGGCCTAAGGAGGGGGGTCAGGGGAGGGGCCTAAGGATATGGGGGTGGTCAGGGGAGGGGCCTGAGGGAAGGGGGTCAGGGGAGGGGCCTAAGGGAGGGGCCTAAGGGAGGGGGGGGGGCGATAGTTCAGGGGGCTGTCTGCCTGGCTACCTAAAGTCAAGTTATCTTGTATACATACAGGTAGGAACAACAGGTTCCACACTGCCCACCAGGGATTATTTGTCTGTCTGTCGTGCACGAAAGCACTGTCCAACCAAGTTCCTACCTGCCCACTCCGAAGGAACGTGTTATACAGGTAGGAACAGTAGTTCCACACTGCCCACCAGGGATTATGTGTCTGTCTGTCGTGCATAGCCCCGCCCTCGATTTGTATTTCATAGAGCGCTTCGGGCGGGCTCAGCACCACGTGACGCGCCTCCCCACGCAGCTTTTGCCGCGTGACACGGATCGCACGAATGCGCTGTCCAACCAAGTTCTGACCTGCCCACTCCGAAGGAACGTGTTCAAGGGAGACCCGGCCAGCAGACAAATCAAAGCATTCCACAATTGAACAAATGAGTAAAAACAAAATATCCAGAGGCACGTTCAGTTCAATCGACAAGGCACTTATTAACAACATGAATTACAGATGGTGATGGTAGCGAGGCTAATTTGAACTTTTTCGTGTGGACCATGTTAAAGAGAGAAAAAAAATTAACCCGTAAAAACAAAGTTTTTCACTATAATCCTTTATATGCGTGGCGGCTAGAGTCCTCTCGTCCTCTGGCTTGAGATGGCTGCCACCTATGGGTCAGATGATTGCGTGCCACCATTAAGCAATTGGTAATTAAATATATATATTTTTTTCCTAAAAAGTGTAACATTTTGGAAAAAAAATTTCACGAAAATAAATTGTCACGCACAACGAGTCTGTGTGCAAAATGTCAGCTCGATTGGATCACGGGGAAGTGGGTTAAAAAACGACCGAAAGATTTTCACGGTCGTAAGCGCGCAAGCAAGCAAGCAAGTGAACTTAATATAAAGGATTTAAACAAAAACGTTTAAATCACTTGAGCACACAACTCAATTGACTCACGGCATTAACGAGGCGCGTGCCAGTAGCTTGGCTCATGAACGACGCCTCGGGACAATGGGCGCGCGTGCAATGAGCGAATCTTCGCTCTGATTGGCTCCCGATGATTGGCCTGCAGGGGAAGATGGGAGGAGGCACGTGCGCGTAATTCTGTCACGTGATGTGAGCTACCTCAATGGACTCTCAACATCTTTTTAAAAATCCTTTATATTAAGTTCGCCTGCTTGCTTGCTTGCGCGCTTACGATCGTGCAAATCTTTCGGTGGTTTTTTTTATTTAAATCCTTTATGAAATCCTTTATATTAAGTTCACTTACTTGTTTGCTTGCGTGCTTGCTTAGGACCGTGCAAATCTTTCGGTCGTTTTTTAACCCACTTCCCGTGATCCAATCGAGCTGACATTTTGCACACAGATTGGTTGTGCGTGACAATTTATTTTCGTGAAAAAATTTAGCAAAATTTTACACTTTTTAGGAAAAAAAAATTATATTTAATAACCAATTGCTTAATGCTGCCAGGCAATCATCTGACCCATAGGTGGCAGCCATCTCAAGCCAGAGGATGAGAGGACTCTAGCCGCCACGCATATAAAGGATTTATAGTGAAAAACTTTGTTTTTACGGGTAAATTTTTTGATGCAGTAATTTTAGCTGTGCCGGTCCCACCTGATGACGGAGACTTGTGTTGCCTCCGAAACGTCGTGAATATTTTTATTTGATTTTATTTCCATTATTACTTTCATTAACGTTTAATTTTATTTTTTTTACCTACGTGACTTTACCGAAAAAACCTTAGAGTATGATTCTCAACATACTCATTTGGGGGTCGTGATTGCGTCTATGAAGCCCGAGCGCGCGTGGCTGGGCTCGTTAACGGAGTCTCACGCAAAATAGGAACGAGCGCAGGAAGCGCCACCCATCCAATTAGTGACTCATCATGCTGATTGACACGCGATGATTGCCTTCTCTCTCGGACCCCTATGATTGGCCAGGGATGGGAAGGCAAACCCGCGTGATTGTTCCACGTGACGTGCGCTCCCTCGTTATAAAGGAGGGAGCAGACGGCACACCGCATCTGCTCTTCACGGGGTTGACTGTTTTTGTAAGTGGTGAGTGGGGCGGGCTACATTGCTGTAGGAGTTGCTGTAGGAGTTGCTGTAGGAGTTGCTGTAGGAGTTGCTGTAGGAGTTGCTGTAGGAGTTGCTGTAGGAGTTGCTGTAGGAGTTGCTGTAGGAGTTGCTGTAGGAGTTGCTGTAGGAGTTGCTGTAGGAGTTGCTGTAGGAGTTGCTGTAGGAGTTGCTGTAGGAGTTGCTGTAGGAGTTGCTGTAGGAGTTGCTGTAGGAGTTGCTGTAGGAGTTGCTGTAGGAGTTGCTGTAGGAGTTGCTGTAGGAGTTGCTGTAGGAGTTGCTGTAGGAGTTGCTGTAGGAGTTGCTGTAGGAGTTGCTGTAGGAGTTGCTGTAGGAGTTGCTGTAGGAGTTGCTGTAGTGCCCCCTTTCCAGACCATGTTGGGTGCATGCTCGTTGTCTTTTTTTTCATACTTTTATTTCACTTTCTGCGTTGTTAGTTTTCTTTTTTAGCTTTTAAGGATTAATGTCTTCGGAGGTACTAAGCCGAACAAGCTGACGTTTTCTACACGCACTCGCCGCGCATGACAATTCAATATTTCCTTAAAGCCTGTCCCAGGTCTTGTACATTTTGCGCCTTTTATTGCGTTTTAACAATCCATGTAACCTTCCATTTTGCCATTTTTATGCAAGCCAGCCACTTGTTAAAGACACAAAATTTGAATAATTTTGGAGTCGAAGTTTTATATAGCAAATAAAAGCATGCATTAGCTTTTTTACCTAAATTCTCCCTTTCCAACATCAACAATGGGCTCTTTGTTTGAACAATATATTAGCCGGGTTGATCTCCCTGTAATTTTTTAAAACTGTGTTCTGTACCTTAATCAAAGCCTCACCTGCCAAAATTCTAGCTGAATCTCTTATGTTTTAAAAATGGATTCGTAGCATTGGGCCGCACAACTTCCGTTTCATTGACCTGAAATCTGAGGGTTGTATGGCAGAAGCTGGAAACCCTTTCAAGTTTGAAACGCGGTTAATGGGAATTCTCAAATAAATTTTACCTGTCCTGCCACCTATTTTTTTTTTATCTAAAGAAGGGTCTAATTTGACCCCTTTTCAAACAGTGCTGTCATAAATTTCTCCACTCTGATATGATGCAACACCTAATGACCACTGCGTTCTAAAAAAAACCTCCGCTGTTAATTTTTTTGGCCAAGATGGTTCTTGCTTGGGCGATCTGCATATGCAAACATGGTTGCCTTGGATTATAGGGTTAATCTGGTTTCCCCACACTACCTTAACCAAACTGCTTCTGTTCATATGACCCGTTTAGGTCGCCTTCAGCCAAGTCTCTGGATCCTTTATTCAAGCTTTTCATTGTTCGTGGAAAGAAAAGGTATTTGTGCTACTGCAATTTGACACGTGCATCCCTCTTGCATTGCCCCACTGCATGATGGTCTACTGTGGCCGAGTGGATCGAGGTTTGTGGAAATGGGCCATACTCTATCCTGCTGTTTGATGTTGGGAGAAATGTGTGTGTGTGTGGGCATTTAGTTTTGATACTCTGCCAACAACAATGAGCACGCACGCTTGTGCTTCAAGGACTAATTGTTAATTGATCAGCGGAGAGTTCATTGTGTTGCGCACTTTTTGTTTTAATATTGATTCCACAAATTTAAATCTTAAAAACGGTAGTAATTTTGACTCGGATTAGGTTTATGTTGCATACTTGCCCAAAGATTTAAAACCTGCTTTAACGGCATGTCAAATGTCTATTGCACGCTATTTGGTGCCTATTTTTCAGCCCTTCCGAAGTATTTTAATGTCCAAATTTTAAGACGCGAATGGTACAGTGAACTACAGTTACTACTGAACTGTAGTCCTGATTCTGTTTTTAAATCCTTTATATTAAGGTCGCTTGCTTACGACCGTGCATATCTTTCGGTCGTTTTTTAACCCACTTCCCGTGATCCAATCGAGCTGACATTTTGCACACAGACTCGTTGTGCGTGACAAATAATGTTCGTGAAATTTTTTGTTTCAAAATTTTACACTTTTTAGGACAAAAATATTATATTTAATTACCAATTGCTTAATGGTGCAATGCAATCATCTGACCCATAGGTGGCAGCCATCTCAAGCCAGAGGACGAGAGGACTGTAGCCGCCACGCATATAAAGGATTTGTAGTGAAAAACTTTGTTTTTACTGGTTATACTTGTTTGTAAATGATAGCAAGGCAGGAATACTTGGCTTGAAACCATGCTTGCCATTCCGTCTCCATCCAGACCTTTCCCTCCAATGCACATCATTGGAGGGAAAGGTGGAAATGCGTTCTCGTTTGATGGGAGGAGCAATGCGGCCACGCTGCAGAAACTCTCCGTGAGCGTTGGAGGCTGGCAAGTGAGGGGTGTGGAGGTGTGGCTGACTGACGGGCGAAGGCAGAAATTCGGCTTCGTTGACTCCTCTGCTCAGCAGTTTGAATTCCAGTCGGGCGAGTTCATGTCGCAGCTCTCCCTGTGGGGCAATGGGGCCGGCACGCGTCTGGGTGCCATCAAGTTCAGAACGAGCCGCAACCGCGAGTTCTTTACCAAGATGACGGACTGGGGGCTCAAGATCGAGTACAAGATCGACGTGGGCTCCGGCATATGCTTGGGCGTTCAGGGCCGAGCGGGGGCTGACATCGACTCCATGGGCTTCCTTTTCATCAATGCTGTCCAGTCGTCGGTGATCCAGAACATGAAGTACCCAACCATGCACCAGGTTCTGGCTAACGTGCAGATGGAGGAGATTAAAGACATGGAGTATATAAACGACACCAGCGTCGTGCAGTCGCACACCTTCCAGAGCTCCAAGACGATAACCAAAAAGTCGTCGTGGTCTACGACCAACAAGATCGAGTTCACCTTCAGCCTGACCGTCTCGGCAGGCATACCTGAGGTCGTGGAGGTAGAGACCGGGTTCAGCTTCACCGTGAGCTCTGAGACCACGCACGCGTTGGAGAACTCGGAGGAGCGAACGGAAACTCTCACGTTCCCTGTCTCGGTTCCTCCGCACAAGACTGTCACCGTTGTCGCCAAAATCGGGCGTGCAAACATCGACCTCCCGTACGCGGCCCTACTGCGCATCACCTGTATGAATGGCGCTTTCTTTGACGTTCCCCTGAGTGGCGTCTACAAGGGGCTCACTTACACCAAAATGACCGCCCGTGCTACTGAGAAATAGAGCAGCGTTTTGTACCGCATTTTGATCAAATGTTCTGAAAGAATAATTGTGGCTGACTACGAATAAAAGCCTTCTGCATTGCACTTCAATTTTCTCTTTGCATGTAAGGAATTTACATTTTTACGAGGTTCTAATGTTTATAGACATATTTCACCATTTGCTGTTGGCAGGGATTATTTTGTAGTTGCATTGAGCTTCCTATTCTAAATTTGACGTTTTCGTGACTGCAAGGATCCATACTCTTTGATTCTTTTCACCGTGACTTTACCGAAAGCATCAACGAGTATCGAGCTTCATATCTTCTGCTTTGCATGGCCATTATTGAAACGGTGGGTTAGTGGCATGGTATGTTTTACAGCTAGAAACAGGTTCCACACTTCCCAGTGCGGATTGTCTGACGTGCACGAATGCGCCATCCGACCAAGTTCCTACCTGCCCACTGAAGGAACGTGTTTTTGAAGCACCCTGTGTATGTGTGCTCGCCACAAAGGAACCACGATCACTTGATCTCGTCATGGAGCGCGAGCGAGCTTCAGTCATCCTCGCAGCGACTTGTGGCTGGCAGTGGTCACCGCATCGCGTGGTGCTTCCAGATGCGCTTCGGTGGCCGTCTGGAACGCTCTTCCTTCCGATGTTAGGAAGCCACTGGAGCTACGCACTTTAAAATCATCTACATTTACAAACTAATTTATTTAATGGAGTTTGTTTTGTGTTTCCTTTGTCTGCCCCCGCACGTACGGTTGGCTACGTACGGTGCAAAAGACGTTCATGTGGGGCATGGCCAGGCGTATTAACGCCTCCGTATCGATTGAAGGAACAAATCGTATCTAATTCCGGCACGTGAATCGAGTGTTCGTTTGACGACACAAACTACACCGTGAGAAATCTGCCGCTCATGCTGCGTTCAGGCATTACTGTAAACGACAAAACAGTATACAGATCTTCTTGGTTCTTTCGGTAAAGTCACGTAGAAGGGAATAAAAAAATAAAATAATTCCCACGTTTCGGCCACAACGCAAGCAGCCGTCCTCAGGTGAAAGACTGTATGGAATCCCACCCCGTAGTGGCGGTTAAATTTCGATTTAAAGCTTTCGTGACTGCAGGGATTCATCTTCTTGGTTCTTTCGGTAAAGTCACGTATAAGGGAATTCTCACGACGTTTCGGCCACAACACAAGCGGCCGTCCTCAAGTGAACCAAGAAGATGAATCCCTGCAGTCACGAAAGCTTTAAATCGAAATTTAACCCCCATCATCGTGCTGCTGTCAAACCCCTAATCTTTTCAAGTGGCGGCCCTCACACCGGCATCTTCTCTACGAAAGTGGAAATAATTAGTGAACGCTGGGATAGACCATGGCCCATGTTCATTTATCTGCTGGTTTCTTCGGGCATAACACCTGTTATTGTGCATGGTGGTGGTTAACCTTACACACTCTATCCAGACTCAACTCTGCTTCGCTTCCGAGGCCTGCCAAACGCCGGATAAATTGGCCACAGGCAATATCTGTGCACAGTCCAAAGCGTCTCGATGCAGAATCAGTGTGACCACATAGGAACTTAAATCTCTCCACCGATGGGGGGGGGGGCATCGTATTCATGAGACCATTTGTAAACACTCGTGCATCGCAGCTAGGTGGGCCTGGGTTCGAATCTCAGCTCCGACGCCTCCGTGTGGAGTTAGGGCTACTCATGTTCTGCAGTGTGGGTTGTTTGTGTTAATGTGTGGAGTTTGTATCTGCAGTGTCGCGGTCAGCGCGCTGCGCTACGAACCCGGTGACCCAAGTTCAATTGCCGCTCACAGCCAACACCAATTTTCTGAACCGGTCCTGGGCCTCCCCTAGATCGCCTCAGCCTCAAATAAGTACCTGGTGCGGTGTGTACACAGCATCACTGGAAAGAAAACGGCGGCTGGGCATGGTGCCAGCCACCCACCCCCTCGTGTGTCGTGCCGGCCTTCATAGGTGCTCGCTAACAGCACTTGCCCCAACAGCCTGTTAAGGCTACACGGGACATCTTTGGATGGTCTCTGCCTGTTCTTCATGGGTTTCCTCCGTTGTTCTCCCATAGCTAAAACAAATCTCCACACAATGTCACCAGTATTGACCAAGCTGCCCCATGCTTAAACATTACCTGAACATTTCACAGATGGGATCACACGCAGCAGCAGCAGCAGCGACATCGCCCCCCTACTGCATAAACTGAACAAGACCCTCCTGAAAAAACGTCTTGGGACTCGCAGCTTTGCGGGGTAAAGCGTAGTAGTAGTAGCAGCAATAATAATACAACAGCCCACTCCACCTCTTCAGAATGTCAAGTAAAAAAATCAAGTCAAATAAGGAGTCATCGGCGCCCATCACCTGCTTACAGCCCCGAGCAGAAACTCCACATCCCATCAGCGGCTGCAGGAGTCTGTGCGACAACCACTGCCCACAACAAAGCGATGCTCATTTTTATCGAACCTCGGAGGGGTTGGATGATGAGCCAAGTAACCCCCCCCCCCAACCAGGATTCGAACTCGCAACCTCACAGCCGCACGCCGCCTGCTCCACGGCCACGTGGCCGGTTTGTGGATGGGAGGGAAAGCAGTGGCGTGTCTCGCTCGCTCACACGGCCGGCCACAACCACGCCGCACAACCGCACAACCACGCCGCACAACACAACCACACAAAAACGCAACCACGCCGCACAACCACTCCACACAACCACACAACCACGCCGCACAACACAACCACAAAAACGCAACCACGCCGCACAACCACTCCACACAACCACACAACCATGCCACACAACCACGCCGCACAACCACACAACACAACCACACAACACAACCACACAAAAACGCAACCACGCCGCACAACCACTCCGCACAACCACGCCACAACCACTCCACACAACCACGCCACAACCGCAGCGAGGTTACCAAAACTAATAATTAAGTCCGTTTATTGCCGATCGCCGAAAAAAGAAGCCACACGGGGGACGCGGGCACAGCGCCAGTGCCGGCGCGGCCGAGATCGTCCCCGACCCCCACACCGCCCGGTCCGGTCGCCACCCCCCCGCCCCCCCCCACCACCCCCCCCCCCCCACCACCACCGCTCTCTCATCATCGCCGTCGCTCGACCTTCTGGGCCTTCTTGCGCTTCTCGTCTTTCTTCTCCTGCTTCTGCACCTTGTCCTTCTCCCGCTGCGTCTTGTCCTGCTCCTTCTTGCGCTGCGAGTCCTCGCGCGCCTGCTCGCGCTGCAGACGCTGCTTCTCCGCCACCGTCTCCGCGTTCGTGTTGCGGAACAGAGCTGCGCGCACGGCCGCGTGTTAAGCAATGCAACCGGATAGCGCCGGGCCGGCGATTGACGGGGACACGGGAACTCCCGTAGAAGATCACCCGATGCCAACGTCATCCAACAACATCATCATTCGTTCGTCACGCATAGTCAACGAAGGAGCGTTACGCAATCCATAGAGCGTTGCACGATTTTTAGCCGAGAGCTCTCGATTTGTTGCTTAACAAATGGGGTTGCGATTGATTGGTTTGCAGCCTCTCTGCCAATAATCCACTGCTGGATGAGGGCCTCCTCCCCACAGCGTGCTCGCCGTGGGGGGTTACTGGACCATGCTGCACCATGCCGGTCAGTGCGGGTTAGTGAAGGCGGGGGGCAGAAGCGTATGGCAGTAGAGTGCATTGATGACTGTGCTTTGCTCATGAGTCCCAATGAGGCTGAAACCAGTCTACAGTCGTCTTCATTTCACTGCTGCTACCTGATGTAGGGATGAGCCACACATGGCCACACATTAAGTTCTTTTGAGCTGGTGGTCTGCACAAGGCTGAGAGCTGTTGTACAAATGCTGCTGCACACCCTTTGCTTTTAAATCTCGACATGGGGAGCATAGAAATTACAGCGCAATAGATTCTGACACACTGCCTTCTGTAGCCCATCACGTAGCGCGACCACCGCAGCAGCCTATAACACCTGTTATTCACGGCAGCCGTCCAGCCAAGCAGGGCCCAGTCTCTATCACTCGCACGGTTAGGATAGACACTCAAGTGCCACCAATTCTTGCGGAGGAATATTTACATTTCACAGCACACACACACACGCATCGGCGTGCATCACCGCAACGTACAAGCTCCCGGGGCCTTACCCAGACCCCCAGCTCAACAGAACCGAATGTGTGGCCTTGTTATCCAAGATCTGCGGTCCTATATTTTTACGTGTTTAATGTTGTCTTTCACCCCCCCTCCCGGCACCTACGATTAGCACGGTTGGCTACGTACGGTGCCATAGAAGTGCAACGTACAGTACATACATATTGGGATGCTTGGCCAACTCCATCAACAATGACTGCGTATCATTCACTCATTCATTCATCAGAGGAAGCGCGAAAAAAAACACATGAGCGTGCCGAGGGGAGGGCAACACTCAGTCCCCGCACAGATTCCAACACAGATGGAGATTTATCAACTTGCTGTACTGCCATACCCAAGGGGAAAACAGCCGGATAAACGCGTGCTGTGTGCACCGACACTCGATGATGGTGACGGTGGTGACGGTGGTGATTGCTACGACTGTTATTACGAAAAAGCCTGGCGCCAGGGCGGTCGGCAGAACTGCAAAATAAGTAAAAACATGTAGACCCACCGATCCCCAAGGAACATTTATGACATCTGCGATATCCAACGGGCTGAGCGCGCTGATCGGTGCAAGGATACATTTGCTCTTGTCCGTCACTCCCGCGGACTTGGCTGCCGTGGCTCCTTCCGGCTCCTCGCTCTCCTCAGTGCGGCGAGTAAAGGAGTTAACGTCACCGAGGGCACAACGACAAAGATCGCCCCCCCCCACACCCCCCCACACCCCCACGTAGCCTTAACAGGCTTTAAGAGAAAGTGCTGCGAGTAGCACCTATGTATGTGGCCAAACTACGAAGGCCGGCACGGCCAGCACCATGCCTGGTCACCTTCGTCTCCCTCGTGGCGATGTTTACACACCGCACCAGGTACTCATTTGAGGCGGAGTCAACCTAGGGGAGGCCCAGGACCGGTACAGATAATCGTCACCGGTGTTGGCCGTGAGCGGGAATGTAACCCGAGTCGCCGGGTTTTGTAGCGCAGCGTACGAACCACTACGACACTTCTCCCCAACCTTGGCGCATACACACGTAAACACACATACACACACTCATGTACACACGTACACGCACACACACGTACACACACGTACACATGTACACACACGTACACACACGTACACGCACACACACGTACACACGTACACACACGTACACACACGTACACACACACACATGTACACACATGTACACACACATGTACACACACACACATGTACACACACGTGACACCGTGGGGTACATTCTCCTGCACGGGCACGCACAGCGAGATGGGAAGCGTCAAAAGACTCGGGGCGTGGGGTTCCACGTCAGGGTTCCAAACTAAATTATAAACTATTTTTAAATCCTTTATATTAAGTTCGCATGCTTGCTTGCGTGCTTGCTTGCGTGCTTGCTTGCTGATGCAAATCTTTCGGTCGTTTTTTAACCCACTTCCCGTGATCCAATCGAGCTGACATTTTCCACACAGACTCGTTGTGCCAGACAATTAATGTTCGTGAAAAAAAATTCCGAAAATTTTACACTTTTTAAGCAAATAAAAATTATTTTACATATATTCAAATAGAACTCATCCATGGCTTTGGCTGAACGTCACAGTATAAGAGCCCAGAGCGTAACCCCTCCACAGGCCGTGGCGGAGTAGCGCAGTTGGTAGCGCCCTCGCTTCCCATGCCAAAGGTCGCGGGATCGATCCCCGCGTCCTCCACAGGCGAATATATTTTTAAATCCTTTATATTAAGTTCGCTGCCACGCATATAAAGGATTTATAGTGAAAAACTTTGTTTTTATGGGTTATACTTATTACTTCACCAGGTTAGGCCCACTCAGCTACGTAGCTCTTTTTCAGAAGCGACCTGGCCACAAATGATAGCTCCACGAAGTGGCTTGTCAGCACGTTAAAATTCATAGCGGTCCAAACACTCTGAGCACACGATGTTGATTCTAAATACGGAGGGAAAATCCAGAGGTCCCCGGAAAAAAATCCACACGGCCACAGAGAGAGAGAGAACACGCAAACTCCACATACGGGCGGCATCAGGGTCGGGATTGAACCCATGACCTCCTGTATACCAGACGAGGTGGTTAATATTTCTCGCGAGTGAGGATATTCCTGGGCCTCCTCCACGGTGGCGTACTGCGCCAGCAGCGCTTCCTTGCGCTGGCGCTCCTCGCGCGTCACCTCACGGGGCGCCACCACCAGCTGGGCCTGCTGCTCGATCATGCTGGCCAGGACTTGCACCTCGTCCCGCGAGCCTGTCTCACACGCACGCACAGACGTGTTACATACACAACCGCCTACACGCCGAAGACCCGCCCCATACTGGACATCTGTGAAGGAAAGAGCTTCATAGATCATCGGATTCCTCCAGTCTAAAGAAAGATTCTGATTGTGAAAGGTCCCCCCCCCCCGAAAGCCTGTACAAACTTTTGGGGCAAGTGCTGTAAGCGGGTAGCACCAATGACGGCCGGCACGGTACACGAGGGAGCGGGTGGCCAGCACCGCGCCCAGCCACCTTTTTAAATCCTTTATATTAAGTTCACTTACTTGCTTGCTTGCGCGCTTACGACCGTGCAAATCTTTCGGTCGTTTTTTAACCCACTTCCCGTGATCCAATCGAGCTGACATTTTGCACACAGACTCGTTGTGCGTGACAATTTATTTTCGTGAAAATTTTTTTTCCTAAATTTTCCACTTTTTAGGAATTTTTTTTTTCATATTTAATTAAAAATACCAATGTGATAAAAATGAAACTCTTACTCAAGAAAAAACAGAAATGAATAATAAAATAAAACCGATGCCACGCATATAAAGGATTTATAGTGAAAAACTTTGTTTTTACGGGTTAATTTTTTCACCTTCACCTCCCCGATTGGTGATGTTTATACACCGGAAGAAGGTTCTCATTTACGGCCGAGTCAAACTAGGGGAGGCCCATGACCAGTTGGGACACATTACCATCACGCCTCACGTGCGTTTCGTGTCAGGGATGGCTTGAGAAATTTCAAGATTTTATAATTTAAAGAACAATTATGATCTTTACCGGACCGTTATGTAGCGATTTGAAATATCTTTGCGCTGACCATCGTGACGTCACCGGGTGCCATGTGACGCAACTTTCGGTGGGGGGCCGAAGCATGGAAAGTGATGCCCTATTAGCGACGTCACTTCCACACATTATTTTTGTTGTTGAGCGCCTGGAACTCGGTACCTAGGCGAGATTCATCTTCTTGGTTCTTTCGGTAAAGTCACGTAGACAGCGTCTCCCCGACAGACCTGGTCTTCACCTGAGGATGGCTGCTTGCGTTGTGGCCGAAACGTCGTGAGAATTATTTTATGTTTCATTTTTATTATTTTATTACTTCCCTTCTACGTGACTTTACCGAAAGAACCAAGAAGATGAATCCCTGCAGTCACGAAAGCTTTAAATCGAAATTCTAGGCGAGATTGTCGCGTTTTTTTGGGATAATCTGAGAATTGGGAACATCCCGATACCCGGTTCTGGGGTAGCTACAACATTTTGTGTTTAACGCGATATGACGAAATGTATAAATGGTGATGTGTTAGCTCTGTCCGCCTGTCTGTTACGTTGGGGGGGACTGGGGAGGTGGAGATGGAGGGGCACGAAAACTCTCAGATTAAAATCCAACACTTCAGGCAAGTTACACATTATAACAAGAAATTCATACTTGAGTCCGATCCATATAAGAGCTCCTTGACAACTGTACCGTAGCGATGGGTCCTCATTTTTATTATACGTTCATTTACCCAGGAAAGCTTCAACGAGTTTCAAGAATATTTGTCAGGAGGATCCTGCCAAGTTTTCACAATTGGGGAGCGATGCTGCTGACGCCGTGTGATCCCAATTGAGAAATTTGCAGGTGATTTTTCAGCATTGGATTGTTTTGGCCGATATCGGTTAAATTGTGTGGTCATTTTCGTTGCTACGGTAGAAAACTGGGAACTCTTAGGAAACATACAAGCTCCACATGGAGAGCTACCTGAGTCAGGAATCGAACCCAGGTGCTTCTTGCTGTAAGGTGCCAGTGTCACCACTGTGCAACCCTAATGAGAAGGAAACCGGTCTCCACTTTTTCAACCCTCCAATTCAGTGGCCTCAACTTCAAAACGTCGCAACATTCAGCTCGTGAGCTGGTGGTCGAGACAAGGCTAAGAGAATTTTACACTTGCAATGTGATCACATGACATGCACGAAACGCATGATGGGGGTCAAGCCTTGGTGCTGTTTGCGAGCAGCACACCGTGACTCGCTCGCCCACACGCCCACTCGCCCACACGCTCGCCCGCTCAACCACTCGCTCGCCCGCTCAACCACCCGCTCGCCCGCTCAACCACCCGCTCGCCCGCTCAACCACCCGCTCGCCCGCTCAACCACACGCTCGCCCGCTCAACCACACGCTCGACCGCTCAACCACCCGCTCGACCGCTCAACCACCCGCTCGACCGCTCAACCACCCGCTCGACCGCTCAACCACCCGCTCGACCGCTCAACCACCCGCTCGACCGCTCAACCACCCGCTCGACCGCTCAACCACCCGCTCGCCCGCTCAACCACCCGCTCGCCCGCTCAACCACCCGCTCGCCCGCTCAACCACCCGCTCGCCCGCTCAACCACCCGCTCGCCCGCTCAACCACCCGCTCGCCCGCTCAACCACCTGCTCGCCCGCTCAACCATCCGCTCGCCCGCTCAACCACCCGCTCGCCCGCTCAACCACCCGCTCGCCCGCTCAACCACCTGCTCGCCCATCCACTCGTTGACCCAAATGACCACCCAAGAGAAAATGGCCCATGTCGATCAAAGGGTTATAGCACAAAATGTGAAGACACGCAAACAAGAGCAGCACTGCACATCTGCGTTTACCATTGAGGAGTCGCCGTTTCTCTTTGGAAAGGTGTTCCATCTCCCTCCACTTTCTCAGGATCTCCCTGCAAATCGAGTCCAGCGAGTCTTCCTCCTGTGAACGGTGGATACGTGTGGCGCACAGAACGTTTAGAGGTAGCAATGGGCGCGCCCTCACAGCGACGCAGAGCTGCTGCCACATGGCACTATACACTGCCCGTCGCAACCGATTTTACATTTCACGCCTCTGCAACTGTTACCGCGGGAGGATGGTCTACGTCAGTGGTCGGCAACCTGCAGCCCCGGAGCCGCATGCGGCTCTTGAAGGACTGCTTTGTGACGTCATTTATTAAGGACCACCGTCTCGTGTTCAAATCCATTGCGGCTCATGAAATATTGAGGTTTTTACTGAATTCTCCTGGTCTGTATAATCTGTTTATATGCACGATTGTATTAGCCATCTACTGTATTCATTTCTGTGGGATTGGGAGTGATGTTCGTTGTATACATACAAACGTGTATGTTATAGATTTACAATGTATGCAAGTAACTGTGTATGCTATGTATGTGTTTGGGAGAGTGGCTGTGTGTGGATGTTCAGGGTGTGAGTGGGAGGGTGAGTGAGTGGGTGAGTGTGTATATGTAGCGAGTGGTAGTGTCGTGGTTCGTGCGCTGCAAACCCGGCGACCCGAGTTCGATTCCCGCTCAAGGCCAACACCAGTGACAATTATCTGAATCTGTCCTGAGCCTCTCCTAATTTGACGCAGTCTCAATTAAGTGTGGAGTGTAAACATCGCCACTGGAAAGACAAAGGCGGTCAGGCGTGGTTCTGGCCACCCACCCCCTCGTGTACCATGCCAGCCTTCATAGGTTCTCGCTAACAGAACTTGCCCCAAAATCTACTAAGGTTATACGGGGGATCTTTGTCTTTGACAAGTCATGAAGTGAGTGCTGTTAACAGACGATGTCCCATTTCAAGGGCCTATCCAGGTGAAATATATTAAATTAGAACCATTCCTCTCAACCTAGGCCTAGTGCCTGACCTTGCCGTGTTCATGTGAATCATGTTTTACTCTACTCAGTCAAATTAGCCCTGTTCCACCACGACTCGGTATCCCACAATCATCAAATAACAACACACACAGCACTTTGTGTCAATCAACTGCTGAATGAGGGCCTCTCCATGCCATCGCTGTTTGACCATACTTCACCACGGTTGGGTCAGTGCGGGTTTGGCGAAGGCTGGTGCACAGATGCGGTGGCATAGAAGTGCAGCACATTGGCGGATGAGACTGCACTGCCCGCCATGCAGTCCCCAATTTATCCCGTGGGACTTTCGCAAACAATATGATTCACAATAAAGTTATTTTGGGTCAGATCGCGTATATTTTACATGATCCAATTCAAGAGCCCTAGCTCTCCAAACTCCCAAGAATTATCCAGACTCAAACCCTGCTTAGATTCCGCAATTTTCTTTGACTGGCGGGCGATTTGGTCACAGAGCAAGAACTTTCGATTTAAAGCTGCAGGGATTCATATTCTTGGTTCTTTCGGTAAAGTCACGTAGAAGGGAAATAATACAATAATAAAAAAATGCAACAATGAAATTCTCACGACGTTTCGATTGCAACACAAGCAATCATCATCAGGTGTGAAAACCACAGCAAGAAAATTTGATGATTGCTTGTGTTGCAATCGAAACGTCGTGAGAATTTTATTGTTTAATTTTTATTATTTTACACCATTGGAACCTCATTTTCCAGTAAAAAATATAATAGCTTTTTTACCATTTTATCTGGCAACAAAACTGACACTTTTTTTTTAGTGCACCTTTTGGCATCATCCGGTCCAACACCATGTGAGACTAGGCTCTAAGGAAAGCTGTCTCAGGTGTGGACCAATCAACTTCAAGGACAGTGCATACATTATCAGAGTTATGTTTTTTGATTGCATTATGACTGCAGGTATTGTGGTCTATGCAAACATGACTCGTTGTAAAAAAAAGATGTCAGTTTTGTTGCCAGATAAAAGGGTAAATAAGTATAACCCGTAAAAACAAAGTTTTTCACTCTAAATCCTTTATATGCGTGGCGGCTAGAGTCCTCTCGTCCTCTGGCTTGAGATGGCTGCCACCTATGGGTCAGATGATTGTCTGCAGTATTAAACAATTGGTAATTAAATATTTAATTTGTTTTCCCTAAACAGTGTAAAATTTTGGAAATTTCTTTTCACGAACATTAATTGTTTCGCACAACGAGTCTGTGTGCAAAATGTCAGCTCGATTGGATCACGTGAAGTGGGTTAAAAAACGACCGAAAGGTTTGCACGGTCGTAAGCAAGCAAGCAAGCAAGCACGCAAGCAAGCAAGCGAACTTAATATAAAGGATTTAAAAAACAATTTTTTTTTTTTTTATTAAGAGCTGTTGTGGCCCTGCTTAACTCCGTAGGGGGGGCGGGTAAGGTGGGGTGGGTGTCTGCTGCGCTATCTTTAGCGGGCACTGTCGCTGCCCCGCTCTGTGTTATCGGTCGCCCGAGTCCGAGGCTTCAGCAGCTGCAACTAAAAATAAAAAGCCACCGATGTATTCTTGGCCTCTGAGCGCAAGGGCAGTCTGCTGTGCTTCAATATTGCAATGGCAGTCGTACCACCACCACCACCGTCACGGTCACCATCATCATCATCAGCAGCAGTAGCAGCAGCCAGGGTCAATTCACTGCTGGATGAAGGGCTCCATCGCCACGGTCCCACGAGAGCGAATCACCCAGCACCCGTACAACGAGCAGACTCCCCACTCCAGTAGACGATTAGCGCAGCGAATACAGCACAGCACGTTGGTTCAAGTGGTAACTCCTAGGGTTCTATTCCCCACTCGGCTACATTTTCTCTGTGGAGTTTGTAAGTTCTCGCTCTTCCCCTGTTCTGCATGGTTTTTCTCCTGGTTCTCCTCACATAGCTTAAACTATTTTCTTTTACCAGGTAAGGCCCACTGAGCTATGTAGCTCTTTTTCAGAAGCGACATGGCCACAAATGAGTGGCTCTTGTGGACATTTAAAGCAGCCAAATACGTTAAACGCGTGATGCTGATTCTGAATGTGGAGGTGATAAAACCGGAGCACCCGGAGAAAAATCCACGTGAGCACGGGGAGAGACACGCAAACTCGAAATATACAGCAGCAGGCGTCAGGGTCGGGATCGAACCCACGACCTCCTGCATACCAGGCGAGGTAGTTCACATCTCCTAGCCACTGTGATGATGATGATAGAGAGACACGCAAACTCGAAATAGACAGCAGCAGGCGTCAGGGTCGGGATCGAACCCACGACCTCCTGCATACCAGGCGAGGTAGTTCACATCTCCTAGCCACTGTGATGATGATGATGATAGAGAGACACGCAAACTCGAAATAGACAGCAGCAGGCGTCAGGGTCGGGATCGAACCCACGACCTCCTGCATACCAGGCGAGGTAGTTCACATCTCCTAGCCACTGTGATGATGATGATAGAGAGACACGCAAACTCGAAATAGACAGCAGCAGGCGTCAGGGTCGGGATCGAACCCACGACCTCCTGCATACCAGGCGAGGTAGTTCACATCTCCTAGCCACTGTGATGATGATGATAGAGAGACACAAAAACTCGAAATAGACAGCAGCAGGCGTCAGGGTCGGGATCGAACCCACGACCTCCTGTATACCAGGCGAGGTAGTTCACATCTCCTAGCCACTGTGATGATGATGATAGAGAGACACAAAAACTCGAAATAGACAGCAGCAGGCGTCAGGGTCGGGATCGAACCCACGACCTCCTGCATACCAGGCGAGGTAGTTGACATCTCATAGCCACCGTGGCGCCCACATGCACACTCGCAATGTAAACTGGTATGAGCCAAAACATCCCAATGCTGGAAAAATACCTGCAAATTCCTCAGTTGGGATCACGAGCAGCAGCAGCAGCAGCAGCAATATCGCTCGCTACCCGTGCTGCCAACCACTCGAGGCGTGAGACCCGGTGGGGCGTGAATGGGTAAACACGCTGAATGAGGTTACACCTCATCGAGGTTACACCTCATTGGTGTACGGTGTTTTTTCTGCAATATTTTGCTGTCTTTTCTTGGATTTTCTGTTTGCACTCAGTCACATATTCACTTTAAAATGTTTTTTGTTCATGTTTTTGTTTTTTGTTTGTTGCGGTTGCACCCGATTCAAGAGCCGAATGGCTCACAGGGCTATACCTAATACATTAACTTGAACACCAAGGCCCCAATATATTGCTATAAAATAGATTTGTTTATATGATTGTGGTTATTACTTTATTAATCCCTAATCTCTGCCATTACATACAATGAAACACGAAATGGTAAAAAAAAGTAAAAACAGAGCAATGTAATACAATACACTATTAGACATTATTGTAAAAACTAAACAAAAAGTCCATCCCATGTGTTAGTGAATTTTTTATATTTTATGCAGGAAATGTCAGGAAATGAGTTTTCAAATTTAGATTTTTTCTGGGGGGCGGGGGACCCCCAGACCCCCTGAAAGATTTGGTCCCCCCCAATGTTGAGTCCATGGCTACGTCCTTGTGTTACACCGTAGACACACCGTGACCGACCCACGTCGCATGCACCCCGTTTAGAAGCGAGAGAGACCTCCCATGAGATGCACATCATCATCTGTATTGGTATTTGCGATTGTTTACCCAGCAAAGCCGGTCTCTCAAGCGGGGTTTCTGCCAAGTTTGCACAGCAGACGAGGCGATGATTGCTGCTGCTGCTGCTGCGCCTTCCAATTGAGTCATTTGCGGTTTATAATCTTTCAAATCCGGCACACAGTGGCCTACCAATTACACTGGTCAATACACTTTTTCTGGCATAAGGTATTCCAACGGTTGTAAGGTAATCATGGGGTGCTGATTCCAAATCTGGCATCAGTTTTTGTCTATCACATCAGGTTTTTGAGATATCAAATATTGCATTTTCAATAAAAACTGCAGAAGAAAAATATTAAATAAATGTGGATAGCTACATAAAATGATATTATAAACACACTATCCTAAAAATACAGCACCATATTTTAACACTAAAGCAGTCACTGACTCGCAACAACTTGCAATCATAAGTGACAGAGTTAATTTTGGGTAAAATCAATGAAAATGGGGTATGCCGATAGCATAAAAGCGAGATGTGATACAGCAAATCTGAGATCAGATTTGGAATCACCACCCTGAAATTAGTCTAGAACAGGTGCAAAAGTCTAGGCCAGAAAAAAATGTTTTTTGTTGTTGTTGACCAGTGTTATTTTCGATTTAAAGCTTTCGTGACTGCAGGGATTCATCTTCTTGTTTTTTTCGGTAAAGTCACGTAGAAGGGAAGTAATAAAAGAATAAAAATAAAATATTATATCAAAAATAAAAGATTATTTTACAATGTTTAATTTTTATTCTTTTATTATTTTCCTTCTACGTGACTTAATAATATAAAAAATAAAACATTATTTTATTATGTTTAATTTTTATCATTTTATTATTTTCCTTCTACGTGACTTTACCGAAAGAACCAATAATATAAAAAATAAAACATTATTTTATTATGTTTAATTATTATTTTATTATTTTCCTTCTACGTGACTTACCGAAAGAACCAATAATATAAAAAATAAAACATTATTTTATGTTTAATTTTTATTATTTTCCTTCTACGTGACTTTACCGAAAGAACCAATAATATAAAACATTATTTTATTATGTAACATTCTTATTACTTCAATATTTTCCTTCTACGTGACTTCACCGAAAGAACAAAAAAGACTCAGTGTAATCTTTAAAGCCCTTACCGCCACGACTGCGGACAGCACTGCCCGCATGGCGTCCTCCTTCTCCTCGTCCGTGTCGTCGTCCTCTGCCAGGATGCCGGCGAGGTAGGTCCCGTACACCTCGGCGTCCACCTGCATCGCCTCCAGGCGCCTGCTCAACCACGGCGCGAAGTCGAACTCCGCCATCGAGTCGCCGCGTGTGGAGATCCTCGCTGACGAAGACGACGAAGTGGCCAGGGGTCCTCCTCCTCCTCGTCTTGACACAACAAGTCGTCTCCAAGTCGTCCCCAAGTCGTCCTCAAGTCGTCCTCAAGTCGTCCCCTGGTCGTCTCCCGCGTGAGGAGGGCTGCGGCTGCTGGAAGACAACGGCGGTGGTGGCGATGATGGTTGTGGTGGTGGAGGTAGTGGCGGTGGTGATGATGGTTGTGGTGGTGTTGGTGATGATGTTGTTGGTGGTGGTGCTGTTGGTGGTGGTGTTGGTGGCGGTGGTGATGATGGTTGTGGTGCTGTTGGTGATGATGGTTGTTGTGGTGGTGATGATGGTTGTGGTGGTGATGATGGTTGTGGTGATGGTTGTGGTGTTGGAGGTGGTGTTGGTGGCGGTGGTGATGATGGTTGTGATGATGGTGGTGATGGTTGTGGTGGTGATGATGGTTGTGGTGGCGGTGGTGATGATGATGGTTGTGGTGGTGATGATGGTGGTGATGATGGTTGTGGTGGTGATGATGGTGGTGATGATGGTTGTGGTGGTGTTGGTGGCGGTGGTGTTGGTGGCGGTGGTGATGATGGTTGTGGTGGTGATGGTGGTTGTGGTGTTGGTGCCGACCTCGGTGTGGCGAGGCTGGGACACGCGACACCGCCACGTGCGTGGAGGGATCGAGCGACTCGGCAGAGGCGGCCTGGACTCGTGACGGAGAGCGCCGAGAGTGGAGACGGAGGGGAGAGCGGGGAGAGTGTGAGGAGAGAGTGTGAGGGGAGGAGAGACAGAGGGGAGAGTGGGAGGAGAGAGTGGGAGGGGAGAGCGCGGAGAGTGTGAGGGGAGAGCCGCAAGATGGAGGCGGCGTCGTGGTCGCTGACGCGAGCGAGGTGGTCAGAGGTCAGGGGGCGACGGGGTTGAGCCGAGCGGCTCTCTCCTCTCTCGCCTTCTCTCTCTCGCCTCCTCTCTCTCATCTCCTCCTCTCTCTCCACCACCACCCACCCACCATCCACCGGCATCTCCTCGTCGCCACAGCATCGTGAAGCGGGCGCCCGAGCCGTCACAACATTGCCACAAAAAAAAATTTCCCCTCACATTTGGCGGGGTTTAAAAAAAAAATGTTCGTGCATAAAAGCAACAACAAACATGCTTCGTGCATAGTATGTTCGCGTAATAAATTGAGGCGAATTTTGTTGTGCGAGATTGGGATAATATTTTCCGCATGGTGGTGTTTTAAAGAAGAAACATGAAGGTAATGCGCTGTGGCGTGCCGTAGCTCACGTGAATTCGCACTTCGCTTTGTGCGTTTGAGCCCCAAGAGGCCCCGTAGCGCCACCCCCATTGCCCGGCCCCCCCCCCCACCACTGATCGCGATGACGTCACGCCCAGCCGCCCCCCCCCACCACTGATCGCGATGACGTCACGCCCGGCCCCCCCCACCACTGATCGCGATGACGTCACGCCCGGCCGTCTCCCCCACCACTGATCGCGATGACGTCACGCCCGGCCGTCCCACCACTGATCGCGATGACGTCACGCCCGGCCGTTCCCCCCACCACTGATCGCGATGACGTCACGCCCGGCCGTCCCACCACTGATCGCGATGACGTCACGCCCGGCCGTTCCCCCCCACCACTGATCGCGATGACGTCACCCCCAGCCACAATGGCGGCCTCCACGGTTGGCGACGGCTCCGCTTTGGTCGTCATCGGCAACATCCCCGGCGCGTTTCGCGCCGCGGACCTCAGGAACTACTTCTCCCAGCTCGTGGAGAGCGGCGCCTTCCACTGCTTCCACTACCGACACCGGCCCGAGCGCGCCGAGCCGAGGCCGTGCGGGGAGACGGAGGCGAGCGGAGACGCCGAGGGGGGGACACAGGGTGCAGGGGGTACAGGGCCCCGGGACCTCGGCCAGGACTGGGGATGAGGGAGCCGGGACTCGGGGCTCGGTAGAGGGACCGGGGCCCCCGGCTGAGGGAGGGAGACCCGGGACTGGGACCCTGGCCACGACTCCCGGGCCACGCCGCCGCTCGAGCTGCTGCTGCGTGGTTCGCGTGCGCGCGGGGAGACTCGGGGAGCTCCTGGCCTCCTACTCGGGCCGCCACTGGGTGGACGCGGCCGGGGACCCCGTCCCCTCGCGCTGCCTCGTGCGCAGAGTGCGCGGGGCCCCAGAGGCCGAGTGCGGAGGTGAGGGGGGGTGAGAGAGTGTGAGGCGGTGTGAGGGGGTGAGAGGGGGGGGGGGTGAGAGGGGTGAGGGAGTGAGAGGGGGGGGGGGTTAGAGAGAGTGAGGGGGTGTGAGAGGGAGAGGGGGTGTGAGGGGGTGAGGGGGTGTGAGGGGGGGGGGGTGTGAGGGGGTAAGGGGTGAGGGGTGAGAGGGTGAGGAGGTGTGAGAGGGTGAGGGGGTGAGAGGGGGGGGGGTGAGAGGGGTGAGGGAGTGAGAGGGGGGGGGTTGAGAGAGAGTGAGGGGGTGTGAGAGGGAGAGGGGGTGTGAGAGGGAGAGGGGGTGTGAGGGGGTGAGGGGTGAGGGGGTGTGAGAGGGTGAGGGGGTGTGAGAGGGAGAGGGGGTGTGAGGGGGGGGGTGAGAGGGGTGAGGGAGTGAGAGGGGGGGGTGAGAGAGAGTGAGGGGGTGTGAGAGGGAGAGGGGGTGTGAGGGGGTGAGGGGTGAGAGGGTGAGGAGGTGTGAGAGGGTGAGGGGGTGAGAGGGGGGGGGGGGGTGAGAGGGTGAGGAGGTGTGAGAGGGTGAGGGGGTGTGAGGGAGAGGGGGTGTGAGAGGGTGAGAGAGGATGAGGGGGGTGTGAGAGGGTGAGGGGGTGTGAGAGGGTGAGGGGTGTGAGAGGGTGAGAGAGGATGAGGGGGTGTGAGGGGGTGTGAGGGGGTGTGAGGGGGTGAGAGAGGGTGAGGGGGTGTGAGAGTGTGAGGGGGTGTGAGGGGTGAGAGAGGGTGAGGTGGTGTGAGGGGGGGTGAGGGGGTTTGAGAGGATGAACGGGGTGTGAGGGAGTTCAGAATCAGGTATAAAGCTCTTTCACAGATGTCCGGTAGGGGTGGGTCAGAGCAGGGGGAGGTGACAGGTGAGGAAGTGAGAGGATAAGGGTGTGATTAGGTGAAGTGACAGAGTGAGGGATTGGATTGTGAGAGGAACGTGTGAGGTGAGACCGCGTAGTGAGTGAGAGGAGTGAGACTGATGATCTGACAGGGTCGGGGTGGAAGGGAGGTAATGGGAGATGAAAGGGTGGGAGTGGACGTGACGGTGGGGGAGAGTGATTAGCACGGTTGACTACGTACGGTGGTCCAAAAGTACAAAGAGAAGGTGAAAAAAGCTGAGCTGTGAGATAGTGAAGGGGTGAGGGTGAGATCGTGTGGGTGACGGAGTGAGAGGTTGAGGTGACAAGGAGATGGTGAGGGGGTGAGGTGAGAAAGTAAAGGGATGAGGCTGTGGGAAGAAGGAGCAGAAGAGAGGTTGAAAGTGAGAGTCGAGGCAATAAAGAGGTGAGGGAAGGTGAGGGGTTTAGGCAGAGGGTAAAGCGATGGGGAGTGAGATGTTGGAGAATAACGTCATTGATGCAGAGTCTGGCTATGGCACGCACGATGCATTTCCCTGTACAGTCTTCTCTGCTTCTCTCTGCTTCTCTCCACGTGCGTCCACCCTCCTCGATATCACAGCCTCGAAGTCGTCGCTCTTCCCGTACGCCGCTCACCGCCGGCGCCAGGGTGCCGCGCCCGCCGAGGTGACTGGCAGCGACCTCCTCCTCCTGCCCGAGCTCAACCCCCCATCCCTCATGCCCCAGGGCAACGTTGGCACGCCCTTGGGCACCTTCCTGCAGCTGATCCGCTCGTGCCGCCTGCCGCCCCGCATCATCACCCGCCTGGGCCTCTCCTTCCCCAAGACGGGCTCGTCCCGTCGCTACGGCAACGTGCCGTACCGTTACGCGCTCGGCAGGACGGTGCGTGTGGCCGACAGCGTGCTCACAGGAACCGGGGCCGAGATCGCGCCAGGCGGTGTGACGCTACCGCCGCCATCCCCGTCGTCGCGGCTCCAGGGAGAGCGGACGGGAGAGCGGACGGGAGAGTCGCAGCAGGGAGACCAGCAGCAGGGAGAGCAGCAACAGGGAGAACAGCAGCAGGGAGAGCGGCGTGGGAGCGAAGCCGGTGGCCGTACAGGGAAGGAGAGGAGGGGAGGACGGAGCCTGCGGAGGAGAAAGACGGAGCTGCCGAGTGAAGATGAGGAGCCTGAAGATGAGGAGGAGTCGCACTCGGACGATGTGAGGAGGGTTCTGCGTGTGCCTGATGTGTGCCTGACGTGTGCGTGACGTGTGCCTGATGTGTGTGTGACGCGTGCCTGACGTGTGCGTGGCGTGTACGTGGCGTGTGCGTGACGTGTGCGTGACGTGTGCCTGACGTGTGCCTGACGTGCGCGTGGCGTGTGCGTGACGTGTGCGTGGCGTGTGCGTGACGTGTGCTTGACGTGTGCGTGACGTGTGCGTGACGTGTGCGTGACGTGTGCGTGTAAAGCTTTGTGGGGTTATTAACACGCAGACCCGGCGTCTCTCACAATTGCCAATGTGCACTTCGTGATCGATTGCAACCACAATGTATTGATCTCAGATAATATTGCTTGTGTAATTGCAATTTTAATTGACCAAAAAAAGGTCTGTGGGTGAGTGGGATGGGATGGATGGGCAGTGCGGGGTAGTATGGGTGGCAGGCGTGTTGTAACCTGCAGTGTGGTTGTTGAACAGTGTGGATGAGACAGACAGTCCTCCACATGGTGTGTGTACATACACGTACGGATGCGTGTCTGTGTATCTCGATTTGGGGAGCGGCGGTGTGCGTGCTCACTGCTGTGTGAGAGGGTGAGGGGGTGTGAGAGGGTGAGAGGGTGAGAGGGTGTGAGGGGGTGTGAGGGTGAGGGGGTGTGAGAGGGTGAGGGGGTGTGAGGGGGTGAGGATGTGAGGTTGTGTGAGAGGGTGAGAGGGTGTGAGGGGGTGGGGGTGTGAGGGGGTGGGGGTGTGAGGTTGTGTGAGAGGGTGAGGGGGGGTAAGGGGGTGAGGGGGTGTGAGGGTGAGGGGGTGTGAGAGGGTGGGGGGGTGTGAGAGGGTGAGGGGTGTGCGGGGTGAGAGGGTGAGGGGGTGTGAGAGGGTGGGGGGTGTGAAAGGGTGAGGGGTGTGCGGGGGTGAGAGGGTGAGGGGAGTGTGTGTGAGAGGGTGAGGGGGTGTGAGAGGATGAGAGGGTGAGGGGTGTAAGAGGGTGAGGGGGTGTGAGAGGGTGTGAGGGGGTGAGAGGGTGAGGGGAGTGTGTGTGAGAGGGTTAGGGGGTGGGAGAGGGTGAGAGGGTGAGGGGGGTGTGAGAGGGTGAGGGGAGTGTGTGAGAGGGTGAGGGGTGTGAGAGGATGAGAGGGTGAGGGGGGTGTGAGAGGGTGAGGGGGTGTGAGAGGGTGAGGGGGTGTGAGAGGGTTGAGGGGGGGTGTGAGAGGGTGAGGAGGTTGTGAGGGGTGAGGGGGTGTGAGGGGGTGAGGGGGTGTGAGAAGGTGAGAGGGTGAGAGGGTGTGAGGGGGTATGAGGGTGAGAGGGGGTGAGGATGATCGGAGTTTGTGTGCAGCTCCTTGACGGGAGGGTGAGGGTGGGGGTGGTGGGTGATCTTTGTCTTGTGGGGGTGGCTGCAGGACGACGACTCGTGCGAGGAGTGGGAGCGGCACGAGGCGCTGCACGAGGACGTGACGCGGCAGGGCCGCTGCGATGAGCGCCTCTACGAGGAGGAGATCGAGCTCAAGTGGGAGAAGGGAGGCAGCGGCCTCGTCTTCTACACCGACGCGCAGCTCTGGAAGGAGGCGGAGGGCGGTGAGGCACTCGCACGCAAAGATCCCCCGTGTAGCCTCCACAGGCTGTGGGGGGGAGGGGGGGCAAGCGCTGCTCGTGAGCAGCGCCTGCAAAGGTCAACACGGCGCACCTATGAAGGGGGGTGGCCGGCACGTAACAAATATCCCCCGTATAGCCTTAACAGACTTATTCTTAGGTTTTTTTTTCTTAGGTAAAGTCACGTAGGTAAAAAAAGAAAAATTAAAAAAAGTAAAATATAAATCACGACGTTTCGGAGGCAACACAAGCTTCCGTCTTCAGGTGGAACCGTCACAGCACGATAGCTGTATACAGTCACAGCACGATAGCTGTATCAAGTTGGGACAAGTTCTGTTAGTGAGAACCTATGAAGGCCAACACGGTACACGAGGGGCTTGGTAGTCAGCACAACGCCCGGCCGCCTTTGTCTTCCCAGTGGCGATGTTTACACACCAGGTACTCATTTGAGGCTGAGTCGACCTTGGGGAGGCCCTGGACCAGTTTAGATAATTGTCACTGTTGGCTGTGAGCGGAATTGAAATCAGTTTACCAGGTTTGCAGCACGCTAACAGCTACACTACCGCGCCCTCTTTATTCACTGATACGCACTGATATTCACACACACACATTCACAAAGGGTAGACAATTAGGGAAACAAAATAAAAGAACGAGAAATCCATTTACAAAGTGTTTATTTTTTGACATTGCGGTTACTTGTGAACCCGTGATGGCGTGACCACGATAAACCAGACCTGCTGATAGTGCCCATTGCGTTGCTCGCGTTACGGTGACGGTGCTGTTGATGAAGACACCGACTACGATATTGACGACATTCATGCTAATAGCATCCCCATAACGCTCATCCTGCTTTGCTTCTTCCCCAGATTTTGATGCCCAGACGTCGGACGACTGGGACGTGGACATGAGTGCGTACTACGACAAAGGTGAGCGAACCCCTCCCACCGGAGACACTTAGGCCCCACCCCCCTTCCAATAACAGACCCCTCTACAATAACAGACCTCCCCACAATCAGACCCCTCCACAATCGTACAAACCCTCTCCATAATGACGCAGGCCCCCTCCCCACAATCACACAGACCTGCCCCACAATCACAAACCTCCCACAATCACACAGACCTCCCCCACTCACTTAGACCCCCCCCCCCCCCCCACACACAATCACACAGACCTCCCCCACTCACGCAGACCCCCCCCTCCCCACAATCACACAGACCCTGCCTCCCCGCTGTGTTCATGCCACTCTCCTCTCCCGTCTCTCTCCCCGGCACAGACGGAGGCGACATGGATGCGCGCAACTTCGTGACGCTGCGGGAGGAGGGCCGGCGGCGGCGCGGACTCGACGATTCGGCGGAGCTGGAGGCGCGAATCGGCGGCTTTGAGCGGCACACGCGGGTGAGGCGCATCATGCGGTGACGCAGCCCCAACATCCGACGCGCGGCCTCGATACCGACAGACTCAATACCGGCCCCCCCCCTCCCTCCGCTCAGGGTTTTGGGCGCCGACTGTTGGAGAGGCAGGGTTGGCGGGACGGCCTCGGGCTGGGCGGCTCGCGCAGCGGGATGGCTCAAGCGCTGGAGGGAGACGGGCAGCACCCCAAGTGCCGACACGGACTCGGGTAACGCACGGACCACGGAGAGATGACACCCATCACACTCGCGGCTGTGTGTGCGCGAGAGCCGCAGACATGAGTCTGGCATTTATACCGAATAGGTCCACACTGTGATGTAAGGGCGCCACCGTGGCGAGATGTTAACTGCCTTGCTCCGGTATGCAGGAGGTCGTGGGTTCGATCCTGATGCCTGTATATTTGGAGTTTGCATGTCTCTTTATCCGCGTTTCTCCGGTTTTTCACTCAACGTTTAGCAACACGCAATTTATTGGAATAGATTTTGCGATACATTAGTGCAATACACTTCCATGTGACAAGCTACTTTCGTTGAGCTTTTGTTTGTGGCAAGGTCGCTTATGAAAAATAACTATGGAGCTCAGTGGGCCTTACCTGGTAAATAAAAAAGTTAATAGTTTATACACCGAACTCATAGGCCCACACTGTTGTAAGAAGCAATTACTCTAACATTGTGTACACCCACTATGTACGTTGTGTCTGCTGTGGATGGTGGCGCAGCTATCGAGGTGAGAAGCTGCAAAACTTCTCCCTGGCGCCGAAGCGGCGACGCCGAAACGGGGAAGATGACACGGATGCCGTCGTTATCTCCACCGTGTATGACGCTCCGCTCGCCCGCGACCAGCCCAGCTCGCTGCTGCGGAGACGGGGACATGGGCGGCTCAAGCTCCGGGACAGAGGAGACGCAGGGAGACGGGGTGCGACGTAGGAGACAGACACGGTGCAAAGTAGGAGACACGGGGAAATGAAGACAATGTCCAGCGTGGGGGAGACAGGCTCAGGAAGGATGTGGACAAGCAGATGTACAGTGTTCCTAGAGAGAGACGTGGAAAGATCTGACTGTGGTGACCCAAGAGACGTACATGTGATGACCTTAAAGTGCACTTAGCTTTGTACAAGCAGCTTGGTGATGGCACAGCCGCCGAGTGTTGGATGGCAGCTGTTATCATAAAACACCATCACGTGTGCGGTCATCTTTATTCCAAGGTTAAAATTTGGTTTTAATCACAAATATCCCAAGTAAAACACAATTTGTTTATAATAAAATCGTGGTTTTCTGAATGTCTCCGACTCCATGGGAAGAGGCTTGGTTGGGAGCCTATGAATGGTGGTGGTGGTGGTGGTTAGCGCACTGCACTGCAAACCCGACCCATCAGTTCCAATTCCTACTCGGACATCACTGGTGACTAATTTCCCAGGCCTACCTTACATCAACTCAGCCTTGGGGAGACGAAAGCGGCCAGCCATGCTGCTGGCCACCCACCCCTCACAGTAGTGTGTTGGCCCTCGCGTGCTACTCGCTAACAGCATTTGCACGTTTTCTGTTCAGGCTACACAGGGGATCGGTCTGAGACTTGGATTCCACTTCTTCACCCTGGATAAAACTCGTTAATGACACCATCTCCTTAACATGAACAAACTCGTTACCACTTGACAAAAACTCGTTACCGTGATGGGGGTAGCGGCTGGGAGAGGAGCAGCGACAGCCTCCTCCAACTCGTGCACAATCCACATCCGCACCTTCGCGTAACACCGTCGCCGACTCCTCCGTTTCGTTTACTTGGCTACACCAAACCCGGCATGCCGAGTTCCGATTCCCGCTCACGGCCAACGCATCAGTTTCGGCCCTTGATGCACAAATGGAAGATTCAAAAAAATTCTATGGGTGGCATGCAGAGCCTGCGGTCACCACCCAGAACAGAACCATGGAACTTGTAACATCGACCGCATCATCACAGCGATGCGCTGCCTCACTGCACATTACTCCGGCTCAACCACCTCAATGTAAAATTACAGCTGTTGCTCTTCATCAACATCGAAGTGCGATTATTAGTCCAGGGCCACTGCCCGAGGTTGACTCGGCACCACGCGGCCGGGTGCGGTGCTGGCCACACCATTCCCTTGCATGCGCCTTGCCAGCCTTCGGAGGTTCTCACCAACAGCACTTGCCCCACCGGCTTCAGTCGGCTGACGCGGGGGACCTGTCTTTGTATGCGCCAGCGTCCTTGCTCACACGAGCCCGATGCGGCTCCGCAGCTGCTCCACGTGTTCTGGCGTCACCTCCTCCAGCCTCACGAGCAGCGGTGCCTCCCCCTCCGCCTCCCTACCCTCCGCCGCGCCAAACTCCAGCTCCATGAGACAGCATAGGTCCACCAGCCGCCGCCGACACTGCTCCAGGGCCTGCGAATCCAACCGGCGTCCCCCTCATCAGCGCCCGCAGCGCTCTCTCACCGTGCGTTAACGAGCTCTACGCTTTACTTTGCCAGGAAAGGCCCATTGAGCTGTTTCGCTCTTTTTTAGAGAAGTGACCTGAGCCACAAATGATACCTCAACGAAGTGGCTTACGTGCAAATTTATAGCGGACAAATACTTTAAACGCACGTTGATTCTAAATGTAGAGGGGAAAACTGAAGGACCCGGAGAAAAATCCACGTGACAACAGGGAGAGAGACAAACTGCAAATATACAGCAGCAGGCGTCAGGGTCGCGATCAAACCCACGCCCTCCTGTATACCAGGCGAGGTAGTTAACATCCGATCAGTGCCACGGTTGATCGGCAGGTTGCATGTGGTGCAGTAAATCGTGAGTACTCCGCCCCCACGTCTTGTAAGAAGTCTGGCCAGCGTGGAAGAGTAGGCCAAATACCTACGAGGACGGGCTCTCTAGAGCGTACTCTCGCGAAGGGGGCCCTCCGGCCAGCAGTGACGTGAGCAAGTAATTGCGGGGCTGCACCTCTATCTGTCACACGAGGCCACGTGGCTCGGAGGTCAGAGCGCTGAGCTGGTACCGCTTGAGAGCCTGGGTTCCAATCCGGGTCTCGGCTGCAGTGAGTTGATGGTCGCCAATGACTCCGCACAGAGACCCGTAGACTCAGGCTGAGATGTGATTACACCGGGTTCTCAAGGCCAGTGCGTTGATGGTCCCAGGGTGGTCTGGGTATGTGCGTGTGTGTGTGTGTGCGTCTGGTCTCATCAGATCTCAGAAGCTAAGCAGGCTTGGGTCTGGATACATCAGGATAGTGCTGCAAAAATCCATTGTTCTACCGTACTGTGCTGTAATGTCAAAGCTCCACTCACTTCACCAAATGAACCACCATGACGCGCACGGCATGTACCTGTGTGCTGCACCTGCGTGATCGTGTGTGTGCTGCACACACGTGATCGTGTCTGTGCTGCATCCATGTAATCGTGTCTGTGTGCTGCGCCCGCGTGATCGTGTCTGTGTGCTGCACTCGCGTGGTCGTGTCTGTGTGCTGCACCGTGATCGTTTCTGTGTGCTACATCCACGTGATCGTGTCTGTGTGCTGCACCTGCGTGATCGTGTCTGTGTGCTGCACACGCGTGATCGTGTGTGTGCTGCACCTGCGTGATCGTGTCTGTGTGCTGCACACGCGTGATCGTGTGTGTGCTGCACCTGCGTGATCGTGTCTGTGTGCTGCACACACGTGATCGTGTGTGTGCTGCACCTGCGTGATCGTGTCTGTGTGCTGCACACACGTGATCGTGTCTGTGTGCTGCACTCTTGTGATCGTGTCTGTGTGCTGCATCCACGTGATCGTGTCTGTGCTGCATCCACGTAATCGTGTCTGTGTGCTGCGCCCGCGTGATCGTGTCTGTGTGCTGCACTCGCGTGGTCGTGTCTGTGTGCTGCACCGTGATCGTTTCTGTGTGCTACATCCACGTGATCGTGTCTGTGTGCTGCACCCGTGTGATCGTGTCTGTGTGCTGCACCTGTGTGATCGTGTCTGTGTGCTGCATCCGTGTGATCGTGTCTGTGTGTTGCACCTGCGTGATCGTGTCTGTGTGCTGCACCCGCGTGATCGTGTCTGTGTGCTGCACCTGTGTGATCGTGTCTGTGTGTTGCACCTGCGTGATCGTGTCTGTGTGCTGCACCCGCGTGATCGTGTGTGCTGCACCATGATCGTGTCTGTGTGCTGCATCCACGTGATCGTGTCTGTGTGCTGCACCTGCGTGGTCGTGTCTGTGTGCTGCACCCGCGTGGTCGTGTCTGTGTGCTGCACCGTGATCGTGTCTGTGTGCTACATCCGCGTGATCGTGTCTGTGTGCTGCACCTGCGTGGTCGTGTCTGTGTGCTGCACACGTGATCGTGTCTGTGTGCTGCACCTGTGTGATCGTCTTCGCGCAAGCTGGATCCCTCTTGAGCACCTTCATCTTGTCCACGCTGAATCCCATCAGCTGGGTCAGGACCTGGGGGTCGGGAGGTCAGAGTAGGGGTCAATCTGCCACTGTTGTGGACATTTCTTCACTAAAGTAATAAATAATATCGGTATCCTACGATTTACAAACGTTCGGTTTACAAAATGTAGCGTTAAGGCAATTGAAAAATTATGGACGCTTTTCGATTCACGTAATTTCCACGTTGGCTAAATGTTACTCCGGCACGGCTGTGAGATCATAATGAACTTCCAGAGATAGGCCGCCACCACTTCTCCCGTGATCCCTTGGTGACCCCTTGGTGACCCCTTGGTGACCCCGGTGCGGTGCGCACGTGGTCGCTGAAGGTTGCTTCAGTGAAGGCCGTCCCATCCGTGATGCGCGCACGCACGCTCCACGCTCCACGCCGGGTCTGCAGGGGGCCCAGTAGCGTCACTACAAACCCCTAAGCGGGGTGGGGGGGGGGGGGGGTCACAGGAGCACAGGGGATAGAGGGGGTCACAGAAGGGTATAGGAAGGCACAGAGGGGTCATGGTGGCGACAGTGCCGTGAGCCCTGTTTAATCACATTTCGCTATGCGAGTCTATGGGACTACAGTAAAACCTTGGATTGCGAGCATAATTCGTTCCGGAAACGTGTTTGTAATCCAAAGCACTCGTATATCAAAGCACTCGTATATCAGTTGTGATCACGTGACGCTCGGCAGACAAAGTGTATACACGTCTTGTCTGCCAAGACCTCGCTCGTTTATCAAATTAATATTTATGAAAAAAAATTGCTCGTCTTGCAAAACACTCGCAGACCAAGTTACTCGCAATCCAAGGTTTTACTGTATATGTGAGTCTGGGTCTCTATGCGAGTCTGGGTCTCTATGCGAGTCTGGGTCTCTATGCGAGTCTGGGTCTCTATGTGAATCTGGGTCTCTATGTGAGTCTCTATGCGAGTCTGGGTCTCTATGTGAGTGAGTCTATGTGAGTCTGGGTCTCTATGCGAGTCTGGGTCTCTATGCCAGTCTGGGTCTATATGCGAGTCTGGGTCTCTATGCGAGTCTGGGTCTCTATGTGAGTGAGTCTCTATGTGAGCCTGGGTCTATATGTGAGTCTGGGTCTCTATGCGAGTCTGGGTCTATATGCGAGTCTGGGTCTCTATGCCAGTCTGGGTCTATATGTGAGTGAGTCTCTATGTGAGTCTGGGTCTATATGTGAGTCTGGGTCTCTATGCCAGTCTGGGTCTATATGCGAGTCTGGGTCTCTATGCGAGTCTGGGTCTCTATGTGAGTGAGTCTCTATGTGAGTCTGGGTCTCTATGTGAGTCTGGGTCTCTATGTGAGTCTGGGTCTCTATGTGAGTCTGGGTCTCTATGTGAGTGAGTCTATGCCAGTCTGGGTCTATATGCGAGTCTGGGTCTCTATGCGAGTCTGGGTCTCTATGCGAGTCTGGGTCTCTATGTGAGTGAGTCTCTATGTGAGTCTGGGTCTCTATGCGAGTCTGGGTCTCTATGCGAGTCTGGGTCTCTATGTGAGTGAGTCTCTCTGCGTGTCAATGGGGCTCCACCACGCACAGCACCCCCACCACGTGGATCACCCTCGGCACAAGGGTGAGCTCCTCACCTTGACGGTGATCTGGATGCGTTGTGCCGGGCGGCGGGTACTCAGCACCCGGCTTAGGTAGGTGAAGGGCGGAGAGTGCAGACCCACGCTGCTGCAGCTGCTGCTGATATTGCCGATGCCGCTGCTGCTACTGCTGGTAACTGTGGGGTTTGGGAGGGTGGAGGCATAGATGGGGAGAGGGTTTGACAGCTTTAATTCATCATGGTCACAACGGCTCTTCTTCTGTGACATTCCCCAAGGCTGGTGGATCACACACACGTTGCGAACTCTCTTCCCATGGGCATTGATCCATACGCTGGCTCACCAGGAGAAGGCAGTACAGCCAAGTGGGGACTAATCTCCATTTGTTCCATCTCCCCTCCCATGGCCGTTGAGTAGCCGTACTCTGGCCTGCCAGAAGGCAGGATCCATGGTGGCGAGATGTTAACTACCTCACCTGGTATGCAGGAGGTCGTGGGTTCGATCACGACCCAGATGCCTGCTGTATCCATGATAAAGGTTTTTGAGTTGGATCGCGTAAATATATAAATGTGTCGTTAAAACACCGCCACCATCCGACACAGCCGACTAATAAGGGTTGTCACGTAAACAGAACGTGCCAATTCGTCACTAGTACAGCACTAGTGTGTAGTGTATAGTGTATAGTAGTGTATAATGTAGTGTATAGTGTAGTATACTAGTACAGCACACCGGTGTGTTGGAGAGCCAAGCCACAACATTTACAATCTGAGTACGACGTTTCGTTCCTTATATAGAGACGTAGATGTGGTGACCACGCTTCTGCACTCTTGCACAATGTGAGGGGGGGGAGGATTACTGAGGCAACGTGCATTATGCAGGCCTGTGGTCATGTGCTGTATATTTGGAGTTTGCGTGTCTCTCTCTCTCCCCGTGGTCGTGTGGATTTTCCTCCGGGTCATCCAGTTTTTCCGTCCACATTTAGAATCGACGTGCGTTTGGCTGCTATAAATGTCCACATGGTAAGCCACTTTGTTGAGCTATCATTTGTGGCCAGGTCGCTCCTGGAAAAGAGCTGCATAGCTCAGTGGGCCTTGCCTGTTAACCTACAGAAGATAGCTTAGTTTTAATAGTTTATTTTAAGGCGGAACTGCGGACAACTATCATCTGTCTCCTGTGATGGGATAGAGTGTTGCCCCCTTGCTCTCATGCATGGGTTTTCTCCGGGCGCTCCAATTTCCTCCCGCATGTGTCAGCGCTCATCAATTGGCTAAAAACACCTCGACATGCAGAGAACCTCAGAGCTTGGGCAATCATTGGAAGCGACGGCTCCCGACCGCCCAGCTGCTGCCTCCGCGCTCGTGTCTGTGCTTCCTAGGCACTGTACATAGCGCCGTCTCCAACTCGAATCCCACTCTACGTCTCTCTGATGAAGGGCTGTTGCCCGAAACGTCGCCCTGCAAATACAAATACTCTCTTGATCAGGCAGCTCGGCGTTTTGAGTTTCGTTCGCCCGGATCGGCCCGGACTGACGATGGAGCGCACCTGTTGGTGAGGCGGAGGGGGGGGGGGTACTTCATCATCCTCAAAGTGCACCTAGCCTGGCACAGGCGCCGTGGTGACGTCACCGCCACTGAGTGGCGAATGGCGGCTGTTGGTATTGGGGGGAGGGGCACGCACCTGTGGGTGGGGGGGGGGGGTACTTCATCATCCTCAAAGTGCACCTAGCCTGGCACAGACGCTTGGTGACATCACCGCCACTGAGTGGCGAACGGCGGCTGTTGGTATCGGGGGGAGGGGCACGCACCTGTGGGTGGGGGGCCGGGGCGCGGCCTCTTGATGGGGGGCACGAAGCCACAGCGCTCCGGAGCAGACACCCCCACGTCCTGGAACGAGATCAAAGGGGGCGGGGGGAGGGGGGAGGGGGGAGGGGAGAGGGGGGAGGGGGGAGGGGGGAGTGGGGAGGGGAGAGGGGGGAGGGGAGAGGGGGGAGGGGGGAGGGGGGAGGGGGGAGGGGCCGCTCGTTAGTGGCGGAGGCTGCGTGCGGCGCTCCCTGCGTCGTGTCCGCCTCACGACTCCATAGCCGCGCTCCGCTACGCCCGCAACGTCTCCACGATAGGCACCGTGACCCGTGGCTCGCCCTGCCGCGTGGCTCACCCTCCCGCGTGGCTCACCCTCCCGTGTGGCTCACCCACGTGGCTCACCCTCCCGCGTGGCTCACCCACGTGGCTCACCCTCCCGCGTGGCTCACCCTGCCGCGTGGCTCACCCTCCCGTGTGGCTCACCCTTCCGCGTGGCTCACCCTCCCGCGTGGCTCACCCGCGTGGCTCACCCTGCCGCGTGGCTCACCCTGCCGCGTGGCTCACCCTCCCGCGTGGCTCACCCTGCCGCGTGGCTCACCCTGCCGCGTGGCTCACCCTGCCGCGTGGCTCACCCTGCCGCGTGGCTCACCCTCCCGCGTGGCTCACCCTGCCGCGTGGCTCACCCACGTGGCTCACCCTCCCGTGTGGCTCACCCTCCCGCGTGGCTCACCCTCCCGCGTGGCTCACCCACGTGGCTCACCCTCCCGCGTGGCTCACCCACGTGGCTCACCCTCCCGCGTGGCTCACCCTCCCGCGTGGCTCACCCACGTGGCTCACCCTCCCGCGTGGCTCACCCTGCCGCGTGGCTCACCCTGCCGCGTGGCTCACCCTCCCGCGTGGCTCACCCTGCCGCGTGGCTCACCCTGCCGCGTGGCTCACCCTGCCGCGTGGCTCACCCTGCCGCGTGGCTCACCCTGCCGCGTGGCTCACCCTCCCGCGTGGCTCACCCTGCCGCGTGGCTCACCCTGCCGCGTGGCTCACCCTCCCGTGCTGCGGAGCGACTTGCTCCACCGTGCCACAGCTTGGCGCCTGTTTCTCCCGCAGGGTTTTTCCGGCCGGCTCGGCGCTGAGAGATGCCGGCTCCGGCTCCGGCTCCAGTTCCGCATCCCACTCATCCATGGCCCAGTCGTGCTCCAACGCGGCACTGGGGCTCCTTAGCAACGACCGGCTGCTGCTGACGCTGCTGCTGCTGACGCTGCTGCTGATACTGCTGCTGGTACTGTTGCTGGTACTGCTGGTACTGCTGGTGCTGCTGTTGACGCTGCTGCGGTGGTGGCGGCTGCGGTTGTGCCGGTGAATTTCCGGCCATTCCCTGCAGGTTCAGGTCGTTGTTATCGGGGAGGTCGTCCACGGGGAAGTCATCGGAGAAATCATCCGGGAAGTCGGCGTCGCTGGCGCCTGGCAGAGGGAGGGACGCGACGCGGGGCGAGTGAGTTCCGAGTTTGCGCACGGGAGTGGGGGGTCACGTCACCCCCTGCCCCCCCCCCCAACATCACCTAGTGTGGTTCGGGCTGCATGGCGCAAAGAACCCGGCGACCCAAGTTCGATTCCCACTCGCAACCAATAACAGTGGTGAATATCTGACTGTGCCTTAAACGAAACGGAACAAAACATCCGAGACAGAACAGAGAACAAGGTAGAACGAGACGGAACAGAACGAACTAGATGCAACGAGATGACACATAGCCACACGTTGATTTCCGAATGGAATTGAGACCAGAACCCCAAGCGCCTCAACGGGGGCGGCAACGATGCTCGAGGCTGGAGTGGCTGACGAACCGTTCTGCATGTGAACGTCTTGCTGGTGATGCTGCTGCTGCTGCTGATCCTGCTGCTGAGTTGGCGCCGACTCTGGCTCTCCGCTAAACCCACGAGACACGGACAGACACACAAGTGTGGGTGTGTGTGCACGTGCGTATGTGTGTGTGCGCATGCGTATGTGTGTGTGCACGTGCGTATGTGTGTGCACGTGCGTGTGTGTGTGCACGTGCGTATGTGTGTGTGTGCGCGTGCGTATGTGTGTGTGTGCGCGTGCGTATGTGTGTGTGCGCGTGCGTATGTGTGTGTGCACGTGCGTATGTGTGTGTGTGCGCGGGGGGGAAGCGAGTTCGATTCCTGCTCACGGCCAACACCAGTGACGATTATCTGAACCGGTCCAGGGCCTCCCTTAGGTCGACTCGTCCTCAAATTAGTACTTGGTGCGGTGTGTAAACATTGCCACTGGAGAGACAAAGGCGGTCGGGCGTGGTGCTGGCCACCCACCCCTTTGTGTACCGTTCCGGCCTTCATAGGTGCTTGCTAACTTGCCCCTACAGTCTGCGAAGGCTATATGGGGGATCTTTGTGTGCGGGGAGTGGTGGCGCAGTAGTTAGTGCACTACGGCGCAATGAACCCGGCGACCAGAGTTCGATTCCCCCCCCCAGGTCGACTCAGCCTCAAATGAGTACTTGGTGCTACCTGGTGCGGTGTGTAAACATTGGTACTACGATGTGGTGCTGAACACCCACGCCCTCGTGTGCCGTGCCAGCCTTCATATGGGGGATCGTTGTGTGCGTGTCTACGTGTGCGTGCGTTTACATGTGCATGTGTGCGCGCGTAACCGGAAGTGATTGACAGCCCTGCGATGGAAAACACCGTCACTGCCAATCATGGGTCGCGGAGACGGCCATAAACACGGGAACAGGGGAATGATGGGGTTAGGGTTGGGATTCAGGGTGAGGTAGGGGATAGGGCAGGAGATATGGCAGGAGATAGGGTAGGGGATAGGGCAGGGGAGAGGTAAAAAATATGGGGTGAGGGTTGCTGTAGTAGTGGTGTGGCCCCGCGTGCCACTCTGTGGGGTGGCACGGCCACTCTGGGCCGAGGGGGATGCACGGGGAACTGGGGTAGCCACCGCACTGCCCCTCCGGGCGAGGTCGTGCGAGGCCACGTGCGAGGTCACATGCGAGGCCACATTCGAGGTCGTGAGATGTTGTGCGGGAGGTCACGCGAGGTCACGCGAGGTCACGCTGACCCGGTGAGACGCACATGAGGCGTGCGAGGAGGCGTTTCGGCTCGTTCTCCTGCACCAGCGCCTCCACCTCCCCGCCCAGCAGCGACACGTGCGCCGACTCGAGCAGCAGCACCCCGAGGCGGCACGGCACGCGGCCCGACACGAGCAGCTGGCGTGCACACACACGCACCTCCGATTAGCGCGGCGGGCTGCGTACCGTGCGAAAGAAGTTCACCATACGTACAAAGATCCCTCGCATAGCCTTTCAACCAGAGGTCGCAACCGGGTACCCGATACCCGTACCCTACCCGATACCCGGCTACCCGTACCCGGCCGGGTACGGGTAGCCGTTTGTGACCCTGGTGCGGCCGGGTACGGGTAGGCCGTGAGTCACTGGTGAGTAGCCGTTTGTCACTCATTTCGGGTAGGGTACGGGTAGGGAACGGGTACCCATACCCGGCCGGGTACGGGTACCCATTTGCGACCCTGGTGCGGCCGGGTACGGGTACGAGTAAGGAATCAAAACCCGTTTGCGACCTCTGCTTTCAACAGACCGGTGGGGCAAGTGCTGTTAGCGAGTAGCGCCTCTGGAGGCCGGCACGGCACACGAGGGGGTGGGTGGTCGGCTGTCTCCCCAGTGGCGATGTTTACACATCGCACCAGGTGCTCATTTGAGACCGGTTCAGATGTTCGGCAATGTATTTGTACATTAGCAGGAATCGAACTTGGGGCGCCGGGTTCGTAGCACAGAGCGCACACCGCTGCGCCACTGCTCCCCACACGCAGAAACGTCACCTCCCTTCCTCCAAAAACTTGGCAGGACCCTCCGGAAAAAGAGTCTTGAGCCTCAGCGAGGCCTTCCTTGGTCGCAAACACGCCGCATGACGATAAATCGACAATCAGCCCACTGCAGCTGCACGCGGGGAGAGGGCGGCCCCCACCTTGGTGCCGGGCGGGAGGAGCGGGTGGAGCGTGGGGATGGGGCGGTACTCCATCGCCTGGATCTCCTGCACCCCGTCCGTCAGCTGCAGCAGCAACATCCTCCCGGCTTTCACCTCCCACGGCTGCAAAGACGAAAGTCAAAGACCCCCTCTCCCGTGTAGCCTCAACAGACTGCCGGGGGCAAGCGCTGTTGGCGAGTAGCGCCTATGAAGGCCGGCACGGCACACGAGGGGGTGGACGGCCAGCACCACGCCCGGCCGCGTTTGTCTCCTCAGTGCTGCTATTTACACAACATACCAGGTACTCATTTAAGTCTGAGTTGCCCTAGGGGAGGCCCAGGACCAGTTCAGATATTTACTGTTATTGGCTGTGAACGGGAATCAAACTCGGGCCGCCGGGTTCGTGGCCCAGTGCGCTAACCACTACACCACCGCTCCCCCGCATGCACGCGGACACTCGAAGATGTATACACCACACAGAGCCTGCACATCAATCGCACACGACCCCCTCGTGCGCCGTGCCCCCCTTCATAGGTGCTGCTCGCTAACAGCACTTGCCCCTGCAGCCTGTGTGGGCTACACGGGGGACCTGTGTGGGCTACACGGGGGACCTGTGTGTGTGTGTGTGGAGCGGCAGCTGCCCAGACCTGCTGTGGCCTGGGAGTAGCTGTCACTTGCTCATTGCTTGTGTCTCGGCCCCGCAGCTTCTGCAGCTGCGCGTACATGGGCTGGCTCACGTCCACCAGAGAATCCATCTGTACAGCAGCAGCAACAGCAGCAGAAATGCGCGTGGCCGCACACAGGCACCTCCGATTAGCACAGTCGGCCACGCATGGCGCGAAAGACGTTCAGCATACGTAGTGTAAAGACACCATCACACGCGTATGCACGCGCACACACCCGAACGCACGCACGCACACACATGTCCAATAGATGTGGTGGTAGTGGTGTGGTCAGTTGGTGGAGAAGTGGTTATGGCTAACACTGGACCAACGGCGGGTTGGTGGAGTTTACAGCACAGGCAGTCCCAGTGTGTTGCCGGTGTGTCTAGTACTCCTAGGATTTTTCGGTAAAGTCACGTAGGAAAATAATAAAAATTAAATAATAATAAATGAAAATAACTCAATTAAATCACGACGTTTCGGAGGCAACACAAGTCTCCGTCTTCAGG